GCTGAGCGTCGCCCAAGACGCCTTGATCGCCGTCTGCCTGCGCGGTTTCGAGATATTCTTCCTCAACCCCCGCCCATGGCCGAGCTAGCCCTGCCGCCAGCGGCAGATATCCCGCCCACTTCGGATGCAAGTGCACTGCCGTCCCGCACACTTCGCTTCTTCCGCACACTTCCTAACGTATTCGGACTTTTGCGTCAGTACTACAGCAATGGTCTGCTAACGCACGACCCAGAAGAGATTACAACTCTGGAGAACCTCACTCTGACGCACTCAGACCAAGAATGTCCGGATCCCGTTATGCCCGCTCCTGTAATGCAGCATGACAACTTGGAAGCCCCAGACACCTTCTATCCGTATCCAAACAAGTCCCTCATTTCTCCTTGGCGATTGGTTTTGGAACGGGGGTATCCAGACGTCGCAAAGAGCTTCACGGAACTCTTACGGATCATCGGCGATCCTGAGTTTCAGCCTGAATATATCCGTACCACGCGCTGGAACTTCATCAACCGTCAGCTTTGGATCTACTGTGGAAGATGCAGAAGGGCGTACACCCTTTGAGGGTGCTGGATGGAAGACGAATTCAATCAAGATTAAAATACCTGTTCACAATCGTGCGGATGGTTCAGGCGTTCATGACTACCTCACCACAGAATTTTATCATCGATCGCTGGTATCCGTCATCAAGGAAAAGCTTGGGAACGAAAGCATGACCAACTCTTCCACTATCAGCCCTACGAATTGCTTTGGAATGGCGGACGATCTGAGACACCCATTCGTGTTCATGGAGAACTCTATACTTCCGACGCCTTCATCCAGGCACACCGTGAACTTCAGGAATCGCCACCAGAACCTGGGTGCACCCTAGAGCGTGTGGTTGTCGCCCTCATGTTTTGGTCCGACTCAACTCACCTAGCTTCCTTCGGCAATTCAAAACTCTGGCCCTGCTATATGTTTTTTGGGAACGAGTCGAAGTACAGAAGGTGCAAGCCTTCTTGCCGTCTATGTAGCCATGTCGGCTACTTCAATCATGTAGGTGTCCATACGCTCTCTTGTTACTTTTGTACTCAAGCTCACGCCATCTTCTAGCTCCCGGATAGTTTCAAAGATTTCGCTACAAAGCACTTTGGTGGTAAAGGCCCCAGTGCTGACTTTATGGCGCACTGCCACAGGGAACTTTATCACGCACAGTGGAAGATTCTACTGGATAGTGAGTTTGTTCAAGCTTGCAAACACGGAATTGTGATACGCTGTTGTGATGGAATCGAGCGTCGCTTTTACCCTAAGATCTTTACTTATTCTGCTGACTACCCAGAAAAGTGGGTCAAATTTCATACCTAGAGGGCCGATGGTCTAAATTCGTTGCTCATTCCATTGTCAGGGCGTTAATAGCTACCATACGCAATCTGGGTGGGTGCCCTAGATAAAGCCCCGTATTCAGAATCTGGGCATGCCGCTGGACATGAAACAACGCCAGACCCTCTTGCGCGTGGACGACCACGCCCGGCAAAGTAAAATTGCCACCTCCCGCTCACTTATTTATGACAGCGGCTATGGCGTTCGCAGCAGCCATGTTGAAAACCTACTGAAAGAACACTCATTGGTGCCAACTTCTGTAAGTTTGAGTCGATGCTGAACTCTTGTATGAATGTTGACCACTGCCTTTTAGAATGCGTTTTCGGAGAGGCTGGGATGCATTGGCTTCAATTTATTTGCTATGCTCATCGTAGACCTCCTGCATGAGTTTGAGCTTGGGGTCTGGAAAGCCCTATTTACCCACCTGATACGTATTCTCGGCGCTGCTGGCAAGAGTGATGGATTGGTGGACGAGCTTGACCGTCGGTAAGTTTTGTTCGATGAGCCTGGCCTACTCTGACGAACGGAGTACTTAAGGTATAGACTCGTGCCCACCTTTGGGCGTGATACCATTCGAAAGTTCGCTTCAAATACATCTGAAATGAAGAAGATGGCTGCGCGCGACTTTGAAGACATTCTTCAGGTAAGGTTTAACTTTCTTTTTAACGTCTCTCCATGATACATATGCCTTTAATCAGTGTGCCATCCCGGTTTTTGACGGCCTCCTACCAGAGCCACACAACAGAAACATCTTAGGTCTACTTAGTACGTGCGCAAGCTGGCATGCCCTGGCAAAGCTGCGCATGCATACCGATGAGACGCTTAACCTCCTTGACGTTGCAACCGCTACCTTGGGAAAGCAGCTTCGCCATTTCCAGAAATTTACCTGCTCGGCTTTCAAGACCCACGAACTAAAGCGGGAAGCAGAGCGTCGTCAGCGCCAGAAGTTAAGGAACCTGGTTGGCCGCGGAGAGGCAGTGGCGACCGAGTCAACACCTCAGACAGCTCGGCGACCAAAGACATTTAATCTACAAACCTACAAGTTACACGCCCTGGGTGATTATACCACTTCCATACGCAACTTTGGCACAACTGACTCCTACAGCACCGAGCCGGTGAGTGAAAACGTCAGTCTATTATATCCTCCACCATCTAAACAATATCTTGTGCAATGTAGGGAGAGCTAGAACACCGCACCTCGAAAGCAAGGTACTGTCGAACGGACCGAAAAGAATTTGTGAAACAGATAACGAGGATCGAACGGCGCGAGGCTCGCATACTCAACATCCGTGACAAGCAACTACCGCAGGGTGCAGTGGTGGAAGAGGAAGAAGTTGCCACCTCACCCGAAGCTCATTTCCATGTTGGGAAATCTCAAAATTACCCTGAGCACATCCCGCTGTTCCTCCAAAGGCATGCGGGGGATCCTGCTGTCAAAGTGAGCGCTTCGTAGTTGTTATGTCAACTTGAATGCAAGGCGGTGCTGATTCTGAGTGCCAGGACTTTTTACCCAAGCTTCAGCACTTTCTCCTCAATAAGATCAAGGAGGTCTTAACCAGGGAGGGTACTATGCATACTGACAGTTCCGCCAGCGCTACAGTCCCAGGAGCTATCCCGGTATGCTCAGACTGGGAAGGACGTGTTTTGATCAAGGCCGATCGCATGTACAGGCACAGCTTGATGCGGCTTAACTACACCACGTATGACGTCCGCCGAGCGCAGGACGTCATAAATCCATCGACCTCTCATTGCAATGTTATGCTCTTGGGCCAAGCGAGGGAGGGCTCAACCGCCCATGAAGGTCATCCTTATCTTTATGCTCGTGTACTCGGCATCTATCATGTCAACGCCACTTATGTCGGCCCCGGCGTGGCTGGCTATCACTCGCATCGAATCGACTTCTTGTGGGTGAGATGGTACCAATTCCTTGACAGACACCCCAGTAGGCAAGCGCCTCTAGATCGTGTCTGCTTCCCGCCTACCGCGGAGCCAGACTCGTTTGGGTTTGTTGACCCTGATGATGTCCTTAGGTGCTGCCACATTATTCCATGCTTTGCTCAACGTATGCAGCACTTGGACGGTAGGGGCATCTCACACTGTGCTCAGGATAAGTTGGATTGGAAGTCCTATTATATCAATCGGTGTGTCCAACATCGCTACTAACGGAGCTCCTCTGACTTGATGGGTTAGTTTTGTAGACCGGGATGCCTTTATGCGGTATCAATGGGGGTTGGGAGTTGGGCACACCTATGCTCATACCGTCATGCGTCAAGATGAACCAACGGTTGTGCAAGACGACTTTGAAGAAGAGGAGGTTTTGAATTCTGGCCCAGGTTGCGGCGCGTCCGACTCAGGTAGTGACTCAGAATTGGAAGGGTCTGACTCCGACTGGGGCTCTGCTTCACATGGAGGCGGTGACAGCGATAGCGACCAGTCCCTTGACTATGAGAACTAGGTTGGTTGGCGTAGATAGGTGCCTCTGGTACAGGGTTTCGTGATTCAAATTTCGACGCTTGATTCTATGCTCCTGGTTCTCCACCCTCATGACTCGGCACTAATGTTCAGAACTGTATTTTCTCAAGATCCGCCTTACTTGTCTTCCAGTGAGATCGTACACTACATTGCTTTTTTTTCTGGACTCGGAGGCAGTTCAAATAAGATTCTTCTGTTAGTTTTTTTAATCCTTGATTATTGTCCAAAGCTCTATGGTGGATACTACTGGTTTTTACACTACGGAATCTACTATAGTTTTTGTGCGTTGATGTTGTCGTGAGTTTTCGGAAAACCGACGGAAGAATCCGCTTCTATTAATAACTTGAATATGTACTGCTTATCGATGACTTGACTCGCAACTCCCAGCCTCACCGCAGCCGCCAGCAGCAGCGCTGCATAATTCCAACCACAGGATTGCTACAAGATCAGAGATCGGCGCCGTCCCTGGTGCAGAGGTGCGTTTGTTCAAGTTCGTTGTCCCAAAATCAAACAGCCATACCTTATCATGGCATGTTTGACAGATCGATAAGAGTCGTCAAGTGCAAGAAACATCGAGCTTGAAAAACTCTCGCTATCAACGCTACATCTACACACCCCTTTCAAAGTTAAACAACTGCATCTAGATATTACAGAGTAGGTTGGCTATCCAGTATGTTTATCATATTCTCGGTCAATTCACGCTATTTCAGTAATTTGACTTTGACAATGTCAAGAATTTATTCTTCAAAGTGGCCTATATACGGGAGGATATTACACAGACTTCGGGCGTGGAGACTGAAGTCTTCCGTCAAGCATATATGGTATTTTATTCATATCCCAGTCTAGTCGGAAATTCCTATCAATGTCCTTCACAGAGTACAGATGAGCTTGCGCTGTCAGTAAGTATTTCCGTCAAGGGTGATTAGGGTGCTAATTCACTATGTAATTTTTTTTTCATCTATCAAGAGAGTTCGTCTAGGTCTATGGATTCTTAGCCGCTGTTGTCAAAGCGCTAAGCCGCTGGCCAATGCCGGAGTTTGCTTTAAGGAGATGGCGAACATTATATGTCACTACTCTATCGAACATCTGAGGTAACGGAGCGGCGATAGATAGTCTCCACTGTCCAGGAGCTGACAAGTATTCGTATTTGTACACCGATCTCGAGCCAGTAATCTATGTACACCCAAGACTACATCCAGAGGCACTTCGTCGCGGCGTGGGTGTGCCTCCAAGATGGTAGAACTTGTGGCAAACATTTCGTGCACATGTTCGGCTTGGAGACAAGTACCGTTTACAAGGCACGATGTACTCGGGAGATTCAGACGTTGATTGCCATGTCGACGGGTTATGGTCAACCACCGGAGAAAGGTAGGCACGTTGAACATAAATAATGTTCACTATCTCGAGTTGCTCACATTATATCAGGGCTTCAGTGCAGTCAAACCGGCCAACGAAAAGACTTGAAACTCGTCGACAATGCTATCGGATTGGTATGTACTAATTCTTTTCTCGACTCGTGATGGAGAAGGTGGCTGGCTGGCTGACCTGTGAGTAAACGTGCTTCAATTTTTCCCTCAATCTGTCTCATGTATGCATTGTAGCCGAAATGTGCTGGCGTTAGCAAACAGCCTACGAGACCCGACTCGGAGGCATGATTGCGTGAAATTCCGACACGACTTATGTCAGTGATATGTGCCATGGTACGTGCTGTTGTCGACGACTTTGTATTTGACACTCAGGGCTTGAATTGGATGTTACGATCTTCTGAACAGGCCCCCCCCCAAACAAAAAAAAATGATTCTAACTTACATCAATGGCCTTACTGGGTCGACATCCTAGGAGTGGGTGATATCTCCCTCGTCTATGGTGTAAAGTCTGACGGGGTACAGGACGAAAACTAAGCTACAAAGTGGTGAAATGATTATGACTGGAGACCAATGGCCGTTGTTCTTATACACCCTAATGTGACAGTATACAATCGATGCACGAATGTACACCCCCAGCACGCCATCGATGTCGCAGGTGGGGAGCTGGAAGATACTAAGCGCCTACCATTGATGCCTAAGCCAAGTGAAGTTAATTTTATCTATGGCAGTGTGTGGTGATTCATGTCTTCAGAAGTGATGTTTATCGTGTTTTCCGCCATGCCAGTACTTCTCAAAGAAGACTCACGCAAAGGTAAGGATCAGAAATTCTTCTATCTGTCATATTGACAATCCGTTCCTAACAGCGTAGACTTTTTTTTTTTGAATCAAATTTATTGTCCATTGGGGTCTAAGACCCTATGTTAGACATAACCCTGTTCGAATGCGGGGGGTTTACTCCCGACTTGACTATAGTATCGTATGTGATTCTGACTTGTATGGTACGAACACGTACTCCGTCGGCATAGTGTCGGGCAAAGGCCGACGCCAACTTCGTACAAGGGGAATGGCTGTGGTGGGAGTAGTGTAAGTAGGTATGTGTGCGGATTGGGGTTTTGGCCCTCGGTTCGTGATCCCTTATACCTTTCTTCACTTTCACACAGCGTAGACTTGAGTATCAATGCTGGCCTCGACCTCGAGATGCCAGGCACCAACAAGTGGCGCACGCTTGATCTCATGAACAGGTCCATTGGCTCGAGGAAATTGACAGTGAGGACCGTGAAGGAGCGCGCACGCAAAGTTGTCGAGCTTGCCAAGCGCGTCGCTCAGGAAGCACCAGAGGTATGTACATTTTGTTCCATCGTGTGCTCTTTGTTGATGATGGACTCTCATAGATCATTGATGGAGATGGTGTCGAACGCACCGTCAACAGCCCTGAAGACACAGCTCTCATGCGCAAAGTCGCAGGCGAATCCATCGTGTTGCTAAAAAATACCAACGCCATCCTCCCTCTGAACCCCTGCATGATCAAAACGATTGCTATTGTCGGGGGGAATGCGAAAGCCATCGTGCTTTCTGGAGGAGGGTCGGCTGCACTCAAGCCATCATACTTTGTGACCCCGTATGATGGCATTACCGCTGCGCTTCCCGAGGACGTGGAGGTGCTCTATAGCGAGGGCACTAGTAGTACGTGGTTTTATCATCTCCATGAGAAGGGTTATGTTCATTTTTTATCTTGTTAGCCTACATGGAGATGCCCGTTCCCGCCTTCTATTTCGACCCACTCATCAACCAGAAACGCAAAGGAGGATACGTTGATATGGGAAAACAGGTGCGTTCAGTTGGTATGGAAATTTTACGCGTATTGAATAAGTATCGTACAGGATTTGCCTCCTGAACACGTCCGCAAAATTAGGTAACATGAGTAATCGCAAGTTTCGCAATGACAAGCGCGTCCACCTTGGCGCTTTGAAATACGTCCCTCACGCTGTAATGAAGCTGCTCGAAAACATTCCATACCCTTGGGAGCAGGTTCGCGAGGTGCCCGTCCTTTATCATATCACTGGCGCTATCACTTTCGTCAACGAGATTCCCCGCATTATCGAACCTGTTTAGCATGCGCAATGGAGTTCCATGTGGCTAGCCATGCGTCGAGAGAAGCGTGATCGCAGACATTTCAAGCGTATGCGCTTCCCACCTTTTGATGACGAAGAGCCGCCGTTGGATTATGGTGATAACGTGCTGGATGTTGAGCCTCTTGAAGCCATTCAGCTGGAGCTCGATACAGAAGAAGATTCTGCCATCATCGACTGGTTTTACGACCTGAAGCCGTTGGTGGACACACCTGCGGTCAACGGTCCTTCATATCGCTATTGGCAGCTCTCACTACCTGTCATGGCGATTTTGTATCGTCTTGGCAGAACCTTGCTATCAGACCAGCCTGATAGCAACGCAAGCTATCTCTTCGATAAGAAATCTTTCTTTACCGCAAAAGCTCTCAACTTGGCAATTCCTGGGGGGCCAAAGTTTGAGCCCTTGTACCGTGACATGGATGCTTTCGATGAAGACTGGAACGAGTTTAATGATGTCAACAAAGTCATCATTCGTCAACAAATTCGTACCGAGTACAAGGTCGCCTTCCCGCATCTCTATAACTCCCTCCCGCGTTCTGTTCACCTCTCGCCGTATCATTCGCCCAAGAATGTCTATATTCGCACACATGATCCCGACCTACCCGCCTTCTATTTCGACCCACTTATCAACCCTATCTCCCTGCGGGGCGCCACTCCGAAGAATGCACCGCTCGTCTCTCACGAAGATTCTATTTGGTCCGAACGGCGCCGAAGACGATGACTTTGAGTTGCCCGATGTAGTACAGCCATTCCTTGAGGACAAGCCTCTCGAGAACGACCTTACTGCTGATGGTATTGCTCTATGGTGGGCACCTGAACCTTATAATCGGCGCTCTGGTCGCATGCGTCGTGCGCAGGATATACCTCTTGTGAAGAACTGGTACTTGGAGCACTGTCCTCCCAACCAGCCAGTCAAGGTTCGCGTATCGCACCAGAAGTTGCTCAAGTGCTTCGTCCTCAACGAGCTCAAGAGTCGGCCTGAGAAGGCGATGACTAAGAAGAATCTCTTCCGGCAATTGAAGGCGACGAAGTTCTTCCAGACGACAAAGCTTGACTGGGTGGAAGCCGGTTTGCAGGTGTGCAGACAAGGGTGCAACATGCTTAACCTCCTCATCCACAGAAAGGTAGGCTTTCGTAGAGATCGCTGGGGTACGTCGAAGCTGATTTCCCCTTTAGAACTTGAACTACTTGCATCTCGATTATAACATGAATTTGAAGCCAGTGAAGACGCTCACTACAAAGGAGCGAAAAAGTCTCGCTTCGGAAACGCCTTCCACTTGTGTCGCGAGATTCTACGTCTTACGAAGCTCGTTGTTGACACCCATGTTCAGTTCCGCCTTGGTAACGTTGATGCTTTCCAGCTCGCAGACGCACTGCAGTACATCTTTGCGCACATCGGCGCCTTGACTGGTATGTACCGGTACAAGTACGAGGTTCGCACAACTCCTATTGCAGGCGAATTTTCTTTTATTGATTTTTCATCCAGCTCATGAGACCAGTTCGCATGACAAAAGATCTCAAGCACTTGATCTACTACCGCTTTAGCACTGGCCCTGTCGGCAAAGGTCCTGGAAATGGCTTCTGGGCTCCTTGTTGGCGTGTCTGACTTTCTTCATGCGAGGCATCACCACTGCTCGAGTGCTGGCTCGGTAACCTCTTCGCGTGTCAGTTCGAGGAACGCAACAGCAAGGGCATTGTGAAGACTGGGACAAAGTTGTCGAGTTTCACTACGACCTTGAATTGCGTGCTACTGCCATGCACGTCATTCTCGACATGATGCCCGAGTTCATCAAGCAGAACAAGTCGACGACAACTCTGCAGCATCTCTCGGAGGCGTGGCGTTGCTGGAAGGCGAACATCCCGTGGAAAGTCCCTGGAATACCCACTGCCACTGAAAACATTATCCTACGGTACATCAAGAGTAAGGCTGATTGGTGGTGCTCGGTTGATAAGGCAGTAGTGAAGAAAAATCTGGGTCGGCTGACTCGTCAGTACTTGAAGGATGGACTATACATCAGTGCGGAGGAGCCTGTTGCAATTTACACAGCGACCGTTCACTTGCTAGAGAGCCGCAAATTTGCTCCTATCCCATTCCCGTAAGTGAGCTAGGCATATGTTGTACGTCCTGAACTCACCGTTTTCTCTAGACCGATCGTATTTTTGGCAAGGTGTTCTTGCAGGTAAGAATACTCCATAGATTTCTGCATCATGCCTGACTTTGCAACAAGGAATTTGTGGACGCACGACGACAGCCTAGTATTCAAAATGCCCCCCAAGTGCTCTACACCAACCGCGACCCACCCTTGGAAATCTGTGATCTGTTCACTACAAGTACATCCCCCTGCAAGGGCGCTCATTCATCTCTGATAAACCCTTCTTTCATCTTTCATCGGACCACTCCATCCACTTCCTGAACGGCAGCCACTTGCAAGTCCCGCGAAGGTGCGGGAATGATTGTGATCTTCGATATGTTAATAAGGCCGCCACTGCTAACGTTAGAAACGGATCGATCATCAGTAAGTGGGCACTCACCGGCGATACTCGTCCTTGGACAGCACCTGTCGATCATGTCTGTTTGACCCTGGCCTCACTACAACCTCCACCGATGCGATTTCTGGCCTTTTTACGTATCGGCTGTATCTCTAAATCGATGGTGAGTGGGCGATCGACGGTGGTTTCGTTACTCACCGGATCCATAGGACTCATCTTCAAGCTGAGTGATTTACGATCTCGTTGCAGGACTCGATGGGCAATAGATGGCACTTAGTAGTGCTATTCTTGTCCAGCGGGGTTCTCGTGCCGAATCGGAGTCTGAAATATCTCTCCTTTCCCCCCTGTCGTCCTCATCCCCTGCGCACAGCGACTTCAGAACTCCATCTGCATCCCGTTGCGTGCGCCCTCTCCTTCGGACTCCTGGTGCTTCTAGGTGCTTCTTCTCTCTCGCATATGAGCAGCTCCCCTCGTCGCGATCCTCCTCGTTCCTCTTCCTCTCGCCCCAACCCTCCTCGCTCTTCACGCCCTTCTTCGTTATCCCTCCCACCGCGGTCTATTGGTGGGGAAATCTCCTCACGCTTTGCGGTCCTTCCTATGTGGCCATGGAGGGTCTGTCCAGTCTACTGTTTGCGCAGAAAGCGGGCCAAATAGGCAGAGACATTGCGGATGAAGCAGAAAGTTACCAGTTCGTGATTCTCATCGCAGCAGCAACTGCATTCGTTGCAGCTGCGTGGTGGGTCGTCATCGTGCGTGCTGCTCCGCGTCTTCCTGAATCACGCCGCACACTAAATCTTATACAGGCATAACCCGCAGCTGCTGCATCTCCTTCCCCGTTCTCGCGGAGGGGTCCTTTTTGCTGGCTAAATCCTTGTCGTCTGCGTCCCACGAGACTAAGCAAGGACAATTAGTCTCTATCTATGGTCTCCACTTGTCCTTAGCTAGTTTTTCTATTCATCGGATTTTTCCGGGCTTACGTCCGGGAAAATCCTTTTGCTGGCTAATCCTCGCAGCCTGCGCTTCGGACCGCGAGGCTAAGTGAGACCAAATAGAATGCAAAGCTGCCATATACACTTTCATCGAGTGCGGTGTGATCTCTACCAGCAGCATCGTGGTATTGAGCGCTCTCAGCGAAATTCCAGGTTACTTGTAATTTCTTGTCCTTTTGCGCCATTTTTCTCTTGCTTGTATATTACTTTGTCGTAAAATAATCATACATGTGAGGTATTGCAAAAATCCATCAGAACTGTGGGTTATTTATAATTTCTTGTCCTTTGGTGCCATTTTTCTCTTCCCTGCGTATTACTTTGTCATAGAATGATATTAATTGTGCGGTGTTGCATATTTTTATCAGACTTGTAGCATGCTTGCGATATCGTATCACTTGCTGTCATTTTGCTGGTGTTTATATAATACATTATCATAGGGTATATTATCACAAAATGCCATAAAATTTTGGTCAGACTTTGCAAATTTCATCTATTAAAAGCACGTCCTCCCCGATTTCGTGATGTGGTCGACCACCGGTCAGGGACGCACCGCGCTCGACTCCCAAAGCTTGCTTTTGTCGATGAATCTGATCGCGATGCCTTCGGGTTTTTAGATCCCGGCCAAGTTATCCGAGGCGCTCATCTAATTCCAGCTTTCGTTTCTGGGCGTGGAACAACCTCCCTTCGCCATGGAAAGTCGTTCGCACGTCAAGATGCCCAATTAGATGATTGGGAGGCATACTATGTTGGCATGTAAGTGCAATCTCCCATCCTGCTGTCCTTACTCGAGCTAGCGAACCCTTAGATTTGTCGACCGCGATATGTTCATGCGGTACACACCCTATGGGATTGGACATCCCACTGTGCTGCGTGAGATGACAAGGGATTCTATCAACGCGGACCTCATGGATTGCCCGGACAATGCCGACGAGGTTCGGCTCTGTGAGGGCGACAGCGAAATGGGTGGAGGTGATGACAACGATGAAGGAGGACCCAGAGGGGAGGAAGATGATGATGACAGTGAAGAAGACCAAGCGGAGTGCAACGATGACGAGATCATTGGTGATCCGGATGACCAAGAGATGGAAGATATTGAGGACGGTATCGACGAGGACGATGACCTCGTGTCTTTCTAACACCAGAGGAAGTTGTGATTAGTGATACAGGCGAGCGAGAGGGATAATGAAGCTTTGAATAATATGCAACAACTACTACGTCTCTTTCTACTCATATCTTACTACGCACCCATGAACATGTGAAAATTTATTTTCAGCGGACTCCTAGTCCTCATCGTCGTTCTACTAATCAAGCCTGAGAAGATGCGAAAAATACCTTCTCCAAGGCCAGGGTTTGAAATCATTCCAACCGTTTTGCATACTGTTCTTCTGTGCGGTGATGGCTGAACGTCACAATTTTGATGCAAAGTTGAATGCTACTGTACTCGCGTTGTTGATTGCCAAAGGCGCTTCCCACTATAAGGTCCTGGATAATGTTTTAATTCAAGACATAGACTAAGCAAAACAAGAATATTCAAAGGGGTGAAGAGGAGTGCGCTGTCGTGCATCGTTGGTCTTCATGGCCGCAAATCAAGACTTTGTTATGAAATCTCACGTCATTATACATTCGTTGACGAGTGCCAAAGGTACCTCCCACGAGATTGCCTTGGATGAGCTTGTGGTGCAAAGTGTAATTAAGGTAAAATGACAATGCGCAAAATATTTGGCATATGTAAGCTACTATCCCTCGTCGGCTGCAAATGAGGAACATCATAACCTTGTCGTGAACCGCTCATGTTACTGTAGCTTTGCAGGCGATGTATCTACAAATCAAATTTCTTATAGTATAAATGGCGATATTTAGCAGGAGCAGAATTCTGCCCTTCTATAATTCGCACGGGTACAATATCAAGGTCTCATCGGTTTACTGATGGTTGTGGCGCACAATTTCGCTGATAACCCTCTCAGTAACCAGGTTTGTGAGGAGAACGGATTCTTGAAAGAATGGGCTGTTCGTTATCGGGAGATTGGTAAGAGGAGAGACATGCTGACTCTTCTTGAGTGGACATACGACTAGTCACTAAGATCACGAATATGATGCATGAAAACGATGCAGTATTCTTGTTTACATAGTGAATACACAGCTGGATGAAGTTCTATGTCAAGGGTTTGTGTGGTGGAGAAGCATGCCGCGCTGCTTGCTAAAGAATAAGTCATCGGGTTCGAAGGCGCTCAAAGAATTATATGAGCGGATTGCCTGTCACTAAGTAGTCCCGGGAAACAGTGTGGGAAGATGGACATAGCACTGGTTGAGCGCTTCATCTACATGAACACGTGTCGAACAGATAAGGCATGAAATGCGCGCCTAAGTGAACGTTTGAGACGACTTGTTCCCAACTTCCTCGACTCCAAACCAAACATCCACCATACCAGTTCACAGTCCATCCCGCTCATTGGTGCATTTGCGTGGGTCCCGTGTTGACGTCAGCGCTTCTCGTGACTCGTGAGTGATACTATACGCTTTCAACCAGGCAGTGTTGACCACTAGTTTACCAGCGATTTGGATCCCAGAAAGGATTTCCTGCGATTCTCCAAGAACGCCAGTATACATAGTCCTGAAGTCGTCCTCTGACGAAGATCCCGCGAGACTTCTCATGCATACATAGTCCACGGTCCGCCGTAGTTGACGTTGAGACGCCAAGCATGCCCTCCTCCACTATTGAGATGCAAGAGACGTTAGCCAAGCCCCGTAAGACGATGAAAGGACATACTGGTGAGGTGGGAGGTGTTGTACACCTGCACGACGGACGACGCATCATCACATGTTCCTTTGACACCTCACTTCGACTATGGGATTTGGAGAGCGGTGTACAGATAGGCGACGACTGGCGAGATCAAGGAGATCCGTCAGTAATGTGGGTCATAGATTTGTCTCCACACGGCAACACCATTGTGAGCGGAAGCACTGATGGGAAAATAAGGTTGTGGGACGTCGAGACGGGGAAGGTCATCGTCAGGTGGATAGGGCATACTACTTATGTGATGTCAGTGTGTTGGAGTAGAGATGGTGAGCGAGTCGTGAGCGGATCCAATGATGGAACGGCGAGGGTGTGGGATGTCGAGATCGGCGAAACTGTTCTTGGACCAATCAAGACCGGGCACCAGAGCGTGAAAACGGTGATGTACTCGCCCGATAATACAAAATTTGCAACGGGCGGAGAGAACGAGAATGCAGCCAAAATATGGGATGCCAATACAGGCGAGCTGCTCTCTACACTCAAACACGATGACATGGTTTACAGCTTGGGTTGGACGTCGGTTGGAAAGACCTTATATCCGGGTCAGTTCCGATTAGGATATTCGACACAGCCACTTGGGAGCAGATTTCCATTCTTGTGGGTCACACAGACACCGTTGTCGCTTTATCCCTGTCCCAAAACAATCGCCTCCTTGCGAGCATATCAGTGGATAAAACAGCACGTTTATGGGATTTTGAAAGAAGCCTCCCAGTCGGACCACCCCTCCAGCACGACGATCCTGTGACCTGCGCAGCATTTTCCGCTGATGGCAAGCTGCTGGTCACTGGCACCCGTGTCAACTCCAATGTGTACGTGTGGGATGTCTATGCCATCCTCAAAGAAATTGGATGTGAAGACCTATGATCCATTCCCGGTGTGAGGCTCACTCTTCAATAAACATCACTCTAACTGAATCTCCTACTCGCAGGTCGCAGCTGAAATGTCGTGGCGGCCAATAGATGTATGCTCTCCACTTTTTGTTCAACATCTCTAACTAATGTCAGTGTTGAATATTCTAGGCGGTTGATACGCAAGGTTCAGCTCAGCTTGAGGGCACTCGTGTACCACTACGAGGGTACCTAGTTGACTCAGACACCGAAGAAAGTGTTTGTGTGTGTCGTCGTCATATCAATTCAATACTTCTTATTCTGACCTCGAAATTCTTAGCCATCACCAACGCGTCGTCATCCCAATACCGATGAGACACCGCCACTCCAGCAACATCTAAGGCAAAATTCCATTTCTCATCAGGGCCGTAGTCTCGCGGGAGTCGCTGCGGTACAGGACAAAGGGGTATGTCGTTCTCGTGTGTCTTTCTAGCCGCTGCAGTCCAATAGTCTCTCCTCAAGCATTGTATGTTGCTCGCCCAGCGCGCCCGCAGCACGCTCAGGTAGCCTCGACATCCATGCCACATCATACTACCGTGCCGGGTGCAGCAGGCGCACAGCCACGTCCTATCATCATCGACAAACCAACACGGTGGTCTCGTTTCTGGTTGTTTGTCTGCTGCATACCAGCCCGATATGCAAACTCGCCGTGATAGGACACAGACAATCCGCTCGATACACCGATTCATAGAGACGCAGCACACGGACAACTGTTTCCGTCTTCGTATTAGGTCTTTCATGTATCTTGCTAGCTCGTCATAGACGTCATTCACTATGCCATCGGTACCTTTACACATGCATATATTTACGTCCTACAACAGAACTCGCGCAACATATCGATCGTTGCATTTTTCAGACACGGCACTCGCATTCTTTAATCGAAACGTTAATGTCCCGCAACAACGAAGGAAAGCATCTCAGGTCTCAGCTCGTTGCGCACGAATGACATAGTGCAGTCACCAGTGAAGGAAGAAAACGGACATGCTTTGGCTGGCCCAAACCTCCACCGACTACCTAGCTCCCAGAAGCACCAATAGGATCTCCGACAGTGTTGACCTGGAGCATGACTCAACGCCCGGGGCTGGACACGAGTCTGTATCAATGGTAACGGACTTAAGATGATCGATGCAGCTTATCTAGCTGCAAATCACAGTGAAAGCTGTACATACCTAAACATAGTGTCGATTCCTGAGAAGATGAAGGGACCCGCAACTACTATCGGATGTCCGGTCTGAAAATTGCAGGGAACCGAAGTTCGACATATCACCGGGTGGGTTACGATGTCTGTAGTCGACTTAGTTCAAGGAAACAATAGGTGGCAGATAGGTGAATCACAGGAACAACCGTCTTCCTTCGTCTATAAAGGCCTGGCCATCAAAGACTTGGTGTATGTTGTCTTCTTTTCTCTATGATTAGAAGCCTCATGTATTGGATGTCAAACTTTTGAATTACTGGCATGTGAATCTGAATCAGTATAAAAACGTTCGGTATACGCACCTCTGCAACTCAGCCCAAGAAACCCACGATCCTGCACCAAGCCCACCTCTTGTAAAATGATGCAGCTCATTCCAGGCGCCACATCCATTCGAGTGTTTGAAGGCCATTGACATACAGAAGGAAATGGGGGAGCATCGTGGCGCTTTTAGCGCATTAGCAGTGTTACGAGATGGGAAATTAATATTTAATAGCCAGCGGTGACGCGAGTCTGTGTCAGCCTCGGCTGCAAACATTATATTACGTCATTGAGCCAACACGGAGCATGTTTCACTCATTTATCCTTCATCGTCCTCTTCGTCTTCTAAAGCTTCATTGGCAACCGCTGACTGCGAATGCGAAACTAGTACTGGAATGAAACTCGACAACGCCCTCGATGCTTGAGGTGGAGCTCTCCGATACTTCGAGTCTTTGGAAGGGTCTATGAGCCCCTACCCCCCATCATGATGCCTGAAAGCTGAAGGCCTGAGCATTTAGCCACCCATCCAAGCATCGAGCAGGTGATTATAAATTACCTTACAAGGCAAAAAAAAAAAAGAAAAGCGTTGAGACGCAATCCAACTCACTTGCCTTCCCCGCTGACCGAGTGGCTCGTCCCTTATGCTCAGACCATCGCACACGATTGCTTCACGCTTTTTGCCTTTAAAGGCAGAAACGTGCGCTGCAGAAAAGCAATCATACTCGATGTCCATAGCACGCTTGGTGCTTTAAAAGAAGCGTGCAAGATGTGTGGATTTGCCACAACACACGCGCTTTTCATTCACTCCAAGGATTTAATCCACCCCGCAGATCATTCACAACTTCTTCCTTCCTCTCAAACATTATCACAAGATGCCTGCTGAAGGACGTAACGTGGTACGCTTCCAGCCTACCTTACATCACGCGTCTTGTACTTATCACACTTTCTCTACAGACACCTGTTGCCTGCACTGTCTGCCATAAGGTTATAAGCCGCAAGGCAGATCTTCCGAGACATATGCGGACGCATGATGAACACAAGGAAGCTCTGTACGTGTTTGTGCCCCACTATACCTGATGGATTCTGACCTGATTACTATCTTGATCAGTATGCATGCATGCCCATTCCCTAACTGCGATCACAAGACCCTCCAAAAGTCCAACATGCTGACGCACATCAGAACCCACACCCGTGAATGCTCCAAGACGTGCCCTCACCCTGGGTGCGCGTATGCCACTACAGATCCAGGCAGCTTGACGCGTCACCGCAAGGTACTACATGGCTACGAGCCTAAAGCGCGTTGCAGCCCCGGTGGCAAAGCTGCTCGACGGTCCGCCGCCGCGCCTTACCCCTCTACAAGGTTTATGAAGCCAGAGGCAGAGATTCCTGCATCGCTGGATCTCGATGATCCAGCATTTCCCGAGCTCGCAGGCCTCGTTCGCTGCGATGCGCTCTCACCCGCTGAGTCCAGCCGTTCTGGTGTCCCCCAATTCTCAGGCGAGCTCGACGAACTCCCCTGGGAGCGACTCTTCCCCGACCTCCCCGCCGAGAGCTTCACCTCCGTTTATGATCAGCCCTCTCAGCTTCCCATTTCCAATTACCACCAGCCTCCGACTGTCCCTGCCGATCTCTCCACTCTCCACATGCCGCAGTTTGACCCGGAGCTGTTCTCCAATGTCAACTATCAGCAGCCCGTTCCAGATGTCAACTTTCAGTCCCAGCCCGTCTCCGGGAGCGATCTGAACAACTCCTTCCCAGCTGAACTGGACGAGTTTTTGCAGAAATATGGCTCAGGGTTCTTTGAAGGCCGCTGCGAGTACCCGGACAGTGCAACGTATTCGATGGCCCCGCCCTCGTTTACGAACTAATAAATACAACGCCTACTGAAATCTTCACTTCATTATCATCTTTCATCTCATTGTCATACTACCCTCGCATCATCATTAGCATTGGCATCAGCATCACAATCTTATGTGGAACTCATCATTATCATTATTGATCATTTATATCATACCACTTGCATTTCTTATACATATCTTCTTCCGCACTTTTGGGATTGCGACCTTCAACTTGTAAATTACATTATGTATATCAATACACGAATATCATGAATATGGATTGCGACATGCTCAACGGGAAACCCAATCAAGTCTAGTAGTAGTCTGGTCCGCTGCGTTCGGTATTCGCCGTCCGGCGCACTTCTTGGGAAGATCATGCTACCCATATCAAAGTAAAATCGGTGAACAGCATGTATTCAAACTTAACACCAATCAGTAGGTGAGGAGACTTCCCACTTGAACTCCAGTTTAAAGGCATGTTTCCATTCTTACCTCATACCACAAGTGTCTATCACCGACGTAAAGTCAAAGTAATTCCCAGAGCGACTGGTCATGAATTTTCCTCTGCGCCTGGGTGCCCGCCCACAGCTGTCCAACAGTAATGACCGCATCCGGCTGCACACGGATGGCCCGCCAGTGTCCTCTCCCCCCGGTCCTCAGAGCTGGCTACCCCCTCTCCCTCCTCCCCATCATCATCTCGATCTCTAATCAGCGAACGCCCTCGCGCAGATAAAGAGGTTGGGATATCGACCATCGGGCGCTCCATGTGATATCGCCTATAGCACTCTTGGTGCCCACCATGTGTACAAACAGAACATTGGAAAAGGAGTGTGCGGACGGGAAGATGACTAATGACAAATGAGTTCTCGGCGTTCAGAATCACATAGTGCTTGACTAACCATATCGAACACTTCACAACCGCGCTTTTGCATGTCATACATAATGCGTGAGCTCCTGTCACTGTTCGAGCGCGCGAAAGAAGGATTGGTTTTCGACAACGTCCACAGGCAGTATAAATGATGGTTTCGAGCTAAAACATGTCTTCAATCTCGTCTCGTACCATCAGTGTTACAGGACCTACCTTAGTGGTATGTTTAACATCCTCAAAATCGCTGCATTTACGCAAGTAAGAGGCACAGGTGTGCAGTCGGAGGCGAGTGAGTAGTTCTAACGGGTGTTAGTTCAGCCTCCATGACAGGCAAACACTAAAGCTTACCGATATATGCCTCTAGGAACTGCAAACCTCTCCTCTGGCTAATCTGCAGTTCCTTCGCTGCAATGAGAGCCAGCATAGCGCACATCTGAACATCACCCTGTTCGGCGACGGATCAGATACCATGCGAGAACATGCCAATTTGATTCCTTACTGCTTCTGCAAATTCTTCAAGCGCCTCTCTCAGTGCGTGCCATGCTGCCTCGCGGAGCTGAGCTTCTTCCTCCATCACAGCGTGACGTCTAGATTCACTCATACCACGCCAGGCTTGGTAATCGTCCGCCTCTACGTCCGCCTGCGAGGCATCCTCGTCATGATGTACGAGCCCGGAATTTTGCTCCTGTTCGCGGACAGATCCAGCAGTAACAGTACGAATGCTACTGTGGCTCGCCCGCTTCACCAATTGAGGAATTTCAGACACTGACTGCACAGGAGACGGTAGTGGTGCGGGAAGGACAGCGATAGTGGCACCTCGCGTACGGCTCTTCAGTCGCTTGGCGGCCGAGTTCTTCCTAGGACGTGTCCTCGCCACAGAAGCTGATTTTACCCTGACCTTCTGTGGCTTGGTACTGCACTCCGAGTCACGGCCGCTATGTCCTTCGCCGTCAGTATCAGTCGATCCAGGCGACGGACTGGCCTCGTCATCCCCATGCTCCTTACCACCGTCATCTTCATCCTCCGTCCAACGCTGCCCAGCGAGTCTGGAGAGTGGACTTGGATGTGCTGGACCTGTGCGACCCATGCTAAGACTCCTTGACTTTGCCATGATGGGTCGCCGAGGAATATCAGGCGGTACATCGATCTCGTTTTCACTATGGCTGTCCGGGGCATCGGCGCTCACCACTACGCAGTTCTCGCCGCCATCTGAAGAATCTGAGTCATCCAAGGCGCCTTCGCCTACGTGACGGAGGCTTCGGTCGCTCGCACTGATACTAGGTGTGCTAGGGCTCTCGCTGTGGGTTGCAGACGCACGGTTATACACAGACGGCCGCCGCGCATGTCCTTGTGCCTGTGCCGCTGCGGAAATAAGGACTGATGGACGACGAGGTGTTAGCGTAGCAGGTGTCATAATTGTCGAAGGCGGGAGTGCTGATGCTGGCGGAAGGGAAGTGGGGATGTGGCGAGGCGATGAGGATGTAGACGACGCAGGAGTCAAGTTTCGTGAATTAGGGGGCGGTTTAGTTGTGAGCGGGGCATCTCGCTCCCCGGCACGTTCTCTCGATACAGAGGTTCCGCTGCTATTTTTCGATGTGGAGCGCTGACCTTGGGTGAGAGGTTGAGGGTATGACTGACTGGCAGTACGTGACTGAGCAGGGGAAGTGGAAGTAGGGCGTGTCTGTTGGATCATCTTAGAGACAGAATCGGACGATGCGGCACGGTTTGAGGTGGGTTTGGATGTGGATCCTGAGGGATGTGATCCTGATCTTGTGCTAACTGTAGAGATGGCAGCAGGGGCTGAATTAGAGTGCGTGAGGTGTGCGATAGTCTGGTGGGTCTTCTCCAAATGAGGTGAAGCTTTGATGGACTCTGGAATGACGTCGGTAAGTAGAGAGCCAAGTAGCAACCATATTTGTGCTGCGTGCAGGCTTCCCGCTTGAATAGACGCCTACGGATATTTGTTCACTTTTACACACACGCCACGCAAGAAGAGCACTAACCTCGGCGTTTACCTTGCAAACAGCGGCCCTGTTCCTCCCGTCAGACCCGATAAGGTACTTTCTTGCCAAGTGCTCAAATAGCCCTCCAGACTCCGTGTTTAGAAGCCCTCCACGTACATACGTACCCATAGTCTGCAGAACGGGCATGCGAGGCTTGTCACCAAGGGATTTGAGTTTGAGCTTTCGTTCAGGAAGTACGTGTCGTTTGTCAGGGTGACTAACATCACGAAAGATTAAGATAAGGAAATAACTGCAAGATGACATGGAAGGTACGGACATATCATCGTAGGGCACTTCCCATCTGGCTCTCTTGTCTGAGACAAAAGCCAATGTTCCGTCGGTATCCCCGTCGACACCGACATTCCAAGATAGCGCCACGCGCGGAACGGCATCAATAGGGCGTACAGACCTACGCAAGTCAACTTGAGCAAATGTTCCAGATGCATGCTGGACCCAAAGTGCATGTGAGTCGCGGAATACAGCATCTGCAGATACGGTGCGCACAGGTGATTACTTCGATGAGACCTGGCATGATGTGGAAACGTACCTGTCACTCCACCCTCCGACGCGCTGGCTTCAACAGTCCATTTAGCAATCCAGCCGCGTCTTACATCCCATATCTCCACAACATCTGCACCGCTACCTTTGGGGTCCTTGTCTTTAGTGACAGAATTGGAGGCAGCAATGAACGCTGGAGTTGTGGATTGCAGTCGAGGGCTGGCTAATAGCTCGCTACCACTCCCTCCACCAAAGTCCTCATTGGACACAAGCGCAATCTCGGAGGGGTACTCAGGACGCCAGAGTACTCGGCGTACAGGGAACGATGGATGTAGGGTATAGGTAGGCTGATGTGCAATATGAACAGACGTGCCAGATGTGGCGAGGTCCCAGACCTGATACCCATAAGCGGATGTAGTGCAGTGAAAGTAAAAACCGACGTACTTTGACAGTATGGTCCAAACCTCCGCTGACTATCCAGCTTCTATCAGCACCAATAGCACCACCGACAGTGTTGGTACCCGGGGTGCTACACCAGTCCAATGCAAGAATTGGACCTGCGTGAGCTACAGGTAACCTGTCGAGCTGACCCCTCTGGCCCATTTGGAGATCCCAGCGATAAATTGATCCGTTGTCAAGACCTACAACAGCTTGAAGGGGATGGGATAGACATGGTGAGAAGACAAGAGAGCGAACGGAGGTTGGATGGTGGATCTTCATGATGCACTTAGACATGTCCCGAAGGTCCTACACCAAAAGTGAGTTATTGAAGAGGCCAGTACGTAATAAGTGCACACCCAGACACGCATATCACCATCAGCAGAACCTGTAACACAGTAGTACGGGACTATAGTGGAGCAGGATAACTTGTGAATCGAACGAATATGGAACTTCGTCTTCCTTTCTAACGATATTTGAGATGTAGAATCTGATATGAGACAACTACACGCACCGTACTTGGCATTGCCAGCCCTGTTGATATCCCACATAATAAGATCCCCATTCCGCGCGCTTGTGAGAATCTTGTTGTTATAGCCTTCAAAGGAGAATGAAGCACTGAATGTTGGAGTATGGGCAGCTGCTTACTGCCATGGCACCAGGCAACATCAGTACTCGCACTATCGATCTTCAAGCCACTTCCATCCCATACGTTCCGCGACGCTTCGATACGATGTCCACCGCGACCAATAGAGGCTTTATGGTCATTATTGATAACATCTTCTGGATCAGACAGACGCAAGATGCGCAGAGCTAACGATAGCGTTAATAACGCGCCAATCTCGTACTATGCAGAATATTTTCAAAGGTGACTCACATTCTCGTCCTGCAACGACGCATCTTAGACCATCTTCACTCTTCGCTATCGTTCCTCCGCCATTGGTGGTTGCACGGTGTAAGCGGACATTTCTCACTGGTCCCTGGTATCCGTGCTTGCGCGAGTCTGAGTATAGGTCCGCCGTATAACCTATGAGAGACAATGGTGCTGCAGAACTCAGCGTTGACGCACGTCTGGGGACTGTTGATTGCATATCCCGAGCTCGTCGTTCGCGTCGACGAAGCACTCCAGGAGTCTGACTAAGGTTTGCTTGCCATTTTAGGCAATGACCACTTATCGTTTCGACTCATTCCAGAACTTCCACTTTTAACCGCTACGTGAGCCTTGTCATAGCAATGAAATCCAATGCTGTGGTCTTCCAGCGAACGGTTCTGGAAGAAGAAATGGCACGTTTCAATACATTCGTTATACAGATTCCGGAAACATGAAAATTACCTCGATTTCGGAGGGGAGGTTTTTCCTGATGGCCTGGCAGATACAGACTTTCAGCTGTCGCCGCAAGTTGCAACTCGAAAGAAAGACAAGAACTTACCCAAGCATTTTTTTGATAGGAGGGTCTTTGTATCATCCCCCCACACGCGATCCATTTGATCAGAAGGCCTTCATATTCCTGAAATAAACTTCACGCTTGCGGCTTGCTTCTCGAAGTTCCAGGCTTTCAGCACAGCACTTTAAGTACATCACTTTGCGCCCAGTTAGCGCTTGATAAACCAGACAACGGAATTATGGCATACACGCCCTTTTCCCTTGCTTATCCTCACTCATCATGATGATAGCGCGATTGCTCGCCCACATTCTCAGCACACTGAAGAAATCGCTTCCACAGCTTGCACGCCGCTCCAAGAGTTTATTCTTATTCTTTTCCTTACTTCGCCGCTTTACCGGACGGCCTCGCTTTTCCCCTGGAGCTTTCCCGCCATCTCAAGGAGACTTCGCAGAAGAGGATGTACCCATTTGCTCGAGCCTTATACCTTCAATGTCGCTGGAAGTTGCAGGAAATTCACAATCTTCTTCTTCGGATAATCCTTATCCAGGGACTCATTTACGACCTTTGCGAAAGAATACAGCCATACCTTTGCATTCGCGCTCTATGTCAAGTTTGCCCCTGTTTCAGCAGACTAGTACTGGAGAAATTTCGGCGAACAGCAGATTACACAGTTTAGGCATATCGCCCCTTTCAGGCTCCCATGAGTTCCCCAGATCACATTCGTGCACGCCATCCATAAATAGTCGTGCTTCGGGATGCTCCCTTGCACGATCGATTGCTGGGTCAGAAATTCGACAAGCTGAATATCGAATGCACACGGGACCTGTTCATTCCCGCCCGGTTAGCGTCGGTTCAGTCACGGATCTACCCTTGGAAACAATTCATGTTCCATCGAATTCGCTCACCCGAGCAATACCAGTACTAGATCCCTCTATCGACCATCATGTTCATTTAACTGTCCCCCCCGGCAGCGATGGACAACCGGGCTCAGACGTTCTTACGCTCTATGACGCCCCATTGATAGCTGAAATGATTGCAGATGGGGTCAGGCGGTACGAAAGGTGCACTCCCCGGTGAACTTGAATCTTCTATCCTATCCATGCTCGAAAGCTGACCTTACTAAAGGCCCCCCGACGTTTGCAGAACTACCATCCCTCCCATGACAGTCACATTTCCGGAGCATGAGTAAGCCATGCTTTGACCATTTTCTGCTGCTCTCCAACTTTTTCAAGCATGGATGTGCCGCCAGGATGGATCACGGTCGTGCATCCGGAAGGTTCTCGCTACTTTGTGAACCTGGAAAAAGTGCGTCAATTTTCAAATTATTGAAGACCGGTGGTTTAGAGTTTGAATTCTTCTATGCAGAGAACGTGCACAGAAATTAACATTTGTCACGAAGAGATATGTAAGGACGTCGAAGGCTACATGAATTACTTGCTGGGGGAATTGGAGTCGGCCATCCTCACACGCGAGGAGCTTCAGCTTGACATGAAACAGGTAGACCTTGTGCTAGAGCCAAAGAAAAACCCCGAAAACGTGGTCATTTTTCACTATTACTTCGTCAACCATCGTGACAGGACCCTTTTTTGGCTGGATGAGTTCGATCCCAATCCCAAGGGGATTTTATCCAATTGTCAAGGCGTCAAGAGTCTTTCACACATACGTGGGTGGTTGATAGTTCTCAGCGGGTCAGGATTTGACAATTTGTTCTGGTCTTCATAATAGAACTTGCCGTTCAAGCACAATACTGGTGTGTTCAATCGAAAGGTCCGCATGGTATCATGAACACAATTATTGCATTTCTAATGGAACCACAGGTCCATCCATGTGCAAATAATGTAATATGCGACATAGGAGGCATTGGGATTACTTCCCTACCTTGTGTTCGGTTACACAGAACCTTGTCAATGAGGTTAAAGATATGTTGGTGCATGCGACATGTGGTAGGTAGTCTCTTAGGCTTAATACCGTTTTACCTAATGCGTCCGTTTATAACAATCAGACCACATGACGTCGAGGCAGTCCTCTGCAGCATATGATCTCATCCAGCTCAGGGATTACATCTCTGTGGTAGACAACATAAATGGTGCGATACATCAATACCTCCTGGCAGAAATCATGTGTTAATCACATTTCTCGAAGTTTATCCCCTCGAGGATCAGAGTAAGCAGTGTCATCCTGCGGTTGTCATCGGTGAGGCTTGAAAACAGTGTTTTAATCTTCTTGACGTTGATTGTTATTCAAGGCCGGATAATGTATACATTCAGTTAGTGAGCTCATTCACCTACCTGGCTGTAATTTATGGTGAATTTCCAGCTCGCAATCGGTTTATGAATTTTCACGGAGAAAACTGTGCGAGACTGTCCTTTGGACAGACAGTTCATAATTGGGTATACACACCATCATTATTGATGGAGGTTCTCGCGCCCCTCCTGTTCTTGGACCCCGTGACCCACATCACAGAACTGCACAAGATTTTTGCTGACAAAATAGCCTGCACGCCCCGGTGGGATGCGTACAGTTTGAAATTAAGGGGGCAGCTTCATGACTCCAATCTCATGGTGAGTCCTCATTTTCGTCGCGTGTACTTGCATGTAATTAATATTGGGCCAGGCCACTGTCTTGCTCAATGCCAATGTCGGGTTTCTGGCTATCAACACTGTTGACAGGGGCGGTAAATCTGCCATTCAGATGGCGAGCTATATGTCCCTTGTGACGAGCTTGGGAAGTATAGTTCTCGGCTTGTCATTGGTTTCCCAAGATCGAACATGTGGAGAAAACACAGCCTCAGAAATTGTTTGTAACTCTTGCTGTATATCCGCAATGTTTCTTATGGTAGTTGGTTCAGGCATCGTTTCTGACAACACTTCACCACGATGACCACGGACTTGAAAAGCTGGCCATCATTTACAGTCTTCCCAAGGCGCTGCTGATGTGGGGGTGAGTTCGCACCCTAGTGTAATAGGTTGGGTCCTGATCACAAGATCTTAGCATGGTCTTCTTCTGCGCGGCATTCTCGATCGATTGGTGGAGTTCTGGAGATACAGTTTCCAGGGTCGTCGTTGGTACCGTGACACTGGGCGTATTCGCGATGATTTTAAACGGTATGATTCGGACGAGGGAAGGAAGACACCCGCTGCATATGCTGGGACTATTGCTGCGTCTGCTACGTCATTTAGCTGCCGCTTGGGAAAAGAGCATAGAGTTCTTTAGGATCAAAAGAACCCAAAAAGATGATAGCGAGCAAGACGTCGGTCTGGCTCCGATGGGCGCTTCGCAATCAGAAGCCGAAATTTCGCAGGACTCCTCATCCATACACTTCGACGTAGAACCTCCTGAAGTACCCGGCACAGATGATGATGAAACCATTTCAATTCTATCCCATAATCCAGTCATTCAAACCAACCGCCTCCATGGATTAGATGATGAGGGTTTTGAGGGTCAGAATTCGGATATAGGCCTGGAGAGGCATGGAGGGGTATGATCTCACAAGCTGACATAGCCTAGTGGATTTGAACACAAGTTTTGGTCGTAATAGAACTCTCAATGTCTTTGTGTTTTGCTACTCAATGTTATACGGTCAAAACTGATTTGAAACGTAGGTACAGTAATGACAATGATAGCAAGGATGAGTTGACTGCTACCGTCCGATCGCGAGAGCAGACAGCATGCCAACGAGGGAACAAATAGCTTGTCAAACGGTGCCCGCTGCGATCACGATGATAAAAGCTCGACATCTCTCCCCTGCTTTGCCACGAAACATGCCTCCCAGCAATCTCAACAAGCTTCCTCTCAAGAGATAGGAGCAACTGTCTTCCCATGTTTCGCACTGACGCCTCCAGTGATACTCTCAATGAAGACACCCGAATACGTCAGCGCCTCAGCATCACCCTCCTGGATACCAAAATGCACCACATCGCCCTGCTGTGCAGCTGTCTCGTTGGCATTCGCGAGCGGGAGCTACATCGCAATTCAAAAACCGTTTATTGGTGATATAGTGCAGACCTTACCTTGAGTACACCGAAATGATAATCGCCTTGGCCAGCTGCACCTAGTGAAGCGCTCAAATTATCCACGAGGCCAGTGACAGCCTTCAGCTCCTTTCCATTCGTAGAATAGAAGACGCCGAGTGTGCGATTCGTCCAGTCAATCTGGACGGCGAAGTTATGCCAGTCGTGGGAGGTAAACGGCGTCTCAAACATAAGGTCAAGCGCGTGGTTGCGGACTTTCAGGTATCGAGCGTCAGAGACAGGTACGGTGCCTGTTGGGATGGTAAATGGTGAACCTAGATTAGAATTAGGGAGTGTCAGTGAAGTGTAAGATCTTGAGCATGTTGTAACACTGACCGAGCTGGATCTCAAAGACGTGCGTTCCGTCATTAGGCTCGATCCAGACGATCTGGTACTCGTGGCTCAGATTCAAAGGTTTCGCCAGGTCTTCCTGAATGGATACATGGAACACGGTGGTTCCTGCATCAGCGATGGCATTCAAGGCGGTGTGGTTCCCATTCGTTTGCGCGATGAGCTCCGTCCGGCGGAAACCGTTTTGAGGCGTGCTACTTCCGGGGGTGAAGATAGAAGTGTTATCGATTGAAATCGTCATCGGCTGTTCTATAGGAGACCATAGATTGGGCGACCACAGTGGGGTGGCGTTGAGCGCGTGTCCAAGGAGTTGGGTATACTGTGAACCGGTTGTTTAGCAGCCTATCATCATCGAGTAGGATAAGACTATACATATGAGGCGTTCATGCTGCCTTTCACTGCTCTGAGGCGAAGTTAGCCCTATGACAAAGTGGCAAACAAGAAGATAGGTACTTACGACAAGTAGGGGTCCACATTACCGTTCAGGTCTGCAGCAGTATAGTTGAAGGGAGCGCGGCCATCATAAATCAAAGGGGTTGCCGAAGTAAGTGATACAAGAGCAGGGACAGCGAGGAAAATTGAGCGCAACATCGTAACGGTTCAAGACCAGCTTGAAACCCAAGGCGAGAAATATAAGGGAATACAACACTGTCAAGCATGTCACATGTGCGCATTTAAGTGCCAGTGGAGAAATGCCGGGTTAAGCGGGAAACTGGGAATAACTATTAGCTTGCATCAATGGCAACATCGCTGCCAGGGGGGATCAGTAAACGATGGGAAGATGCCTGCATGTGATCAGCCGCGATGAGTGGTCGTTGATTATGATCATGGAGTATTAATGGCCTCAGTTGAAAGGTTTCTCCATGAGGAGATAGCCAAATGAGCAATTGCGCGCAAGAGAATATGAGTAGCTGTACTTGTATTCGAAATCCCTTTGTTGTCACTAGCCAAGTCCAAAAACAAATGAGCAGAGATCATCTCCATGGCCTGTCATAGGTTATGTCTGATCACCATATGCCACGTCAGACAAATTGATAGCTGCCTGGAGACGCTCCAGAGCCAAAAATTGAGCGAGGATGGATCGTGCTAGATCGTGCTAGCCGCCAGGACCAGGTGCAACGCAATACTATAGTCTAGTGCCTTGCCAACGCGTGCGTGATATTGAAACAGTCTCACTCGAATGCCCAAAACTTTTGTATCGAATCCAAATAGTCACTCATGGCCACCAACATCGACATTATCGATGTCGGTGGCTGAGTGACTATTCAGTCAATGTTGGTGGCCATGAGTGACTATTTGGATAGGCAAACGGACTCGGAGTTCCTCGGGATATTAATAACCTCGGGCTGGAGCTGCTGAGAAGGTAGCCTGAAGTATCTCGCGATGTACGGGCGAGGAGGAACGTTCATGATGCCCAGGGTTGTCAGCAAAAAATCACGATTGGAAGGGAGAGCAACTTGAAAGTTCCGAGGGGCGGCAGAATCATTACGAAGGAGTCAGCTGCAGAGCCCCCAAGGGCGACCATGGCCAGAGTCTGGATTGCGGAATAACGGCCCGCTATTCGTATTTGGCTTTATTATTATTCCCCAACGTTGCTTGTTACATCTGACCACCAACTCGTCGATGACATCGATGACGGTGTGTCCACCTGGCTCCCGCGAAGGCTTTTCGAGAATCGTGGAGTATCACGGGCGCGGTTCACAGCTGCCCAATTCTGCTAATATCTGCTCCCACTGTTCGCCATATCATTGATCATTTCCCCAGGTCTACGCGGATGATTTTATGGAGTTGTGTCGTCGTCACTCCATTCGCACTGGCAGGAGAAACATGCGATGATTTTGGACTGGCAAACATCCATGTCTACAGAAGCTTAAAGTGTGCTGTCTGTGCTCACAATGTCCTTGCGTCAGATTTGTGTGTGGTCGAAATCGCAAAACTCAATCTATCTCTCTCACAGAATGATTGTCTCCCGGCACATACTCTCCCTGGGCCTCACTCGTACGATTTCGAGTTGTCCAGTCGAACGAATTTTTATCCCAAGGGCCTGGCAGATTGTCATTGTCGGGCGCTTGCTCAATTGTCATGATTTGTCCTTGTTATTCATCTGCTTTGCTTCCCAAACGTCTTCGCCAGCTCAACGCCAGCTGAACTCTTTGGCCAACTTCCAATATTATGGTATGTTGCCTGACTCAATTTCTACTGTGTTGCAGTCCGCCTCGACTTATGATTTGACGCCGATTTCTCGCGCGCGCACACACTCATTTGTACTCGTAATTGGTGGTTGCAGACAGCAGGATGCATCTCAGCGATAACGATACAACTCGGGCGATTTGGGAAGTTCTACGTTGTCTACGGCCCAGGAGACTCTATAGGTTAGAAATTGGTTAGAAAGCACTTGTATAACATCACAACAAATAACCATCTTCCACAATATATGAGAAAGACAAGTACATAAGCATGTGGTATCTAGGTATCTAATATTGCGGTAGACGTATGCAGAGTAAAATACACCGCGCCTCATACAATGAGCGCCAACGCCAAGACAGTAACGACAAACAAAACATGGTAACAATCACAACATGCGGGGTATAAACGCTAGCCGATCATGGAAATATATGACAACAGCAGAACGAAATTGATGGAATGGAATGCGAAAACTCATATTCTACAGACAAGCTAACGAAATGGTTGTCGAGCCCGCTCAACAATAAGGGATGGGTCGGTCCTGGTCGACAGGACAGGATAGCAGCGTAGATCAACTACTTAAAATTGATAACGACGACGGAGGGGCTTGTGGACCATCCGTTTACGGCGGCAAGTTCCGGAGCTTGTCGGAACGGCGTTCGACGTGCTCGATGAAGTCGAGGCTACGAGATTGTTGGCCGTGTTTGAGGTCGTCGTGTCATAGACAGGACTTGATGCAGGGGTGGCTCCAACCGCGGGTGGCTGGACCGTAGATGTGATGTACTCTGTGCTAGTAGAAGTCTTGCACGATGGAGGTGGGGCCTTGGTGGCTATGGCACTGGAAGAGGTCACGGGTGATGGAGCAGCTGGTGAGGGTGATGAAACACCTGATGAGGATGATGAAGAGACAGCTGGTGGGGGTGATGTAGCAGCTGGCGATGATACAGTTGATGAGTATGATGAAACAGCCGGTGTGGGGGATGCAACAACTGTTGAGGATGATGAACTAGCCGAGGAGGATGATGACACAACCGATGAGGGTGATGAAACGACTGCAGCAGGTGCCACAGCAGCAGAGGATGTACCAAAGATATCGTTCTGTGCTCCTGTAGTGATGTATCAGACAAAACGTATCCAATGGCAACGAAATAATGGAAACCTCACCATCCTTGAACCCACATTTGCTATTGTATGCCGGGCTTTTAGGACTACCGCTCTGGTCAAAGCCGCTAACCGCGATGTTGTTTCCCTCAGCCTGATTCCAGATCAGGATTTGCTTGGCGCCCTGAGTGCATGTGCTCTGGTCCTCCTCGCACCAGACGGGAGGTTTTGGGGTGGCGATAGGAGTAGTGGAAGTGGCACCGGTGACCATGCACTTGAATCCCTGCATGTAGATGTTAGGCTCGCCGCATCCATTCGGAATCTAGAAAGGATTGTTAATTGACGGTAATGAAACGCAGCCGAGAGACAACGAACCCAAACCCACTGTTGAAGATGAATTAAAATTCAGCCTCGACTAGGGAAACCATCAATGACTTACAGCACAAGTGCACCCATCTGCAGGACAAGCAGGCATGTCCTGAGGAACATCGTAGCTTGTCACACGTTTCCAAGGGGTGCTTTAATGAATGTCAGGGGTTATTCGCGTGGCCGTCGGATATGAAATGAACGTACTTATAGCGGACGGTAAAGACGGCCAGGTTGTCCATAGTAACCTTGCTAATATCAGACTGCTCGATTTATAAGCTTTGTGTTCAATTTGGCACTTGGGAAACTATGACAGACCTCGTAAGAGATTGCGAATGCAGTGCCAGCAGCCATAGATTGGTTCTGTGTATGCACTACCTATTGTCAGTGCGTCTGCTCGAGCAAGTTTAATTTATACTCACTATTGGGATTGCCTATGCAACCACTATCAGTAAGAGGAGCGCCTGCCAAGTTTGTAATGGAGTAGTCCTCGGGGTGATTTCCACCATCGCCCCACTCGGTTGCGAATTGACCATCAAAGGAAAGGGAAGTTACGCCACGGTTCGCGGCTACTTCGACAGTAAATGAACTGCCGGCGGGCCTGGGATAGACAGTGAGATTTGTACGATTAGAATAGCACGCAAAACATACAATTCAAGGAAGTCTCCTGGCGCAGGAGGGAAATCGTCGCACTAAAAGGGCTAAGCATAGACTCATAGACTAAATAATAGGAACACACCCGGTTGAAATGGTGAAACCAATAGTCACTAGTCTTCAGCATCCACAGGGGGCTGACCGGGTCGTCGTTGTTATAATTGACCTGGCCTGACGCTGTTCCCTAGAGACAGAACCTGATGAGTTGAATGACGCGACATGAGGTGTTAGACTAACGTTGAAGCAATACATGGATTTGTGGAACGCGGCCATATGCGCGTGGCCTAGCAGAGCGAGAGACGATACGACAAGCAACTTTAGAGTCATTGTGTACTGAAAGGATCGTCAAGAAAATGAGTGGTGTATGTCGAGGAGTGTGAGGGGGCCAACTTCGCGTGCAACGCGTGTGGCAAAGTAAAGAAAAGGAAAGCTGAAGTTAAGAGAGAGAGAGAGAGAAAAGCAAAAAAAGAGTGAGGGTCTCAGATCTCGATGGGTGGTGGACGGTCCACCCACTAAACTTCTTTTGTTCTTATACACATCCCGTAATTGAATATTGAATCACTGTTCCCGTTTTGGACATTTACATACAAAAGGTCAACGCAAGGTCAACGTAAGAATCAAGCTCATTCCCTTGGATACCCTCGGCCAACTCTCCAACGTTCTGCTGGGACCATATGCCACCAGCGCTCATCTCCGTCTTCACCACATGGCACGAAAGGACCATGCACCGTCAACGTTGGTTAGACGATCTTTAATCAAGAAGCTTATCCACAAAAATATCGCACATCCACTACTTGACGTTGACAACGACAACTTGTCAGTGGCCACTCTAGTCCCACCCCTGGGCAACCCACAACGGGCCTGCCGCGCACGCAGAAAATTTGTCTGTGCCAGTCTGTACCTCAAAGTGTGGAATTTCAGGTCCCATGCATGTCGTGAACTCCGAGATTATTTTTTAATTCAATTCAAGAGTCGCTGAGGTGAGGTTTGTTTGAACTTGGTTTGAACGAATATAACCGTGATGAACTTCTTTGGATATGTGCAGTTAAAGCTTCTAATCCGCTATACTACAGTGTATATGCCGGCCCCTGCCAGATCATGGTGTGTATATGAATCCTCGTGAACCCCACCCCCCTGACCAATTTCCCGTAGTCAGACCGTAAAGGAGGATAAAGACAGTCCCATATATCAAAAGATTCTTACCCTACGAATTTATGGGCTGTGTGGTGAAAACGGCACCCCACGTTTGGAGTGATGGGCTGCCGCGGTGAATCGCTCTGCAAGTGTCATTCAATTATCTCACTTGATCCTTGTTCCCGTGTCTACACGGAGAAACAACGAGAAGCTGAGGCATTTTCATATCCAATTTCCAACAACGCAAACATGTTGATCGATTGGCCAGAGTACTTGCAAAAATTCACACACTCTGTAGGCCAAGGTTTTCCATGTCTTCCGCTCGACTTCCCCTTTCTAGTTCCTCCAACGTAAGTCATGTGCTAGATACACACGGCATTTTCTGCGGACTCGTGTTGGACACCTTGCAAACCGTGGTCTTGATGTGAAAATCGCCATATAAATCTGGGGTGTCGACGGAGATCACTTTCAATGCTTCTGCATCCAGCACCACATCATGATGAGTCCACGAGCAACTAAGCGGGACTGTGTATTAACTCTACAGCTCTGTTAGAGGGATACTCAAAGTGCTCAAGTGGGACTACGGTAACCTCAGGGTAAGCCCTCGTTACGAATTTATCTCAGTGCTCAAGTTAACTTCGCCTGTTAGAAACATGATGATGCATCCACTATGTAATCCCACCCGTTCATGTTGGTTAGACCGAAGTAAAACAGGTGCATGATCGCGGGTACTTCCGAGTCAAGTTGGTCGTTCCTTCTCAGCGGAGATAGCCATAAATAGTACATGTCATTAATGACATCATCGCATGACGATCATGATGTTGTCGCGTTCAGGTGACCCAACGTTCACCACGCTTCTTGTCCACGAACTCTTTGCACCTGAATATTTATTCTTCGAAACATGGCAGCTGCCACACAACGCTTCGTCGGAGACACACCTGTCGAAACTTTCCCATCTGAAGCCACCCAAAAGATCCCGGACGATGAACTCACGAAGAGAGAAACGGAGAGACTGTCAAAGGGTGAGCAAAAGGAGCCTGGGGCCGGCAAGCGAGCTGGAGCTGCTACGCGAAACCCAGATGGTGAGAGGAAATTTCTGCTGTGCAGATCCCAGGACGCTAAACGCTAAATGCGGGCGTTCTACAGACTATGATACACGTGGTCGAGGAGGACAAGGCAACACACAACCAATAACAGGTGCGCTACAAAAGTTAATCTGAAGTTGATTATTATTAATTTGGTCTCACAGATCCTGTTGTCTGAATCTTGCGTGCGCAAGGGGTCGGTTTCGTCTGCATCACGATGTATCATTAGTAGGCTGTGTACACAGGGCTGTTGAATCTGGAGGTTGCAAGAGCGTTGTAAGAATTCATGCGCAGATGTATCATGATATCAAGATCAGTATCAGGACTCGTCCGGCATACATATGCGTGTGCCTGACGATCTATTCAGTTGGCCACTGGCATCATCGCCAATAAAATCCACTTACACCTACCGCAAGGCGGTGAAACATGCAGAGAACAATATATACTTATTATGATGAAAGAGGCAAGCGAAGGCGCGGATGTATCACGGTGAGTACGGGTGCATAGAAGAGGCAGGGTCCATGACCAGCAGCGTACATGCTATGGGAGAGGAAATTGCAATCTCGATGAATTTTGTTGTATCGTGGTCGTAACGATTGAAGCTGACGGTATCACGGTTGGAGCTTTGAAGATGTGGGCACACACACTGACCACAGGCGGGAGCAGGTTGATATTAAGAAGTTGCAACGTTGAAGGTTCATCTGACATAACGAAACTCCGACCAGATTGAGCCGAGCGGCTGGCTCACTTCGAACCCGCCGAGTCGCATGCCGCGTACCAAGCATCCACAACCACTGGGCAGTGGGCCCTGGCAGGTCATTAAGTTACCCACACCTACTTCTTCTTACGTGCGGACTGACCTGATCTCAGCAACAGTACATTTCACAGTATACTGTAACAGCCCTCGCACAAACTCTGTCGTTTTCGCGCCATGCACAAGTGCTTGAATGTATCGGAGATCTTACACAACATCTGTACCAAGGTGCGGAGGCTTGGAGAGCTCGAGCTCGACGAGGCCACGCACGAACAGTTGTTCGAGGCGCGTCGGACACTTTTCCGCCTCGCATTGACATGTCGCGCACTGAAAGATACTGCTTTGGACGTACTATGGGGAGATCTCGATTCCCTTTACCCCCTTCTGTGTTCCTTACCCAACCTGCAAACCATGTCTGGCGATTATATTGTGAGTGCATATAGACCTACACCACAACATGCGCTCAGTCCTTTCTGCCTTGAAACAGGAAATCGGCAGAGCACTGCGAGCGTCTGATCTGGAAATTTTCCAGAAATATGCAAAACGCGTACGTCGCCTCGGATGTGGCCAGGAAGCGCTCAATATGGCGGACGTGCTACGAGTTTTGTGTAGTTTTCCTGCCCCCAACGGGTCTTTGCTCCCGAATCTGCGCCTACTATCTTGGGACTGTGACGACAGTGATACGTTTCCTTTCATCCGATACTTCCTTCACCCGTCTCTTATTTCTCTACGATTACTGGGCAAGCTGTGGCGTCCGCCCAAGGCGTCTTTCATGACATTTCTCCCAGTGCACTGCCCCCACCTACATTCGCTCAGCTGCGCTTCCCTGAATCGTTCAGCCACGAAGCCCATATCGGATTATATCTGCCAATCCCATGAGCTCCATCATGTGGATTGCGGATTGCCTAATGAGGCTGCTGTGAAGCATCTCATGAAACTGCCCTCGCTGAAGGGCTTCACCATCACTCTGACCGAAGAGGACGGGCCGTACGATGGATACAAAGGAGAGTTCTGCCCGCAGCTCGCTACCTTCAGCATCATCGCAGGGTCGTTAAACCAAGCAAGAATGTTCTTTCGCAACCTGCAGCTCTCGCCAACCCACCTTCATTTCAAGACTTCGACTATGACCAAATGTGAAGACATTCGGAGGATCTTCAAACAGCTGCCAGATCACTTCTCTCCAGCGAAGTTAGAAAGTCTGCAGCTCACTGTTGAAATCATTCGAAGAAACCTAGACACCACCGATACCGAATGCGACCTCGACATTCACGCGCTCAAGGAGCTTTTCAAATTCAGGAATCTCGTTGATGTCCGCCTCGAAGATTCATGCATGTTAGGCCTCAACGACAACGACATGTCCGACTTCGTTTCCTCATGGCCTAACATCGAGGTACTGAAACTTGGTACCGGATTCGAATGGAGCGTTCCTGACGACGACGAGATTGCGACCTCGGGAATCACACTCAAGGGCCTCAATACACTTGTGTCTGGTTGCCGGAAGTTACGAGTGCTTGGGCTTGTTTTTGATGCTTGCATCACCAACGAGGACGACAGGGCTATACGGTTCCACACGAAGCATCAGATCAATGAAAATGTCGAAGAATTCGATGTAGGCGGATCTATTATTAATGATGCAGTAGCCGTGGCCGTTTTCATCTCGTCCCTTATGCCGAAGTTGCGGGCGCTCAAGTTTGTAACTGTGTATTACGAGGGGGGGAAACTGCGACAAGTCTCTGACTCGCGGCCTACTTTGTGGACTCAGGTGAACATGATGTTAGAGTTCGCGAATATTCGAGAACAGAGGAGGCGTGAGGGTCAAGCAGGGTGGGCAGATTCGGGCGATGAAGAGGGATCGTTGATTAAACCCGAGTTCTCGGTATTTGGCCAAAGGTATATCGTTGTTCTTTTTTCTGCACGTTGTTCAGATCTTCATGATCAGCATTCTCACAGTTCTCACATTTCGGTGCCCTCGGTGAAAAGACCATAGTCTTGGGCGCAGTTCTCTCTCTCGAGTCGAAGATCCTTCTAAGGTTCCGACAACTCCCAGCACACTCCGTTCGTCCATGTTGAAAACCTGATATCTTGGCATTGTGTGCTCGCTTTCTGATTGAATTTACGAATCCGTCGGTCACTGGTCAGTACTTAGTAATCACTAATCGGGCACGGGTTTGGGATGCGATGAAGACAAACAATGTTAGTCCCCTCCAAATATACCAGGTTGCTGTATAGAGCATTGATCCTGAGGAAAGCTGATAGAAGCCTGCCATTCTCTCATCTAGTATTACGTCCGAAAAAATTGCAGCTTTTGGAGGCCTTCCTAATGACAGGCTGAGGTTGCCCTGCGCAGTGCATATGCTAATAGTGATGAGCCGCGGCAGAACGGGGACTCGGAGAACCCAGTTCCATATACACAGATCTGAGGAGTATGGCAGATCCGATTGGCAGTGAAGTGTGATGACGACTCGCAGCGACTTTAGCTTTGCCAGTGGATTTAGAGTGGATATAGTTAAAAACTGACATGATGCCGCAATTCTGTTGCAACGTGGCTTTGTAATGAGCCAATCGACTGCTACTGATGAGCCCTAAAGTAACTTTCCGACATTACGTACACACACATTCCCTTTCCTTCACACAGTCCAGCAGAGTCAAGCGTGGTTCCAGTAGGGTCGTGACCAAGAAGGAAGGAATTCCCTTCTATTTGGACTGTCTGCGGGAACAGTAGCAGTCTGCAATCTTCAGGGATGTCACAGCTGGCGACACAGTAAACACACCTCAGATGGCTGGCTGTTCATGCAGGGGTATCACCTGCTCGAAATGACCACGTAGCTCAACGGCGAGTAGCACCCGCTGCCACCTCATACTATCTAGAGAAGACGGATTGCAAGTAATGCAGCTCTCAGCAAGCTTGATGATTGATCGCGCGAGAAAGAGCTACTCGATCGGCTATCGTGGGGCTGACATATCTTACCGTTCGCTTCTAAATTGCAGCCGTTATATTCCCTCCAATTTATCATTCCGCTTGATCAAAAGGCCTCTTTATCCAACTTGTGACCGTATTGCTCGTATTGCCCACCAAATGGTGAAGGACCCGGCGCTTTGAAAACAACACGTCCACTCAGTGGCTCAAGCCAATCCACGCACATACATAATTTATGGTTTTACTTCACACACAGCAGACGATCAAGGTATGAGCATATTGACACCCGGTCATCCAGCTTTTGAACCGACTGCCGTGCTTTGTTCACAGTACTTTCGAGGTTTGTAGTCGGTTTCGCTTGTCCGTTATAGTCTGCTCAATTGGTGGCAAAGTTGCACCGGCCGCTGTTTGGGTGAGTTGAGCGTGCACTGTTCGTGCGAGTCCATGCGAGACCTTATCTCTCTTCACTAGGCATTCGATTATTGTTTGACCTTTGAACATGAAGCTCGTCTGTTCAGCAGCATCGGTCGTTGGCACATCGCGCCTGTCATGTTTATCGTAACTAGATATGCTCCCATAGCATGGATTATCAGCGAAATATACGGTGAGCAACATCATGATTGGTGAAAATGTTCTCAGTGACTTTCAGTGACTGTTGGGCCACCTTCAACGGAAACGGTATTTAGTGTCTCTCAGAATCATACTCACAGCACGCTGATGCTAAGTGATACAGTGCCTGACTACATATCGGACTGCTGGGGGTAGGTCACCTCACGATCATCAATTCCATGTCTTCCTAATTTCTCCCAGGTGCCTTGTTTCTTATCATGGTGGCTACCGAGGGTCAGTGCGCTTGCGTTGACAAAGTAACATCCCCCCTTACGTACCCCAGGTCTGCTTCTTATGCGTACACTTGCCTTATGGCACAACAATAAGAAGATCAAACGATTTTTGTTGGCAAGCTACCTGGTAAGTATTTTGGCAATTCTACTGTCCGGGTGGTGATATTAGTGTTTGAAGCTTGTGGCTATCTCGATGCTCGTTTGCGATATCCTGGCAGTGTCTCCGAACCTCGAAAGTGTATGTGCACCCACATCAACTCAGGACTCTGAAAATGAGGCTACGAGAGTGGAACAACTGATAATGGGCATGTTTGTTAGCGCAGCGCTGTTTGAACTCAGTAAGCGATTGGCGATGTTGCCTTCCTTTAACCCTACTGAAATACATGCAGCGGTGGTTATTGTCACGATGTATCATTCAATTACAAGCCGTTCTACTGGCACGCCCACCGTCGGTAAATTAATGTCGAACTTGTGGAAGGGAAGCATGCTATATGCACTGTCGCTCTTAGGTATGTTATTTAGATATTTATTTCTTCTTTTGTTTCGCCTAACTGTGCTCTAAGCAATCTCTATTGCGAATATTGTCTCTTTTTCTTTACCGGTACGTACTTTTTATGCACCCCGCTATGGTTAGGTATGAACTTTTGGTGCAGATCTCAAGCGGGCAGAATGGCATCATCGACGTGTAAGCAACTGTCCTTCGTATCCAGTACTAACTGCTCAACTTTGTCATAACCAGGTTTCAAGGTGTCCTGCATGGTGTTATGGCCTCACGTATTCTTTTTGATCTGCGCGATACAGACCGGAGTGAAGATGGCCTTCAACACACGTCACATGTACCCCCTTCTAATTTACAGTTTGTATCGGACACCATACCCATGACTGCCTTACATGACGAAAACGATGTATGAATCACATGTGCGTATCGTTGACGTCCTAAACGTTGGACTTCAATAAATGAATGGCTGTCGGATTTGGGCAGACTTTGTAATACTATTAGTCCAAAAATTATCAAGCAGCTGGAAACCAGACTTATCATCAGACATTATGGATCACCGAGACACGAAAATAGGTGTCTCGTCTTGGAAGTTGGCTCCCGGGTCTCGATACGTCTCTCGTACAATAGTGACGAGCGATGTATGAAATAGTTCCGTTTGATTTCCCAGTCGTGAAAAAAAACTACAAGGAGCACAAGACACAACAAGATGGTGAGGGCCAGAGATAGCAAGGGATATTGGGGGTGGAGGAGGACTTCGAGGACGTAACAGTACACCAGACATTGAGGAACAGCCGATGAACTAAAACTGCGGGATTGGAAGGCCCGGGGCGAGACGCCTGATAAACTGACCATGGAAGCCGCGAAGATATATATGAGCCATTCCGCCTCTGGAACTGTGTTCTATACGGAGAACGAAAACTTACGATACGCCCGCATCTGTCCGCATCTGTCCGCATATCATAGGAACTGATGTGGAGCAATAGTGATATCAGTTAAAGTTTAATTGAATGAACATACTGTTGCAATTGTGGAGTAGGGCTGCGGAAGGTGAAAATCGGTCCAAAGTCCGGAACTTCCATGGGAACTTTCTGATCAGCTTTGGGGAGGCACTGCAGGTTGAGACACAACGCATCAATAAGAAGACATCCAAAACAGTGATTACGATACGTCGGAAGTCCGGTAAGAGCTTGAAAGAGCGTCCAAATGATATTTAACCCTAGCAACCCACTGTGTTTGATATTCGATACAGATAGCCACTGCAATAGCCAAAAAGGAGACGCCGTCCAAACGAGCGAGTGGACCATCAACATTGTCTGAATGAGTGCAATAGATGAATTACGGTATCCATTCCCCTGGTTAAGATGCATGCTGTAAGTAGACGGCGTGAGGCGGTTTGCTTGGTCAAACCCGGGCCGCTCGTGGGTCTTCGAACGCATTGCGAACACCTGAATTGCCGAACGGTTGACAGCACTGTCAGGCTGCAGAGTAGGTGAGCCTTTTATGATGATGCTGGAAAATGCGGGTTCGTACGAGTTGATATAACGACCTGACGTGCATCACTACATCCCGATCCTTAATCGCATGCCAACCCCTCCCGCTGATCAACCATTGCCGCGTGTCAAGTCCTTTTAATTGCTTGAAGAGAGGTGAATCGAACTGTAGTCGGGGACTGGTGCAGTCGAGCGCCATTACCTGCCAATACGGTTGTGATTTGTACGTTTGTCACGATTGCATGGCAAGGCTTGGTTGGAAATGGAAATGGAAATGGAAATACACGTCCTAAACGACACACCACTGCACGCCACCTGCACTTAGCAGGCAATGTGTTCATGCATAGCCAGTCTCCTGCAGTCAAGACCTTGATAGAAGGAAGACAATCGTTTTGCAGTCGCTCCATCTTTTTCAAGACCCGGCAACTCCCCTGCAGTGGCGTCAATTGGAAGACACATTTGCAAGTTTTGATGGCCGGTAGTTGCCGCTTGTTTGAGTGAGTGACGAACTTACAGTAGACTCACGGTTTATCTTGCCAACCCTTCACGAAGACTTGCCCCTCCCTCCAAGACCTCGACGAGATCATCACCTACCAAACGGTGACGTATCGAGAGAAAAAACTATCCATGCACATACCACACATTATGTACACATGATTTACTGCCGCACGCAGAGCAGACGGACAAGAGTTCTGGTCACTAAGGGGGGCGCAGTGACATCTCGTTATCTACCTTTTTGAACCGACTGCGAGTCTCGCACAATGCTTTGTTCACAATACCACTTCGAGGTTTGTTAGTTGTTTCCCTTGTTGTTATTTCTGTGCTCAATTGCTGGCAAGGTTGCACCGGCTGCTGTTTGCGTCCCTTCTGGCGATTCCATGCGAGACCTTATCCCCTTCCTGAGGCACGTTTGACCTTTGAATATGAAGTCCGTATGTTCAGCAGCATCGTGACTGTCATGTTTATCATAACTAGATATGATATGTTCCCATAGCATGGATTATCAGCGAAACATACGGTGAGTGACGCTATAGATATTCCCTATTGGGAAAATGTGTTTTCCGGTCACTCTTGGACCACAGTCAATAGGCACGGGATTAGCTCTTGACCCCATACTCAATGCACTTCAATGCTGAGTAACAGTGTTTGACAGACTAGTGGAGGTAGGTCACCTCATGATCACAAGTTCCACATCAGCTTCCTAGTGTCCCTGTTTCTTATCACGTTGGCTACCGAAGGTTAGCTTTTTGCATTGAGAAAGAATGACACATTTACGTCCTTTAGGCCTGCTTCTCATGCGTACACATGCCTTTAAAGTTTAAAGCTTGTTGCGAATCCGAACTCCATGGTCGTTTGTGCTCTAACAGCGAGGCCTCTGTTCGGGGGTGTATGTGTGGTATTTGAGCTCAGTGAGTGGTTCGGGACGCCTTCTTTTAGCTCTACTGACGAATTGCGTGCAGTATGAATCGTTGTCACGGTATAATGTTTCGATGTTATTACATTCTAATGGCGTGTGCACGGTAAGGTAAACTGATTTTGACCTTATTGAAGATGCGCTGTCACTTCTTGGTGTGTCATTCGGATGTTTACGACTCCTTTTTTTCTATTTTATTTCATTACAACCTAAGCAATCTCTGTTGCAAATGTTGTTTCCTTTCTTTTGCCGGTACGTGGTTTTCCATGCGCTCCGCCAGGATCGATGTCCTGTCAAGCCCTAACTGGTCGATTGCAATGACCTCGACCCTGCATGTCTCATACCAAAACGTGGCTGCACAGCGAGCTTCTTTATGGAAGAACGTACTGCCGCTGGTGCACCTCGCGTCTATCCTTCAACGTCAACGCAAGGGCAGATTGAATGACTACTAAGGGGACGGCGATAGCCACAAAACCTCGTTCTATGCGGACGCGGCATGACGGCTGCAAAACCATACATCTTGGCACCTACAGTATACGTTTTAGGGCCTTGGGAAGCACGGCCTCCGTGGTTGCGCTTGGATTAGGCGTCCGCTCGCTCGTTTTGACTCTCGTTCCTTGCGGCTGCAGCGACATCGTGAGTACGTGTTTTGACTATAAAGACTATAAAACGCTCTGAAGACTTCTGAAGATATTGAATGGTCTGCGGGGCTGTGGTTCCCCTTCGCTGGGACGCTCTTACCAGATTTCTGAGATGACATTCTGTCCTGAAGAAGCATGACATTGACGCTATAGCAGCGATCAACACTCAAGATTTGATCCGCATGCGACGTGACATATCCCCTTGGGAAATCTCGATCTGTCAGTGGTCACACGAGCGATTTGACCATAACCTATCATAAGATTCATAACGCAGGTCATTGACACACGCCTGTCAGTAAATGTCAGTGATCACACGAGCGAGTCAATCATAATGCGGGTCACCGACATCCATCTGTCAGTGGTCACACGAGCGATTTAATCACAGCGCAGGCCTTCGACATCATCCGCCCGTTAGTGGTCACACGAGCTATTTAATCGCAATGCAGGTCTTCGACATCCGCCCGTTAGTGGTCACACGAGCGACTTAATCATAACGCAGGTCATTGACTCTCACTGTGGTTAGTAATACAGCCCACGCTGCCAGGCTGATCTGAGTGAAATCAGGGATGCAATGGTAGAACACTTCGCTTCAAAACCCAAAGGTAGTGCCTCGAATCCAAAGACATTCATTGACTGGGTTCAGTATGTTTGCGTTCCCCATACGATGGCTGAGCTTGTGATGTTCCTTACCCTATCCTTTGTTATTGCTGATACCCGGAACGGCCACCGAGTTCGAACAACGCACATGCACACGACTACTTCTTTGTTCCACAGAACGTGTACAGAGGTAGGCACATGTGTGCAAACTTTTCGTTACTTCTCGCTGCCAATCTGAATCGCAACAGGACCGACCTCGGCAAGTTACCATAGCAACATACAGGCCACATTTGATATTTTTAGCAGACCGCATGGCTAAAATGTTCACCACTCCGTCGCACTCCGGCCTTCTCCGACCTTTCTGTAAATCTTCCAAGATATCGGACTTGAAGGATAGAAGCTATTATCCAAGGACCAACGTTCCTCCGAGCGCAACGATGAATTTGATTAGGTGGTGTTATCAGTTTTTTGATAAGTTGATGGGATATTGATCATCTCGCGATCATCCGGCTGTCGACATGTCAAAGTCAAGCATGTCATTGGACTTTTCGTTACAGATTTCACGTCAGTTAATACATAGTCCGAGTCAGATATCTCACTAATATTAGCCTCTAATAGCGTTATAGCTCCAAGTACTAGAGAACCTGAATTTCACCTGTATCTTGATCGGATATAAACACTTATAAACGATGCCGGCAAGCACATGCGCTGAACCTTGCTTGCAATGTTGAACTCATGATTGCAACACTCAAACAGTACTAGTTATTAACCAACGTTTTTCGGCGTTTCCCAGCTGACCCGCAGCTAAAAACTGCCCTTAAAAACAGACGTGAAACGCTCCACCAACGCTACTGTGATTTCCTCCGCGTCTTACCAACTTTACCCGGACGGTCGGGACAAGGGGTGGGACTGGCGTGCCACTTATCTTTGTGCGCTTACTGACAAAATCTTGGTATTTTAGGTTCCAGAGCCCCGCACATATTAAAAGCCCAGCTGCAGTCGGCATATTGCATCGTTGATCCCTTTCCTGCCCGTGCAACACGATGTCTGAACAATCAGGAAGCAAAGAGACTCGCCAGAGAACTGCCCTCGAGGAGTATGAGCAATCTGGCGAGGACAGGCCCCCTTTCATTCTGACATATACTGAAGTCAAACTACTGGGTATCACTGGGGTGAGTGCTATGTGTGCCGTGTCTGATTTTGTGTGAACTGCTTATCATATATTGTCCAGGTTGGCTTTTTCTTGGATGGTAGGCATTTGACCCTGCTTGAGGGCACAGTCTCACATGTTTAACAGCTTATGACTTGTTCATCATCAATGTAAGCGCGTTGTTTTAAACGGCGACGTTCATGACTAAATCTACCGGTGTAGCCCGTATCTACCATGTTGCAGTACAGGCTTTACGGAAGCGGAACCATGCCCGCCAACCTACAAGGTTTGTTGAAAGCGGCTGCCAATATCGGAAGTGTGATCGGCCAATTTCTGTTCGGTGAGCTGCACAATACATCATGCTTTACCCCGCTTCATAACGAATTCGTAATAACATAGGATACTGTGCTGATGCTTTCGGGCGAAAGGCAGTCTGTTAGTCATATACATCGTTCTCGCTAGCATCGACATTCACATGCTTTTTCAGACGGAAAAGAGCTTATGCTCATTATCGTTGCGACTATACTCTGCATTTCTACACCTACAGGTATGTCTTTCGATTCTTCACTCGCATTCGCGAGCGCTAAGTTATTGCTAGGCACGCTCTCCCCAAACGGATGCCTGATCTACTTGACCATATTTCGTATCCTACTTGGTGTGGGTGTCGGTGGCGACTACCCCATGTCGGCCTCTGTGACGAGTGATCGTGCCACGATCCGTAAGCGTGGAACTATGCTCGCATACATCTTCGCGAACCAGGGATGGGGCAGCTTCGTGGGAGCGCTGATGACTATTATCGTTCTGGCATGCTACAAGCACGTCATGAACGATGAACTTGAGACATCCAAGGTCGACGGAGGTGCGTGCCGTGTACTAGATACATGATGGTGGTGTTCCTGATCGACGAGTCTACCCCTGAAATTAGTGTGGAGGATCGTCGTTGGGTTATCGCTCATTCCAGCTTTCGGGACGCTTTACCAGCGCCTGACCCTCCCGGAGTCCACGCGTTTCAAGAAGTCGCAGGAGACAGAGCTGATTGAACAGGATGGTTTGGATAAGGAGAAGATGGCGGTTGAAGCTGGTGTTCATTCCGAATCTAAATCAAGTGTCGACGAAAACCCTTCTGAGCCTGCACCTAAGAAGGCTCACTTCCTAGGTATACTTATTTGCTGTTTTGAATGCGTTTCTTGGTTTCACGGATGTTTTAGAGGTCATCAAGTACTTCTCCGAATGGAGACATCTGAAGATACTGATCGGAACTTGTTCATGCTGGTTTCTACTAGACGTTGCGTATGTTGGGTGCCGATCATCCACCAAGTTTCCTTCTGACGCGGTGCTGCTAGCTTCTATGGGATTAACTTGAACACAAATGTGGTGCTCACTGAGATAGGTTACGCCGGCAAATCGGGAACGGCCTGGGAGAAGCTCTTCAAGGTCGCCACGGGAAATATCATCATCACCGCACTAGGATTCGTGCCAGGTATGCGTACAGTTATACCCCTCTTAGCATGCATACTCACTCCAACAGGCTACTACGTGACTGTGCTCACTATCGAGAAGCTCGGCCGCAAAAAGATTCAGGTCATGGGATTCCTGATGGAAGCTCTGTTTTGTGGGTTGTTACCAATGTGCTGGAAGGATATCTGCTGACGGTGTGATGTAGTGGCCATTTTGGCTGCGAAGTTCAGTACTTTGAGCACTGCGGCATTCATAGTCAATTTCACGCTGCTCCAGGTGCGTGACAAAACCCCGATGGAAGATCCATACATATTCACATTTTGTTCAGTTCTTTTTCAATTTCGGAGCTAATGCGTGAGTTCTTGGCTTGATTAGAACGTGTTCCGTATCTGACTTGACTGTTGCACAGCACCACCTACGTGCGTTGCCATGCACGTTTGCACCCTGGATGCAGCTAATGAAATTCAGTGTTATCCTGCCGAGGTATTCCCCACTCGATACCGAGCGTTCGCGCACGGCATGTCCGCAGCATGCGGGAAATCAGGAGCAATCATATCCGCTCTCGTGTTTAACTCCCTCACCAACTCGATTGGGACACCTAATGTGCTTTGGAGTACGCCCTAAATCAACCGACACGTGTTGGCAACTAATTTCTCCCCACAGTTTTCTTCGGCTGTTCAATTCTCGGTGCCGGTACTGAACCATGATTTCCTCCCGCGAAAGTTTTGACTGATGAGCTGATTCGCAGCTTGCACATTCCTTTTGCCCGAGGTCGCTGGTCGTGACCCGGATGCGATCCTTGCACAGGAACAGATGGAGCAGCAGTAATCTCTGGTACTGCACACCAAGTAGCAATCATTTTCCTGGTTTGTTCTCCATAATTATTTTAGGAGTTATCGCTCACCCTAACCAAGCTATAGTCGAGGCTTTGTCTCTCCCTCATCTATGTAGAAAGTTGACAAGCGTCAGCCGCACTTTCCTGTCTGGTAGTAGAAGAAATGATCTGCGTAAAAGTTACTCGAGCTGGTATCGACAGTTCTATAGGACAACTGTACTGCCAGTGCTCTATGAGGATAGGTACAATCAGATTTCTCGCCTGTCTGGTGAAAAGCCCTCGGCATGAAAGAGCACTGGATATGCGTACAATAAGCTAAGAGAGTTGGAGATTCCCGAGCTACTTAGGTCTTTTCACATTCTTACCATAATGAACCATGGATCACAGTTCTCAAACCGCGCACACAACTTCAGAGAGCAGATGCGCATGACCAGCATCATGTCAAGCTGAGGTATCAGCATCTACATCAACCCGGTCGGCCACCTCGGCGATATGTCCACCATTTGTGCAATGGGATAGACATGTTCCGGTCCTGAAAAGTCCACATGGACATGTAACGCCTCTGAGGTAGCCGTTGACCCGAAACCACTCGCGGACAATGTGCAAATGCTCGAAGCGATGCATGGTGCCCGGATCGCACGTCAGATGAGTCAACCAGGCAGTTCCGTGGTGCCAAGCTCAAAGCGATGTCAACCGGTACTGATGTCATAAATGAGTCCTGAGGTTGTCCTGAGCGCAAGGCACACGCTTCAGGCGCTGAGTATTAGAGTATTATCTACACCCGTTTCTAACCAACCAACAAGGATAAAGACACGAACCTGACGGCACAGGGCACTGATAGTGGTGGAACTCGTGGAGTGCACCGTTCATGCACACTGCAGATGCACAGCGAGAAAAGATCTGTTTCATCAGCCTGGCACCATTCCAAAGAATCCCAACAATGACCGGGAACGCGACTTGCAGGATTCACGTACAAATTTATGCTCTGCGAGTGCGAGGGCTGTAAGGTATTTCTTTGGGCGTCTGCCATAAAGTTCCAGACTGAATTTCAAGTTAAAATTCGTTTAATCAGGGTGCCATGTTGATGCCTTAGCATAACAAAGCCTGGAAGTGCCGAGTGTCCGCATGGGCAGGAAATGTAAATTGCTGCAGCTACATAGGCCTAGCTAGGCGCTGCGCAGTGCGCATGCCATTGCTTGAGCGTTTTGACACGAACTTTGAAGATGATGAGGTCAACTTCGGACAAGCCCGGGACACGCGCGCTGACTAAGCTATCCCCAACTTGTGACAATTTTGTAAACAGCAATAAATACATACCGTTCCGAACTTGAAGGACTTTGCTCGTCATCGCCGACGACCGCGACGGGCTCAAATATGCTCAAAGCTTCAAAATCGGTCGCTGGAATTCAGCGGCAAGCAAATATTTCACTCAGGCGTAGTCTTGCAACCGTTGCTGACACGCCTGTTCGCCGATACGGCGGTCTCAAAGACCAAGACCGCATCTTCACAAATGCATATTGTAGACATGACCATGGTATCAAGGGCGCCAAGGTGAGTTTTATGTTCTCATGCACGATTCTGTGTTCATTTGTTTACTATATTCGATAGTCTCGTGGTGACTGGCATCGCACGAAAGACATTCTTTTGAAGGGTGACTCTTGGATCATTCAAACAATCAAGGATTCAGGTCTCAGAGGTCGCGGTGGTGCCGGATTCCCAAGCGGTCTCAAATGGTCATTCATGAATAAGCCTGACTGGCAAAAGGACAAACGGTATATTTGTTCTTGAATTGTCGCGTTTCGTCCGGTTCGGTACTCACTTGCTATTTTGCGCAGGCCCCGCTATCTGGTTGTGAACGCCGACGAGGGAGAGCCAGGAACTTGCAAGGACCGCGAGATTCTTCGTGGTGATCCCCATAAACTCGTGGAAGGCTGCCTGGTTGCCGGTCGTGCCATGAACGCAACAGCTGCCTACATCTATATTCGTGGAGAATTTTTCCAGGAGGCTTCTCACCTTCAGCAAGCTATCACCGAGGCGTACAAAGACGGACTCATTGGCAAAGATGCATGCGGTTCCGGTTATTCGTTTGATGTATACCTCCATCGCGGAGCTGGTGCATACATCTGCGGCGAGGAAACCGCGTTAATCGAAAGTCTGGAGGGCAAGCAAGGCAAGCCCCGACTAAAGCCACCTTTCCCTGCAGACGTTGGCTTGTTCGGTTGCCCCACCACCGTTGCTAATGTTGAGACTGTTGCCGTGGCTCCTACTATCTGTCGTCGTGGCGGATCCTGGTTCGCCGGCTTCGGTCGAGAGCGCAATCAGGGCACAAAACTCTTTTGCATTAGCGGTCACGTTAACAACCCATGTGTTGTCGAAGAGGAGATGAGCATCCCACTGAAAGACCTTATCGAGCGGCATTGCGGAGGTGTCAGGGGTGGCTGGGATAACCTACTTGGTATCATTCCTGGTGGAAGCTCTGTCCCCGTCCTGCCCATCGACAAATGCGCAGAAGTTCTGATGGACTATGATTCTTTGAAGGACGCACAGTCGGGTCTTGGGACGGGTGCCGTCATTGTAATGGACAAGAGTACGGACATCGTATCTGCCATTGCACGATTCGCTTCGGTATGGGCTCCGTGTTTTGCTCATGCTTCCCTGAAGCTTAACTTTCCACTAGTTCTACAAACACGAGTCTTGTGGGCAGTGTACGCCCTGCCGGGAGGGCACGACGTGGATGATGAACATGATGAATCGTATGGTTGAAGGTCGCGCTCATAGACGTGAGATTGATATGCTCCTTGAGATTACGTAAGTCATCGCTACACAACTTGTCTCAACTCACCTCACTGTTCTCTGCAGTAAACAAGTGGAGGGTCGGACCATCTGTGCTCTTGGCGATGCGGCTGCCTGGCCCATTCAGGGCCTCATGCGCCATTTCCGCCCAGAAGTGGAATCCCGTATCGATGCTTTCCGTGCTTCTCAGGGTGGTGTGATGTTTGGTGGCCGTATGATACACGACGCGGATCCAACCCTTGCAATACCTGATAACTTGGGTGCTAACCTAATCGAGCCTGGTGATAGAGTATGACCTGCGCTTGTTACATAGCCCACTATGTCCATCCAATGCACCAAATGACCCTGAACAGAACTGGACCACAGCAACCACGATGGCATACACGAGAGATACGTGAATAACGTATTGCTGAGTACTAAAAGTACGTAAGTACTACTGCGATGGGCAGGATAATCGGTTCTGCCAGGTTCCGCCATGTCGCACAGGTCTGAGTTTAATTCTGCGCCTCCACGGTCACGTTCTCCTTTTGCGACTTTCAGTCCCTGCAGCACTGACTAAACTATTGATTCTTGGACGGAAGATCGCGCATTCGACCAGGTTTTGTTCCACATGGGCATATTTTTAGGTTCACTTTTACAGTTTCAATCTACATATATATTGGTCCAGGGCCTTCTGCCGCCATACAAGGCACAACCAGCTCGGCCCAGCACAGAACACCCTCGGAGGCTGGCTGAGCTGAGTCGGAGCACGTTGGCGGCTGTGAGCCATAGTCCAGATCAGTCCGTTTTTCTCTCTAATCGTGCAAAAAAGGTCAGGGTCGGAATTCTCGTTACTGGAGTCTTCAACCGATGGTGGTTATAACGGTATAGAAATGCCATGACTTGACACGACGTTATATTGTATCCCTCAATTTTTGTTTCCATTCCTGCCGATCATGATGCTCCCTCTGCAAATCCCCAGTGATGATTGGGAAACAATCGAAGGTGAGCGCACTTGCTGGCTTCCAGGCTCGCAGAAGCATCTCATCCCTCGAGTAAAGTTGTTGCTTGCATATTTCACGGGAGCGCCATCACCACTACAATTTTTCGACTTGCATACCGGTTGCATACATCCAGATTCTGGTGGGAAGATGCGTGGGCTGCAGTTTCTCTTGTGTTTGATGTCATCTGCCTGTTCGGAGTATGGGCTGAAGGACCTCGCTGTGGGTAGTATTCTGAAAAGCGGCAACACATGCTGAGCTGAATTTACTCCTGGCAGTTAACGACGATCCTCGCGTTTATACGACCATGTTCTGGCTACTCCCGATCGCTTTCACCTCTGTTTTATGGTGCGTAGTCGAGACGAGCTTGTTCCCTCCCTGTTCCTCATGTCACCAGGGCGGCGAGGATGAGTATCATGTATTCCATTCTGCGCGTCGCAGATCCGCGAAATACACTTCGGCGGATTGTGTATGGCATCATAAGCTGCTTTGCGGTCATGTGGACAGGCTTGGTTGTTCAGAAGCTGCTCGATTGCGTGTACCACGCATGTGGCATGGGATCCGACGTCGCTATTTCAGACCTCATCAGTCAGTGATTTGACTCATAACATTATTCTTATCACTAATACTGAGGCGCTCCTTTCAAGCCGATGCGGTATCTGACCTAATGCTGGTCATCATGCCTACGTATCTCTTACGAGATGTCAGGCTTACTCACCATCAGCGAATTCTTGTCACTTCAGTCTTTTGCGCGTCTTTGTTGAGCACCGCCATTTCAATTCCCCTTTCCATTCTCCTTTTAGTGCATCCGGTTTCGAAGGCTGCAATGACAATCGCGCATGCCAAGGTGTGTACTTCTGCTTTTTAACTTCAGCTGATCATGACATGCTCCAACAGCCAGCAACCTCGCTAGTGATCGCAAATCTACTTGTTATAGTCTCCTTTGTGTACCGCTACCTGCGCAACTCCAGGGCAGATCTGGACAACCCAGCAGTAACCGGAGCCGCGCAATTTTCAACGTTCATCGACCTTGATCACCTCACGGTGGACAGGAGCTGGAGCACTGCGCATATCTCTTCTATAGCGACGCCCATTAAGACTTCCACCCAGGCGCATTCTACTTCTCAAGCGGCGGGGAAGTTTAGTGGATCATCAAGCGATTTATCATCCCAGCTGTAGCGAGGTCGGCAAAACATTCGCTTTTGGTGGTGGACTTGGAGTGTCTGTTACCCGCCCCGTCCCTGCATCCTTTACCTGAATTGGTTCAGGGAAACTGCACGCGAGTATCGCATTGATCCTGCGTCTAACAAGACAACATATGTATATGACACTGAATAATTTTTTCTCCTTGTATCATAGATTATATCCGGAACGTTGGACCAAACCGTCGGACGTCATGACGTTAGCTATTTATCAGATAAGGCATATTTACCGAGGTAGACACATTGTGTGAATTGATCATTTGTATGGGCGTGTGAGTAGGGCTACTTTTTGGTGAAATGAACAGAACTTTGTTAATCGGATTCGGTCTGCAGCCTGGGCCTTGTTCACTAGCTTTCGCTTTCACTGCCTGGTGCGGAAAAAAATGAAATGCTTGATAATACCCAGCCCAAACAAATCCAAGTGTGAGGTATGCACAACGTGTACATGAGGGTATAACGTACGCCCGAGACAACAGTGCACGATTGGAAAGCAAGGATAACAGAACGATGGAGATGCGTATTGGTGAACGATGCTACGATATATAGGAGCGGGTAAAACGATGAATATTAGGAAGTATGCAAGTACCGAGGAATCTGAGGCGTGCAAACATCGTGATGTTTTGCAATGATTTTGTGATGGTGCCGATGGATTGATCATATCCATGCCATGGCGATAGCAAGGAAGATCAGGAGACTGAAGGACTCCCAGATTTGCCGTTACCACTATAACTCATACCCCTGGAGAGCTTTGGGAAGGCCGCAAGCGGCCTGACAACTGTGGAAGCTGCTGGAGGTACATAGGAGGTATTGACCCTCCGCAATTGTGGAGGCGGTGGCGGCGCGGACGCTCGCCATTTCTCTTCCCACGCGCGAAGACCAGCGACAAAACCAGGGTTAGGATTAATGCACGGTCTGCGACGTTTGACTAGAGCGTAAGCCTGCTCATATGACATCCCGAGATTATGGATGAGATAAGCAATGACTATGGCTGGAGAGCGTGAGACACCCTGTTACACAAGAACCACATCAGGCTTGATTCTGCAAACATTTCAAGGGAAGAGATATACCTGCTGGCAATGCACTAGAACGTTCCCACCACTTTGCAGTGCGTTAGCAATATACTGACATGCGCCTTCAAGGTGTGGACGAAGGTCAGCAGATGGTTTATCGAGAATGTCTATCCGGAGGCAGCGGAAGCCGTCCTTTTCTGATATTGGAAGCCAGGGGACATCGAGTACTTGTACAATATGGGTGATATGATGTTTTGCGAGTAACTCGCGATCCATTGTCGCAGACATGGAACCTAGGTACAATGACCCTGGCTGGGAGCTGGTGGGGTGGGCTACGGATTGAATTGAAGGCATGGACTGAAACTGCATAGGAAGAATCTGGTGCATGGGTGTGCAAATTGCCTCCATGACTTCTGGAGACATGCCCTCAAAGCGGATCATAATTTTGGAGTACGACGGTGGATGAGATCAGTAGAAAAGTGATGAGCTCGATATCGGAGACTCTGGGTTAATGGGAGATATGATCACGGTTTGGAAGAAGATGTATGTGTACAGGGTGACACTGAATAGACTTTTTTTCAGTGGAGCGATATTAGGAGGATGGTGGAGCTGCATTGACCACGATCCTTGCTGCCTTCAAATAATGTAGACTGTTTCCTATTTTGGAGTGCGAGTGTCTTTTTCAACTAATCTCGCCTCCGTGAATTCAGTCCTCCTCCACAGTCTGGACCACAGAAGGTACAATGAACTTGATTAGATGGGTGATCCTCGGTGATCACATCAAGTTTTCTCGAAAAGGTACGTACCTGGACCTTAATCACGTATCACACTAACATGCAGTGTTTCCACCGAATCCATCTTTGATTCACTTCGAACTGCCTGAGGCAGTTCATCGGACTCACTCGGTTTTGGTTATCGAATTGGTAACTTATCTGCGGAATACAAGTTAAAACCGTCTATCAGCGTCTAGATATCGTCCTTATGTGTAACGTCGTAACTTCTCAGAGAAGCATCCCCAGGCTTGAACGTACTTTGCTTGTCCTCGATCATTTGGACCCACAACGTTTTACTGCCGCGGAGCGGACCCCTCGACAGCATCTCTCCGCGAAACACCTCGAGGCTCGAAGCTCAATGACTTTCCATCCATCCTCGAGGCTAGATTATCTTAAGGTTCCCGCTTACCGGCTTCTCGGCGAAAACCTTGCAACGAGTTTGATATCTGACCAGAAATTCCTTATTCTCCTCCCGCCATATTAATGGACTCGGAAGCTGGAGCGCGATAGCTCCTGAACCGTATCAAATCCCTGTGAGTTTGCGGTCTCAAGATCAGCACGAGGCCAGTGCTGTTCCAACGGCGATTGTTTTACCTTTACCTCGCCTATCGGAATACTTGAAGCCTCATGTGTGCCGCTGTCAATGGTTCCAGAACCATTCGATTATGATCACGACAGCCCCTTATAATATGTGGTCTACTATCTTCCCCTCATCAATCATTTACTAGCCCCTGAGTATTGCCGCTAAGCGCCTATCACTGATGCCCACTGTTGTTCAGAGAACACCCGAATGATCTTATCCTGCCCGGAATCAGAGAGAAGGAACTTGTCAGAACGTTTAAGATGTTGATGATGGTTTTTGTCGATCCGGCTGCCGCAGCCTCATTGTGCGAGATTTTCCACAATGTCCTAGGTACCTTTCCCATATTAGCCAGATCTGTCTCTTGTCATTGTTGATCATGTTGATCATCTCTCTCTAGCTGTTGTACCAAATCACCGGAACCCACTGTTCAAGTTGCTTTCGGTTTGTTATACCCCGGGCGCCCTGCTTTTTACATCCCACTCAATCAACGATTTGCATTATGACCCCACCTCTAATGACTCCTCAACTTCTCTACCTCCGGAATCAAAGGAACATCTCGGATTTTCTTTCTGGCGCGTTTGCAGCGTGTAGACATATTATATTTTTCTTGACCGCGAACTATTTCTTCTGAAACCTCATGCAGAGAATAAGTGATCCGGTGGGTGCGTATCTCACTTGGTTCATGTGCGCCCGAACTTGGCCCGAACACATATTTTCGTGCCCGGCAGGAGCTTCCTGGCTTATCGATATCATCCATACCGTGACCCGTACAACGAACGCATATTGGACACTATTTTCTCGTCATAACGACAAGCGGCGCATTTCAGCCGATCTCTTTTCGGTTCCCTCAAGCGATGAAGCCTGCATGCTCGCAAGCCAGACTGGTGGCTCCCAGGGGCCATCTTCTCCGTAGTGTGGGGCATGTGGATAAATTACTTCTGCTGCTCAGTTTGATCGGAGACTCTTGTAATGATCAGTCATGCCAGATAGTGCAGGGGCCACCCCCTGCTATTGCACACAACTGTTAAGCCTGTGCGGCGCGCATTCGAATTGCACGAAAGCACAATTAAGTACAGGTCAATGAAATTGTCAAGACGTGGGAAACAAGATACCAAGAACGCCCATTTAAGCGGGCATCTGTAATACCTGGTGGGTCGCGCTCCGAGAAGTCACTCACTTCGTGAAGCCAAGCATGCGAATGCACGCGTACGATAAAATTAAGTTTCGATGTTTTATGCCGAAGAGTGTGAATCTCGTACACTGCCGCATAGGACTCTGCGTCATTATCAACACCAGAAAGTGACTTGCAGAATTGGGCTCCTTGACGTCGTCTAGAGAACAAAGACCTCATCAAGGGAAAGCCCGAGGTTGTAATTCACAATACCTTCGGAGTTCAACTTGGCGCTTCTGTACTCCTGGAAGATCGGAGGCAAGGGCCGTTGTAGACATGTGACTCAAACTCGAAGCAGATTAAGAGGCAGAAGCGTGGATATAGAACGTACTACCAATAGTCCATGCAATCATACTGGAACTCATTCAAAACTGAAAAACAAAGAGACATCAATGCAGAGTCAAATACTGATGAGGCCGCACACGTGTCCGGTCACGCAAAAAAATAGAGCGAGTGAAAGGACAGATCATGAAGATTGCTAATAACAACTAGTCGTGAAGGGTATGGACTCTTGACAGGGGCAAGGGTGTAGTCAGAGAAGTGGCGGGGTGCGGGCGAGGTGGGAAGTAAGGCAGCCTACACAACCACGCAGTGGTGTTTCTTGCTATTCTTGGGCCGGCTAAGAAGTGCAGCCCTCGTAGCATATTGGAAGACTTCGCGAACGCCCTCGCCTGTTCTGGCCGAGCACTCGAGATAGTGCCTCGCGCCAATCTTGCTCGCTACGGCCATACCCTGGAAAGGTGGACACATCATCCAAAGAAATCTGTCAGGAAGGAAATAAAAACGTACCTCCTCAGGGGTTACAGGTCTCTGGCTCGTCTTCTTGAGCTCGTCAATCACTCGTCGGTCACGTCTGAGGTCGTTCTTGCAGCCAACAAGAATGATTGGAAGACCGGCGCAGAAGTGCATCACCTCAGAAATCCACTGGATTCGGGAGATGCCGTCAGGACCGAATGAGGCATTGCTCATTGGCCACACGTACCTTTTCTTGAACGTTGTCCAGAGAGTCTGGTGAGTCAACAGCAAAGCAGATAAGAATGACATGGGTGTCTGGGTAACTGAGAGGTCTGAGACGGTCATAGTCTTCTTGCCCTGCCGTATCCCATAGAGCAAGCTCGACATGCTTTCCATCAACCTCTACATCTGCCACATAGTTCTCGAAGACGGTCGGAACATAGACCTATATAGACAAGAATCAAGCGAATAATTAGAGAAGCAGGCGGCTGACGAGTAAATGAAAATACCTCAGGGAATGTTCCTTTGGAGAAAACTATCAACAAACACGTCTGTTAATGATAATATGAGTCGTTCCTTGTTCTGTTTCGCGTGCAAGTTAAGGGGCGTACCTTTCCACAAGCACCATCACCAACGATAACAAGCTTTCTCCTGATTTCAGCCATTATTCGAACGTAGAAAGTAGGATTGCGTGGATGTACGGGCGCTCCTTGGGGATGATGGTGTTCAGCGAGACAAGAGTCGCACGATGATACACGTCGGTCTTTTAATCGCTCTTTCAATGGCCTCACAATGGGCTGTGCCGTGCCACAGCTGTAGGCCTGTGCGTGAGACCTTACTTCCCTTCTAAGAAGCCATTCTTCATCGCAAGTCACAGCATTACGAGTAGTTAAGAGTGACTATCTTATCAGCCCAGACTTTTCCAAGCCTCGGCTGTGAGTGTAAAAACACGATTTGGACACCATATGTCATACAACCGAATCTATGACGCTAACGAACAGCATCCGCAACTCACGTATTCGCCCTCGGGGCCGTAACTTCCCATCTTGCATATCTGTATCTCATCAACGCTCCAAGTGCCAAAATCTACCTTCACGGGGTCCCGAAAATCATGTGATTCTAGCGGTGAACTAACAAAACCGCGAATAGCCGGTGACGCCAAAATGGCGTTGTATGAGAACGGCTGTCGATGTGGTTTGCGAAATGAAGTGTTGAGAATCGTGCAATGCAGCTGATTCCTCATTGACTGCTAAGTTAGATCAACCAATAGTAGGAGCTACGAACCTTGAGAGGACGACGATCTTGAATAAATCCAGCGTCACTGAACGCCTTGTTCACAAATTCTGTTGGAGCATTAGTATGTGAATGTAATTGGAACGAGACTCGACGCACCGCTCACGGTTTTGAGGCGCTGAGCGTTTTCTGTGTCCAGTGAAGGGCCCAACCAGAGGACATGCGCGTTGTCTGCGTTGCCACGATCGGGGTACATGATGTTCATATCTGTAAGGGGAATGCAGAGACTATGCCCGTTCAATAACTCCATGATCCGACTTCTCAATGTCCCTAACAAAGCCTGCGCATTTGCTAAGGTTTTACCCGAGGAAACCAGTGAATCCTCGAGAGTCATTACTCCCAGTGTCAAATGAAGGCGACGAGGTGCGATAACAATGCCGCGATCAACACCAGGGAGCGCAGGTTTACAATCAAGCAAGCCATCCGTGAAGGACTTCACTGATTCCTGCAAACGCACATGGTGTCCCTAGGTCTACGTTGGCAGATATTTTTAAAAGAAATCAAAAGATCGATACTGACGATGGGCAGGGATATGACTTGGAGACCACGCACTGAGCACGCATATTGTATTTAAAAGTCGAAACCCACGGACAATGTGTAGGTCGCAATTTAGAATTGCGGTTTGTACCAGAGGAAAATTGTCCACCACGAGTGGTTGAAGTGCTTGCCCTGGCAGTGTATTTCGTAGCCATGCTTTATAGGAGGAATGATGGCCTCGATTAATGGAGATGGCACAGTAAATCTGCATGGCTGACCGAGAAAGTAGAAAGTCAAACCGGGAAACTCCGAACTGTCTTGAATTCAACTGCAATGCAAAGACTTCCAACAATCAATTATCCGGGACACCATTGATCATCAGCTGCAGGCTGGTGAGCCACTTTATCACCATCGAAAAGTAAAACATGCCACTAATTTAGTCACTAAGTACGTAGCTTCACGATGCACTTGTCCCCCTGATCGAGACGTCTGTTGACGGCAGGCTCTTGATCAATGGTGCACGACGGTACTAGTGCATGATAAGAACTGTATTCAGTTGAAGTTTTATCGATAAGACCTTGACTGACGCAATATTTTTAAGTTGTGTTCTCGACCATGATGTGCGCGTATGTCGCAAATCGATCCTTTTATAATTGGTAAACTTGTCCCTGCTTTCCGAGTCAACGTGTTAGGGATCCATCAACTCTTCTCCAAGTCGTTCCTGTGGTTTATCCATGAGTCAGTCGTTCTTTATACAAATTCTAATATGGTATTGTGGAAAGCAGGATCATCATGGTGCCCATCAAAGGTGAGCGCATCTCCGACCGCTCTATTTTAAATGGGAGCCAAGGCGTGGCTGCAGACTTTGACAACGTTGCCATCTCGTGCATTGTCCTTATCAACTTTACGGATTGGTGGGGAGCCGTGTGGATAACAATTGTATCCACACCTTATGATATAGTGGTGCGTGCGTGGCTTCCTAAGCCAATAGCTGGTGAGTAAGTAAAATCTGTTCCTGACTTTGTTTCGAGGCATTGAACTGATTTAGCTACCTGAGACCGACTTGCTGTGCGACAATTCAATTGGTTTACGATATTGTTTCATGGTACACGCCTTGCTGGATATCCATGGACTTACAACATCAGGGCAGCAAGAGGTTGCAGCGCCCTCAATCAAGGGTCACCGTAATTGATTGTGACATGTCCATTCGTAGTAATTTTTAGCATTCCGCGCGCAAAGAATTCACTGTGCGGGCATCAAGATTATGCTCCTATGTTCGGTCTACCCCATTGGGGGAACTCCGAATGTACAGCTTCAAGTCTGGATCCGCCTCGGAACATTATGTCGAAAGAGGACATATCAAGATAAGGATGTGTGGAGCACAGCGTGTATTCTAATACAACGTTGGGCGCAAGTTGCGCAGCGTATTAGCCACACCAATAATCTGTACTTGCTCGGAGGCATAACAAATCTCTTCAAGCTACTACAGCAGTTAGTGGCATATGTTTGAACGCACTCGAAGGATATAAGCTTGTCCATGATTCCGGGGTGAGGTGTCACTGAAAGCTCGTCACTACTCTGGTTTTGAAAGTCGCTGATCTTCGGCTTCTTCTTTGCGGCTTCGCGATCCCGCTTCTTGCTCTAGTCACCGCTGTTCAACCTTCAGCTGTCACTGTCGGATGACCGTCCCTGCGACTCGTCCCCATGCCGGGATGTCAAGGTCACAGGTTTTGTAGCAATTTTCTCGTCGTGGGGTGCATTGGATTATTCTATTCCTTACGCGAGGTACGGAAGACATGTGGAGGCCTTCCGTGCGCGAAAAGTTTAATCCTTCGGTGGTGCCTCACTACATAATAATAAAGATGGTGAGTGACAAGTGTGGACAAAGATATTTACGACGTGACCCGTGCCCATGAAACACGTCCGCTGTTAACAACGTTGACAGATTGACGCTTTATGAGTAGGCCACAAAAGCCCGCATAGTGTGCGAATAAAGTGCCTAAAGAAGATTATGCAGGGTCACTGCAAAATGTAACGCTGCCGAGAGCGTCGGGCGGGACGGCGAGCGCGCACGCGAATACAAGGATACGCTCTTTAACTGTGTCTTAACACCATCAATCATTGAAAGTCTGGCTCTTGGTCGCGGTATGTTTAACTTTATCTTGACAAATGTCTTTTGGGCGTCTTTTCTGACATGTTACCAATTGACGGAACTTTTTATGCACAGCGCTCGCGTCGTTCTGGAATCTGGATCATTGTCATCGCCTCGTTCTTTACCTCCCTCTTTTATCCCCGCAAGTCTTTCCCCAGTCTCATATACTTATTGCAGTGTAAAGCCTATCCAAGGAAGGCCATTGTGAATCTAAAGACATCCACCGGTACCGACCAGCTTGTATGTCCTCATCGGCTTTCATCTAGGCGTTTAAAATCTCCCGCGGGTATTCGTTTATAACACCTTTCCTGGTCAGTCCACCATCTTTCGCGGCTCATTCTCCCCGTCGCCCCTGACCTTCCTGACCTTTCAGACTGCTGTCTCTACCCTCTTAGTGAACGATGACCCTACCCAAAGGCGCCCATGTATCTTCGAGAGCGGAAGGCAAGCAACGTGCCCGAGACGAGGGCACCGGTGGTGCTGGTGGCATGGTGCTTAACCTTGAGATGGTGGCCACGAGCTACAATTCATTGTGAGTCTTCAAACTACCACCCATCTTCGACCCTGTGTTTTGAACGGTTTAAAAATTTTAACTTCTGATTTCGTTTTGCCTCCTGCATTTTTTCCTCCATGCTCATCGCTTGAATATAGTGCCTACGTCGTGCCCGTGTTAGTAGGTTCGGCTCAGCAAAACCTTTCCCTCCAGGTTGATACGGGCTCCTCGGATCTTGTAAGTCGTGCCTTCCTTGGCACACAGCCATATTCATTCCAAAAATGACAGTGGATCGCATCAAAATCGTGTTCCACGGCATCGTGTTCATCCACAGATGGTCGCCTATACGATCCGACCTCCTCGACGCCAACCGGTGCTAGCTTTACCATCGATTACCTCTCCGGAACCGTCAGCGGGCCCATAGTATGGGATACGGTCCAGCTTGGAACATACAGCCTGCAAAACCAGGCGTTGGGTTTGTGTTCTAAATATCTTTTTACATCCTGCTAATGAATGTTTACAGCCGCTGCCACCTCGATATCCAACGAGCCCCTTAGCTTAGATTTTGATGGCATCCTCGGTCTTGCTCTTCCCCTCAATTCGGTAATTGAACAAGCGGTCCCCCCGGCTACGGACAATAACCCAGACGGCGCATCGTTTTCCTCGAATCTCTTTTCCATGACCCCCGCCTCCACAGCTCCCTCACAGCCGTTCTTCTCCCTCACTTTTGCCCGTCCTGGCTCGGATGAAATTCCATCACTTCTCGGAATCGGTATGCATCCTTCGTCCGTCGTTCCAGATCCCTCGAAAATCAACTATTCGACGCTTGTGAGCCAGGGTGTTGGCACATTGTTCTGGAAAACGAATCTTCGAGCCATCACAGTCTACGTAAATGGTCAGGCGCGTCCTGTGTTACTAACAGACTCTGTTACTGGCGCTGCTTTCCCCACTGCGTTACTCGACTCTGGCGTGCCGTTGATCATCACAACATCGTCCATCGCAAACGGAATATATGGCGCACTGGGCATAAGTCCAGCCTCAGATGGTAATTGTGAGTAATTTGTTCATCTCAGCTCACAATTACCATGGGCTGACTGTCTGTCAGACTATGTCCCCTGTACAACGCCACTCAACATGACTATTACTCTTGACGGCCAACCCGAGCTACCCATCCACCCCCTTGACCTCACCAACGAGCCGTCTGGGCAGCACAACGCACAGTACTGCATCGGCCTTATACAAGCTGACGACTCACAACTTACCGCCACTTCCCAAATCGGGGACATGGTCCTCGGTGTTCCTTTCATGCGTAACGTTTACACCGTGCTTGCATACGAACCCTCACCCTTTAACGTGTCTGTCTACACTGGAATCCGTCCAACACTTGGACTCATGGGACTTACAAATATAACCCAAGCACTTGATGAGTTCAACAACGTCCGCGTCCTCAATCAACCGCTCGGCGGTTCGCCGCCACAACAGACATCCTCTTCAAATGACACAAAGCTGTCGGTGGGCCTTGAAGTACTCATCGGTCTCATCGGTTTCTTTGCATTATGCTTCACACTTTTCGGGCTGAAATGGTTTATGACCCGGCGGCAGTGGAAGAAACAGGGAATGGTAGACACGGATGGGGGGAAGAAAGGCGAAGGCGAATATATGGCCTATCAGCTTACGAGGCGAAACTCGCGGTCAAGCGATGATGCTCCTCCCGTCAGTACTCTCCGGACGCTCGCGTACAACTCATACGCTACGAGGAAAGAGAAAGTGTCCGAGTATACTTTTGACTCAAACGGGACGCGTGTTGAGCCAGATCCAGTCGAAGAGTTTGGACAATGGAAGGCCAAATACGATCATTCGCCTCCGTCGATATTCGAACTGAGCGATCCGTGGGATCCTCATGCTGGAAATCGAGATACGATTGTAGGCACTGAAGCGCCTTTGCCTGATACTCCTTCCTCCCCTGATCTTTCGGCTACCATCCATCGACGAACTCCGGATGAAATCAGTCGTTTGCCGGAAAGCATATCTGTTCCCTTGCTCACAGACCGGCATCGCCGAAGAAGCAGCTCGCAGAGCAGTGATAGCGACGTCGCGGAAGTTGGTGTAGGCATGGCAGGCGTTGGCACCCTTGCACGCGGGAGCCAAATCATTGGTGATATGCGTCACCACCCGTCTCGGGGCGATAACGCTGACAGGAACTCGACGTCCTTGGGTTCGCGTAATGACATCATCACTCCCTCATGGCGATATCGGGCATCGCACGAACATCCTGATACTTTTGATGTTGTCGATATCCATTGACGAACCTGGCCATGGACTTGTTTTAAGAGCATAGTTGCATCCTACCCCACTCGGAATAACCATGTGGATTCATTCATCATGCGCATCTCGATTTCCATCTCACATCCATCTCATTTCATCTCACGCACATCTCTACCGACGCTCTTTCATATCTGGGATATATGTGGTATAGTGCATAGTTGTTCATCTGGACTTTTTATATATATATACGGGCTCATCACTTGGACTTATCTTGCGTGTTCGTTATAAAGTATAATACAGTCAAGCCAATCGGTGGAGATCTACTGGATATTTGTACATCATTTGTATGTGGAGCGAATATATTACAGTCACCATCTTTCTGTGCTGGGTTAAGGATCTGTCTGGTTGCAGTAACTTGTACAATGGTACTGGGACGACTATGAAGTAGTGGCATATGCATATGCAAATCTGGGAGGGAACTATTGGGGAACTACTGGCTTTACGGTTCATGACAATCTCAAGGTTGTGTCGATCACTCTAGTCGAACTCTAACAAGTGAGTGATGTTGATAGAAGACAGTCGCACGTAGCATACTACAGTAGTACCCAGACAATATCCACCGACGCGCAAAACCATGCACAAAACTCTTCGCATGGTTCATCCGGTAAGAAACCCACAGCTGGATTATTTCTCCGAAGAATAGACTGTGTCTTCTGCACTGATGCTATATTGGACTTCTCCTCTTGTTGGTGAGTCGTGATAGGACTTGACTGCGAGCTTGATGGCCCTACGAGAAAGTTCCTGGCTTCCCGACACAAGATTTAAGTAGGTTGATGATGTATTTGATGAAGCGCTGGAGCGCCGCGTGACTGAAGAGGATCTGTTGATAATCTCTCGATCAAGAATAAGTAGCAGGACGCACGGTCGCTGATACACCTCGTAAACCCAGTTCGCGATCACAACGCTTGCCACTATTGGCACTACGATGGGAGCCGAGCCGACAAGATGCCCGCAATAGTACCCACGACGGAGCGGTAAGAGACTGCTATGCATGTTCTTGTTTCGATCAGCGGCGAGTCTGACGTCTAGCTCATTGAATGTGCTCACCATCAATATCCTGAACTCTGGGCTATACAAGTACTGCGCGTAAGCCACGTCAGAACATGCGACAACGACAAAGAAGAGAATTATTACACTATGAGGGTCTTGACAGTTCGATACAGCAACAATGTCCGTGTGAAGCACATGCAGACACTCTCATGTCGAATGGCCTTTGGATGCTATTGATGTGAGCACCTTCCAGTATTCCGTAAAACAGATGTGAAGGCTCAGATCATGTTCGGTAATACAATGACGGGGACTTTGACCAAAGGGTAAGTAGCGACATGCGGAGAGTCATGGTTATTAGTCAACATACTGTTTCCAAACTTTCTGTCGCATTGAAGCCGTGATGGAAAGTTGGGAAACAGTATTACCTAAAGAATGGCGTTTCATGGTTATCCTGACTCACCGAGGATAAGTCCGAATGGTTTCATCAGTGGTGGGCTGAAGCTCTGGGTTTTCACCAGAAGAGACAGGTCCCACATCTTGCTATCTATAGATCAGACATTTTTCAATGCAAGACGTGGATTCTTACTTTGGTTGTTGTATTCCCGCAAAGCTCGACAACAATATTGAATGTTTTGCAAATGTGTCGTATTCTGTTTATGTCACAATGGATCGATCAGCGATCAAGGCGAGAGTGTAATATTTTACCGCCTGAGCCATACCTTGTGTCTCAGGTTCTCCGTTCGCACCAGACACGCGAAAGATCTATTCAGTATCAAAATTGATGTCTTCATGACTCGGTCTTGATTCCAAACCTCTTGTGTTGTACACGTATGGAAAATGCCTCGATAAAATGCTTTCTATGATCAAAACACTTCAGACGAGTACATTCGTTTGATTCGAGTGCTTACATAGGTGGAGAAAATGTGCAAAGTCTTTGCTGCTGTGTGTTGAACTGGTGCGCAGGGAACTGTTGAGGCATACTAGGAGAGATGGCCATCCTGATGTCAAGTTAAGTGCTAGGACTCCAGACTCTCCTTCGTGCAGGAAAGGTCGCCGTGATGGAATATTTATGTGGAGGGTACATATCATGAAGATCAGCTATGGGGTAAACTCGAGTCATCGAGTAATACTGCGGTGAACGACGTGTCTCGAAATGCAGTTGAACTGAACCCATCAAAATGATTACATCATCTGAGGGGTAAGCACAATTAGTCATTCTTGAATCAAAGTAAACGTTCACCACCCTCACGCAAATATATCGCCAATTCAATCAGACCTATCTTGACACCAAGTACTAGGGCCATCCCTGACTTCAACTCCCACGGGCCACTGATGTCAGTCCAATGGTAACACGACTGTGCCATCCCGTATATGCGAACGCGTATGCGGTGACTTGTTGGTGCCGTTTGATGCCCTACAAGATGTGCAAACTGCGTATATCTCTATCTCTGACTTGTTCTAAGCTCCGGCTCATCCGCATGACGCACAGAATACACTTCCCAGCTCGGCGATATCTGACACTCTGTTATTTGAATTGCAGCTTGTGTAGGTACTGGAGGCACTGTTTTATGGACACATGTGATGCCACGGTCACTTTCTGATGGCCTTCGTCCTGTACATAGCAATTGTTTAGTGCGGTAAGCTATTCAAGGCTGGTGGATTTCTAACATACTCCTGATTCTTGGTTGCGCGTCAGTGACTTTGAGGATATTCCTTCAAATGCGGGTCCGAAGCGGTGGTACCTGCTTTAAGCTCTTCTCAGGGGCAGTGGTATCACGCGAATTGCAAGTTATAGATGAGTCTATAATATCTCTCATCCTAGTCACGAGTCTGCCTGACGGTCCGCAAGAGGATCAGATCAGAGTGCTCATCGCTAGAGCTATGTTTACTCATGCACTCCGAGATGATGACTGTAGCCTGCATTGGTCGCTGAGCAAACTCGGCGCCCGTTAGCGGTCTTTAATATAAGATACCGGGCACGTATTCTGAGGCTTATTAGCGAGAGGAACTATCAAAACTGTTTAAAATTGTCTTCTGTGGGCGAGCCAAGCGGGGCGTACCTGGCTATTCATGTGTTGCTATGTGCCATGTGCAAAGCCGCGTCCGCATCCTATGTTGGGTTCGGTGTACTACAAAGCAATGTCACGGTTGGATGTAATCCTATCGATGACTCGGAGTCGCTGATACATACCGTTGAAATGTTTCGAGCAGTCTTGCAATGTCGAGCAATCAAAATGAAGCCAGCGCACCTGCCTAGGAACATAGCAGCCATGTAGTTTCATGGGAACTGTCACGGTAAGTTACTGTGTGCATACAAGGTCCAGAAACGCCGCGTGTGACGCAAAAATGACGCCAAGGACCGTTGCAGCCAAAGGTAGATATATCGTTGAACCAGGATATTCATGATGTAGCACCATGTGAGTCCACGATACTGCATTACCATAGGGCAATTGAGGCCCTCCTGATGAAATCCAAATTATGTAAAAAAGAAAGTGGAATTTGACATTGATGGCCGAAGAAGGGGCGCGGGATCATGGAAAACGGAGCATTCTGGAAATTTAGAATAGACAGTCGTCATGGCCAAACCCCTAATGTACTGAAAAGTCACCTCACGAAGCCTCCCACACCTCACGCTCTTTTTCGCTTTCTATCTTCCGCATTATTGGTTCAGTCGTAGCTGTATTCCATATTCTGTCTTTCGAAGCTTTCGTTAAAATTATAGTACGACCACTTCAAGTTAAAGATGTTCTTGTCCGTTGCTCGGCTAGCCTTTGTGCTGGTAGCATCTTCCAGCCTAGCATCTGCCCAACAAGCAGGTTCTATCGTCCAGATCGGTAACACACAAGTCAGCGCCATGATGGTACGAAATCATTTGTCTTGTTGTGTTTTGCACTGAGTGCTCGCCCCGAAGATGTTTCTTGGCAACGAGGAAAAGGTCTACATCCTCGACAAAACGGAGGGCAATGCCGCTTCAATAGATGGCCACCCTGCTTGGGGTGCCGTGTGGTATGCGCCCTCGCATTCGCTTTACACTAGCTCGCTTATTTTTGCGTCCAGGGATGTGAACACTCACTCAGCCCAGACCATGGAAGTTTTGACCAATACCTTCTGTGCTTCTGGTATGCACCTGCCAAATGGTTCGTATGCAACGTTCGGTGGCAACAGTGCCATTGGCCCGCTTGGTGCAGCTGGTAGTGTTGGTGGAGGTTCATACGATGCGACATATCAAGATTACGACGGAAGAAAGGCCATCCGAATCCTCAATCCTTGTACGAGCGCCAATGATATGTCGAGTACTCAATGTCAATGGTATGACGACGTTGCCGTTCTGTCCATGCAGAAGCAGCGGTGGTACTCTGCAGCTGAGTCTCTCGGCGACGGTTCTATTGCTTTGATCGGCGGTTTCGTCAGTGGTGGTTACATCAACCGCAATACCCCTAATACGGATCCAGCGACAGAGGGCTCTGCTGCTGAACCGACATATGAGTTTTTCCCTTCGAAGGGAGTCGCAACTACCATGAATTTCATGATCACCACTTCGGGTCTCAACTCATACGCGCATACCTACCTCATGCCTTCTGGTAACATGCTCATCCAGGCCAATTTTTCTACTAGTATGTCTTATCCTTTCGCTTGTCGATTTTTCTCATGCATCCTATCAGTCCTCTGGAATCCCGCCACCAACGTCGAGACACCTCTTCCCGACATGCCGGGCGATGTCATTCGTGTTTACCCTGCTTCCGGTGCCGTCGCCATGCTACCCCTTACTCCCGCCAACAATTACAATCCCACCGTTATCTTTTGCGGCGGCTCTGACATGCCTGAGGAGTATTGGGGTAACTATTCATACCCCAACTACAATACCTGGACCTACCCTGCTTCCAAGGACTGCCAGCGCATCACCCCAGAACCCACAGATGGCTCTTCCCCTGTTTATGTTAAAGACGATGACATGCTCGAGGGTCGCACCATGGGCCAATTCATCATCCTTCCAGATGGTACCCTCTTAGTTCTCAATGGTGCCTTAAATGGCACCGCTGGCTACGCTCAGGCTACTGGCCAGACCGCTTCCTATAGCCTCATGCCCTACGGTGAGTCGTTGGCTTCTGGCCCCGTCGGAACACCTGCCATCTACAACCCGAATCTGCCTGCTGGCAGCCGCTGGTCGAGCGCCGGCCTGGGTACCACAAAAATAGCACGTCTGTACCACTCCAGTGCCCTACTCATGCCTGACGCTTCCGTCATGATTGCCGGATCCAACCCCAACATCGACGTCAACCTCACCACCATTTTCCCCACAACCTACACCGCGGAGATATTCTATCCACCCTACTTCAGCGCCAGTGTACGCCCAACTTACTCTGGCGCACCGCAAACACTCTCTTACGGTGGTAGCTCCTTCGACCTTACCGTTCCTTCGACCGCGTACAGTGGCTCGGGCAACGCTGCTGCTGCAAACACGACCGTAGTTCTGGCCCGTGGCGGGTTTACAACCCATGCCATGAACATGGGCCAGAGGCACCTGCAGCTCAACAACACGTACACCGTCAACGGTGATAACTCAATTACCCTTCACGTGGCTCAAGTTCCCCCAAACCCTAATATCTTCACTCCCGGACCTGCTCTTATGTTCGTCGTGATGAACGGTATTCCGAGCAACGGGACGATGGTCATCGTCGGCAATGGTAAAGTCGGGACGCAACCTACGCAAGCCGCTAGTGTTCTCCCTGCTTCCATCCAGAATTCCTCTTCTCAAGGCTCAGGCTCAGGCTCAGGCTCAGGTAGCAGCGGTGCGCCAAAAAGTGCGTCGGGAAGCACTCACATCGGTGCCATCGTTGGGGTTGTGATTGGAGTATTTGCGGTTTTTGGTATTCTCGGTGCGCTCCTTTGATTTTGTGTGGCTCACCGTCGGCGCGCCGCCATCTGACTCGAGTGCGTTTGTTCCGTTACAACAGGATAATCCAAGCAACGCTTGGAACGCGAGCAGTGCCAATGTGCATTCGCCCTATCGGGATAACGTATGTAAGAAAGAGAGGGTGCAGATTATGATCCTTATAATCCGGATGGGAGGAGTGCAACATAGATGGACAGCAGATATGCTCACGGACAGGATTAATAGAAACGCACGGACAGCCATTTGTTGTGTGGAATACCTCACTTTTCATCTTTGTTTTTTTCTTGTTGCTCATCATGAATAGGTACAACTTCCGCTTGGGTTCGTGTTGAAGCTCTTTATTAATGTCCTGCATGCCCCAACGTACTGTCCGCTGCTGGGGGCCTTTGGGTGTGGCCACTGGCGACCTTTAAATCTATGAGCTCTTTCTCCATGCGCATTGTGCGCGAATGACAGTTGCTGACTCACGCACCCATGTCAAGGTCATTAAGGGCAGAGTCGATCTTTGTCATTCGAGTTATTATACCGCAGCTCTATCAACGACTAAGCTCCATCAAGCCATGCTTGGTCAGAGTCAAGGTTTTGTTGAGCTCTGCGAGGAATTCAGCGACCGCGGAGGAATAGACCAACGCTTGATCTTTCACTCGGGGATTTAACAGGCAAGGATATCTTCAGAAAATCGGGGACAGAGAGGTTATGAGAAGGAATGTGTTGGGTATAGGTGGGTGGAATAACGAGCGTCCAAGGTCGCGACGATAATCTGCCTAGCCATGTCATCCGCCACTGCAAGGATGCTACTGCCAAACTTCGCCAACAAGTTCGGGCATTCAATTATGAACAAGACAGGTGATGAATGGTATTCAAGTTCTCTCGCGCAGTACTTCTCCGGTTGTTTCATCCAGTTCTCGCCCGGGAACTGGAAGCCATCATTGCACAGGAAAATCTACAGTGGGTCCTTGGGAAGGCATTTGATTTTGCCGAAATAGAGCAGGTTGACCCAGAGATAGTACCCCGAGCTGCTGTAGGTGAAGCTGACGTCCTGGATGATGACAGCCAGGATGATGTATATATGGGATGAGGTGTTGTTGATGTTTAAATTTTCGGTAGGACCGTCGCCGATGGAAATTTTCACTTTTAGAGTTGTGCACACTGCAGCGTGCCACGGCCCACTCGGCAGAACCGGTTATATATTTAGCCGGTTGTGCCAGTTGTGCCGGCAAAACCAATAGTTAGTACTGCCCACAACGCTAGCCAGGACCATCAGACCACGGACCAGTACATTATAAAATGCATAAGGTGCGCGTGAAACTCATTTTACCACTTGAACGAATGCAGACGGAGTATTCGGCTGACGATATCGCAGAGGCCAGGGGTCTGCAGTCCTTAGTGGTATGTCCCTTTCTTCATCGTACGAAGGCAAGATAATCACAGATATACCATGCGCCACCAGTACCTATGCAGTGCGTATTCTTTTATGAACCACCTCTTCCTGGTGCTAACTTGGCATTTCAGCGTCGATTATGGCGTTCTGGGTAGGCTTGTCCGGAACTATTCCCGTCCGTCGTTAAACTTGTTAATTCAGACCTATGATTATGCTTGTTCACTATACGAAGAGGTAACACATTTGTCCGTAATGCTCCTCAGTTTTAATATATGCTGTTCAAAGTGGACATTCCTCTTTCGGTCGCGCTGGACCAAGGTAAAGGGCCTTTATATCATCACACGACATGCCCCCTTTGTCTTGCTCTCCACCGAGCTAGTTAGTGAGTTTGGCTCCAGCACACATCCACCCGATGGTAAATTAACATTTTGTTCTTCAGAATTCTTCACTCCCGATGTATGTGAACATGCTGAGTGGACTTACCTACTGATGAATGGCATTTACTGCATGGCTTCACAGAAATGCCTGATGTCGCTCAAAATTCATTTCTGTGCGTACACAGTACATGCTGCATGCACATCCTTGCTGACCGCTACTCTTTCCTCCCGCAGGTCTTGGCATAATATCAGTCATTTGCTCTGAATGTATCTCTCTTTCCCCTCGAAATACACGTCCTCCTGATCTGATTCATCTAGTCTTTTTTGTGCTCAGAACATATGCGCTTTGGAGCAACAATAGAATTGTACTCGCGGCCGTGTTGACCACCTTTCTCGTGAGTTCTCCCACTCTCTCCACACCCAAAGCTCGGGGTAAACGCACTAGTCAGGCTGTTACGGTTGCATCCATCGTCGCTGGTTTCATCACCGTTGGCGCATCACGAGGTTTGCGCTCACCTCCCCCATCACTGTTCACACATACTCACTCCACTTTCACAGTTATAGTTACGACCAACGCAATCCTAGGAATCACAGACTGCTACTGGTCCTTGGCCGCCACCATACAATTTCTTCTCTTGTTTGTATTTCAATTAGGTTTGTTTCTGGGAACTGGAAGCACGCATATACAGTTGTCATGCTGATCGGTGTTCTTCCAGGACTCTTCTGCCTAACGCTCATACGTGTCATACAGAGCTGGCGGACGAACAACGGCCCTCTGTATTCTATCCTAGTAAAGCATAACATATTCTATTATGCATCCGGTCTGTGTAAGTCAGGCCGTACACATGTTTCCGTAATCATCAGCGGTGACCCTTGTTCCTAAAGTTCTTACAGTCCTGAACTTCCTCATATCGATAATGTTTGCCAATGTGCGTAAACTTTTAAATACCGAATCATTGATATTAAGCATACCCAGTCCGCATACCGCTCCCTCTTTGAAAGGTATGCACCTCCGAGTTCTGCTGTAAATTCTTACTCACAGCACCACAAAACAACATTTTTACAGTTTTGAGGTCACGGTCCTTACAATCCTCGCCACGCGCATGCACCTCCATCTCTGGCGGATGGACCGGGATGCACACGGATCTGATGCCCTCGGGATGATTTGTTTGTCTGATATGTTCTCAGCGGACCTTATGGCTTATTAGGAGTCGTTTGTGGAGTGATATTTGGACTGAACGAGATGACTGGTCCGGGTGGCTTAGGAGGCGCTTAACTTATAAGGAATGTATTTCTTGCTGTGGGCGGGAAGTGGACTTGGTTGGTCTTGATCTATTTAACATCCATAGGTGTTGAATTTCCACTGAGGACGGTGGATGAGTGGATCACAATTGGTGTCAGAAGTGCTGCCTCGCGGCAGTGAGTAAAAATCACATCACACGGACAACACTCAGCATGTACTGATTCAACTTCTAATATAATTCACTAAGAAGCATCCTATTCGAATGCTAGGCGACTGTTTCGAAGTCTACGAGGGAAAGGGATGGTTCTACCCAAGGAAATCATCGATTGTCCTGCGTGTGCGGTGGCTGGGGTTGAATGGGGAGGACGAATGCTGGTTCAGCAAAGCTTTACGTATCTCGACTCGTGCAAGGGAAAGGTATCTTGCAAGACTGAGAGGGTCTCGGGAGCCCAGCGAGGTGAGGTCTGTTGCACACCTTGAACAGATCCCCATCATCCCTCTAAACTTTTAAGGTCACCGGTGACCATAATGACCATCTGCGATAACTCCGGAGAAGCGGAGGTTCCAAGCTTGAAAAGATAGTGCGCAATCTTTGCCGACATAAAGTGTAGGATTTCATTCGACAAGTCATGGTCGAGGCTAGTAAGAGTTGTGAGCCTTGCCATCGAGAACAGTATGAACGAATTAGTATATGTCGTTCGTTCAAGAGCAGCGCGCTCCAGAGGCGTCTGTAGGGCAACGCGAATGACAGGCCACCTCCACGGCAGTTTCACGCTGTCTCACAGTACGTCATCTCCGATGCGCTTGCGGATGCGAGGAACATCGTCAATGCCTCCGAAGCCACATTGCAGGGCGGCACGTATGATTCATGGGGTACAGATCAGACGCGCGTTCAAAGTGCGTTATGGATTGGTCGAGATCCCTAATTTTCTGTGCTATGTTCATGCGAGCTCGCCGACGCCTAAATATGGAGTACTGCAGTTAACCATAGATGAGGGGAGGAGCTTGGACTTGTCCTGGGCTTTCAATCTCTTCGAGTATGATGTTTCGGTTAGCATTATCAAGTTCGATGCATTGCATGAGTGTCACAACGAGGAAACAAACTTGGTGGAGTAGGAAAAGATATAAAGAGAGCAACAAAGAGAGAATAATTACCCACATGCCCAAGTATCAATGCCCATTTGCATGTGGGGGAGATGCACAACAGAGGAAAAGTACGAGACGAGCCCACCATGAGATGGGTGGTGACTGCACGGCTGCTGCACCAGCTGTGGTGGCATGAGTACCTGGAGCAGGAGGTGTCGTGGAGGACGAGGTGGTGGCGTGCTGAGTTTGTGATGACGACGCCTGGGTTTGGCCGTGCAATTGGCTTTGCTGCTGCTGCTGCTGCGGCCGCGGTTGTGGAGCAATAGCCAGTGCCTGCAGATAAGTCATTGAACAACAGCGACGGGAAACGCACGGGAACGAATACATACCTTTCTGTCCTGTACTGTAGGAACATCGACAATACGAGGGCCACGATGAGAGAAGATGGTTCGTCTTGGGCGTTGCTGGAGTTCGGTTGCTCCATCGGTCTTGGAGCGAGAGTGGCGGAAGAACGATGAAAAGCGTTTGAGATGTGAGTCGTGTGTGGAGGAATGGTGATGGGTACCATGTGCTGCGGAGGACTGAGAGTACAAAGATCAGAATAAAAACTGGTCAACAAAAGCAGATGACTCACCTGGGTGTCATCAAAAAATCCTGGCGGTATTCGGCGGGCATGAATAGCTGGACGTCGCGTAGCATCTCTCTAGAATGTCTTTAAAATCATTGAAAAGCTTAAGGAACACGTCACATACGGTCGTTAGTGATTTTTGAGCTGGGACCTGCAAGTGGGAGATTAGTATAGTTTGTACCAAAGAACCATGGGATTTACATCAGAAATGGGTAGGAGAAGGTTTTCAAGGCCAGCTTCTTTGATGATGGCGTGAATGTCCCATGTGTGCACATTTCCGTTGTCACAACCAGTAACTAGTACTTTTCCATCAGCAGAAAGGGCTGCGGAGTCCAAACGATCTTCATGCTGGAGGGGTTGTCCGATCTGGAGATTCGTGTCGAGATTCCATAGACGCGCTCTTTTATCACCTGATACAATTGCAAGGATGCGGTCGTTCTGAGACAAGGAGATGGCGCGGACACCGTGTGTGTAACCCTCAAGAACGGCAATCTGCTGCCAAGTGGCTGTGTCGAATATCCTAATCAGGTTTAATGAACCGGAGATGAGCTTCTTTCCGTCCGACGTCCAGGCCAAGCTGCTAACTGTGTAATCATGTTCAAGTGTGGTTATCAACTCGCCCGTCTTGCTATCCCAGATTTTGACTGCATTCTCGTAGTATCCGCCTGTCGCGATTTTTTTGTTATCAGGCGAGTACATCACCGCGTACACCGAAGTCTGCCCGGTTTTGATTGTTAGGACAATTTCACCGCTCTTGACATCCCATACTCTTGCTGTCTCGTCCCAGGATCCGCTCGCTACTTGCTTACTATCTGCATTCCAGCACAACGCACACACAACATTGGTGTGCCCCGTCCATTTGGCAATGACCTTTCTCGTCTCGACGTTCCGCAATCTCATCGTCCCGTCGCCGCTTCCGCTTGCAACTGTCTTGCCGTTTGGAGACAATGCCATGGACCACATTAATTGGTCATCCTCTTCTCGCCAGTCCTCACCTATCTGTGCGCCGCTCTCCAGGTCCCATAATCGGAGTGAGCCGTCATCAGAACATGTGATTATGCGTCGTCCGCTGGGCAGATGGACAACACCTGTTACCCAGTCTGTATGGCCTCGCATCGTCTGGTGTGGTGTGGGCGCTGGCTTCTGTTGCTTCTTGCTGGTGGATGAAGACATCGTAGGTGCTGGGGAGCTGTACTGCAGATTGGGGCCTATCTATGCGAGAAGTCTGCTGAGATCTTTGAACCAGACCGCGTTTTCGGGTGGCAATGGTTGCTGGTAAGTCCAGGGGCTTCTCTTCTTTCACTGCAACGCTTGTTAGAGCACGCAAGCCATTGTTCACGAGCCAACATACTTACAGGAATTCAGTCCTCTCCTAGAAGACAGCTTCAGGACTGTGTATGCGTACTTGCTGTACCGTTATTCGAGAATGTGCTAGGGATCTTGATGGATATTCCAAGCCGCTGCTAAGCGAGTTGTCAACTTCACCTGCAGAACAATTTACGGTGCCACTCACGAGAAGCACCGTTCAGACACAGTACTCAGTCACCAGCGATCAATGGATGTCTGGTCGGGAGAAGAGGATGTTTGGCGCTCGTTCGTTCAAGCCGCCTTTTCTCATTTAGGTCCGTCCCGTAATTCACAACTTCCTGTTTATGCCATCTCACGTCATTTATTCGATTCCCAATACCTCTTATCATGGAGATGCAGATGACATGGTTCGCCTGATTGGCCATGCACCGCTTCCATCAAGTCAATCCATCGACATCATGATGGTGATCTGTCATATCAAACTTCGGTTCCCTGGAACGTTCTGTGGATGGTTCCTCGATTCCGTCATAGTCACCGTAGAAAATTGGGAGACACGAATTTGAAATCGTGAGGGTTGGTGGAATGACGGCAGGTCACCCTGAACTCGACACGGACTGGGGAAAAACACAGCTGCCTACGAACCAAGACTCCAGCCACTTCGCCAGGACCCCCCAGCACCAACACGGAAGGGCCAGTTTATAAGAAAGTGCATAATGTGTGCGTCAAACCCGTTTTACATCTTGAACGAATGCAGATGGAATATTCGGCTGAAGATATTGCAGCGGCTAGGAGTCTGCAGTGTTTAGTGGTGTGTGGCTTTATTGATCATATAAAAGCGAGATAATCACTGATATATCATGCACCACCAGTACCTATGCAGTGCGTATGAGTTTCTGGATCCCTTCTTGCTGGTGCTAACTTGGCAGCGAAGCGTCAATGGCGGTGTTCTGGGTAGGCTTGTCCAGATCTATTCACGTCCGCCATTGAACTTGTGGATCCAGACCTATGATTATGCATGTTCACTACACGAAGAGGTAATGTATTTGTTCGTAATGCGCCTCAGTTCCAATATATACTGTTCACAGTGGACATTCCTCTTTCGGTCGCGCTGGACCAAGGTAAAGGGCCTTTATATCATCACACGACATGCCCCATTTTTTTCCTCGCCACTGAGTTATATAGTGCATTCGGATCCAGCACACATCTTCCTGATGGTGAATTAACATATCGTGCTTCAGAGTACTTCAACCCGAATGAGAATTCCGATGTATGTGAACATGCAGTTGATTTACCTATTCATGAACAACGCTTACCACATGACTTCACAGAAATGCCAGATGTTGATCGTGATTTACTCATGTACGTGCACGGTACATACTGCATGCACGTCCTTGCTGAGTGCCGATCTGGCCTCTCACAGATTTCAGCATGATATCAGTCGGTTGCTCTGAATGTAGCTCTCCTTCCTCTCTGAATACGCGTGCTCCTGATCTGATTCATCTAGTGTTTTTTGTGCTCAGAACATATGCGCTCTGGAACAACAATAGAATCATCCTCGTAGCCATGTTGTCCACCTTTCTCGTGAGTCCTCCCACTCTCTCCACACCCAAAGCTCGTGGTAAATACACTAGTCAGGCTGTTGCAATTGCATCCACCGTCATTTGTTTCATCACCGTCGGCACATCACAAGGTGTGCACTCTCACCTCCCCCAGCCACTACTCGCACATGCTCACTCCACTTCAACAGTTACGACCAGCGCAATCCCAGGCATCCCAGGCTGCTACCGGACTTCGACCAGCTTCAACTTGAATGCCATACAATTTCTTCTCTTGTTTGCATTTCAATTAGGTTTGTTGCTGAGAAGTGGAGGCTCGCATATACAGATATCATGCTGATCAGTATCCTCCCAGGACTCGTCTGCCTCACGCTCCTACGTGTCATACAGAGCTGGCAGACGACCAACGGCCCTCTGTACGCCATCCTGGTCAAGCATAACATATTCTGGTATGCATCCGGTCTATGTGAGTCAGGAACTTCGTACGAATGTTTTCGTGATCATTGGTGATGATTCTTGTTCCGAAAGTTCTCTCGGCCATGAACATACTTATATCGATCATGTTTACACATGTGCGTGGACTCCTAAATACCCCGTATGATCGAGTCATTGATGTGAAGCACACCCAGTCCGCGTACCACTCCCTTATTGAAGAGTATGCACCTCCAAGTTCTGCTGTGAATTCCTACTAACAATACCCCAAAACAACACGTTTCCAGTTTTGAGTTCGTGGTCCTTACAATCCTCGCCACGCGCATGCACCTCCATGTCTGGCAGATGGACCAGGATGCACACGGCTCTGATGCCCTTGGGATGATTTATTTGTTTGATATGCTCCCGGCCGACCTTATGGCATGACGTATTGTTGCGTGGCTTATTCGGCACCGTTTGTGGAGTGATATTTGAACTGAAGGGATCGCTTTGGAGGCGCTTAACTTAGAAGAACATATTTTATGTTAAAGGCGGTAGGTGCCTTTGGTTGGCCTTGATCTATACAACATCAATAGATGTCTAGTTTCCACTGTGAGGGCGGCCGATGAGTGGATCATGATTGGTGTCAGATAATACTGCCTCGCGGCAGTGAGTATCATTCTCAAAATTACGCGGACAACGTTCAGCATGTACTTATTCAATTTCTTTTAGTTCAATAAGAAACGTCCTATTCAAATGCTAGGCTACATTAACCCTACGAGTCAATGAGGCGAGCAGGACAATCAAGTAAGGTTTGCGCTGCTGTTCGTGTCACGGAGAATGAAACACATGCAGACGACTGACTTGCAGAAGAGACCTCTGACTCTTCCTATGGTCGTCGAGAAGACAGGTGGGGACTTGGGTGATATATTTTGTTGGACAAATCTTGTCTGACGGTCCCGTCATGTCGTTGAGCGAACGCTGCGTCGAGGAGGGAGAATGGTAGCGATATGCACATCGCATACGCATACATCGTAATAAAGCGTTGGGTGACTCGTATCTATGCACAATTCTACTAAAACCTGACATTGAACCGTTCAAGTTGATATCACCCTCGTCCGGGGTATACCTGCGTGCTAATGTACTATACCATTAATTTGATTGTACATCTCGTGCGCTACACTACGGGCGCAAAAACCCATGATTTTCATCATACGGGCGCCTCCAACTTCAAAAAGCTCTGTCTTCCCAACGTCCGCTGCAGCCCTAGCTCGGTATATGCTTATCGCATACCCTGAACCACATACCCAACACGTATTCCGGTCACGCCTGCGCCCATAAGCTGAGCGGCTGTCGCGTGCCAAAGTATCTCAGGGCCCAGAAAGTCGTGGCAGAAGGCTTCTGCATCATAGAAAAGTCTTGTCAATTCTGACCACCCAATGGTACAATTCGCTTCACCTCAACTATTATTTACCACTCCCTAAAACTCGACATCGATCCACCATACGCATCACGATGGCGAAGAAAAGTGTTGTCCGCGCTAAAACCATCGTTGTCTTTGGTGCAATGGGCGTCGGAAAATGTTCCCTCGTTAACCTCATTGCAGGCAAACGCATCGCTGAAACTGGCTCTGATCTCAAGTGTTGCACATTCACGTGGACCAAATACGAGTTACCCAACCTCCTTGGTGATGGGGAGCAATATAATCTCTTCGACACGATGGGCATTGAGAACCCATAAATCGAGCCACGCGAGTGCCCTGAGTCCATCAAGAATTCCAACCGTCTTCTCCACGCAGTAAAATTGTGACAAGGGGTGACCACTAACTGATTGTGAACCTACGGTGGTGTTTGCTGACGTTGTTCAGCGATGAGACTAGTTTTGGGTTAGTGAAGTGAACTTGAAGAGAGACAGATAGACTTACGAGTGTGGGAAGAGTGCAGACGGAGAGCGAGCATCGGGCATGAGGGTCAAGGACAAACAGGATCTGTATGGCTGGTCAGTACGATTCTGCATACTGATGAGTTGGACCAGAAAGTTCATAATCGTAATGAATGCGAAGGGAAAGGAGGAGGAACTCGTATTTATAAATGTTGGTCTTCTGCGATATCGGAAGGTGTTGCAGTTGATATGCAGAGAAGAGAAGGGACAAAGAGAGAACGCGGGATATTGAACTGTGGTTAGTAGATGTAACAAATGAGTAGAATATAGTAGAATGTACACGAACCTGAGCTCGAGGAAGACATGCAAGAAGTGTGGTAGACAGTCATATCGAGACACGCTGCACACGACCACGTTCAAATCGTTCACCGGAGCGCTAGTCTTCTGCGACTCGGATATCGGGAGGTCATTGGATACGAGGAAGTGATATATAGAAAACCATGGGATGGTTAACGTTGGCTGTGTTTGAAACTTGATTGGGAAGTACTATTGAAGGAGAACGCCACACACTGAGGAAATGAAATCGTTTCAAGGTGCGCTGCACGTGACCGCGTTCACATGCATGCCAAGTCCACTCTTGAAAACCTTCTATATCATTCATATCTTCTCTCTGAGTCTACAGCGTACGTTGCTACAACCTCGACTCTACTAGGACACCATTAAGGACTTTGTCAATCGTCTCCAGTTTCGCAATCAGTCACAACAACTACGTCCCGGGGAAGACCATTTATGCCGCTCAAACGATGTCGCGCAGCTTTTATGGCCCTCCCTTTCCTTTCATATGCCAAGACCCATAGTCCACCAGTGGTTGAAGTCGTAGTCTGTACGCAAGTTTTCTGTAACGTGGATCTTCTCATCTCTCGTGTCTGGTTTGATGATCTGACGCCTGATAGCGCCTTGCTGCTGTCAAATGACTAGAATACAGGAAAATCGATGTCACTCGACGGCCACCTAGAGAGCAGCCTGCCATATCCCGGGATACGGCCAAAACGGCACATCGTTCGAGTCGGTTGACATCGATTCGTTCCCAGACGTGCCACATTGGTGCAAAGTGGCCTTCTGCTCCTACTCGTGCTGGTCTTATGGCAGGCCGAGGATGCCTCCGCGATGACGCTTGGAGCGTATCGACCAACTCTGCCTGGATCGCACAACCAGTAACCCTCGCGATGAAGCTTACAGCTGTAGTTAGCTCAATGTACACTCGTCTACCTGCAACCAACGATTCATAAATTCTATACAAACTACATCTGACATTGCCAAATGTGTTGGCAAGGGCCCTGGTATCATTTTGATATCATACCGTCATGGATCCTCCCACTGACTCTGTACTCATGCGTGTAGACTGTGGAGAAGTGTTCACGAGCCTGCTGGACAGTGAACTCCAATGGGATTCAGCTTCTATTCCCTGCCTTCCGCGTTGAACTCGCGCCAAAAAAGTGGAGGTAGACTGATGCAAGCGCGTGAACTCTCCTCCCATTCGCGCCAATTCGTTGTGTGCGGCTTCCGCTGCAACGTGGCGGACGAACAACGGCCCTCTGTATGCCATCCTAGTAAAGCGTAACATATTCTATTATGCATCTGGTCTGTGTAAGTCAGGTCGTACACATGTTTCCGTAATCATCAGTGGTGACTCTTGCTCCTAAAGTTCTTACAGTCCTGAACTTCCTCATAACGGACCAACTCGTGTGTTTTGTTGTTTGAGTGTCTGGCGCAGGTATGATACGAGTGCTTTGGAGGCCCCTGCAGTTGAAGAGGACGGCATGATCGATAACCTCGCCATTGATTGCAGGCATCACTACAAAACCGGAAGGAGGTTCGAATTACCGATCGTGCTGGTGTATTGTGCGATTCACCTTCTGAACCGGTGATTAGTCGGTGACCGGTGCGAAACAGGTGATTTCGTATCACCACCTGTGCGGGTGATTTTCAACACTTTGTAAGCCACTACACTCACCATTCAACATGCTGTTTGTAGCACTGGGGAAAAAAAGAGATTATGAACCGGTGAGAATGTCACACGAACCTTATATTCCAAACAGATTATCACTGTATTTTGACCACACAACCGCGAAATGACAACATGGTACATATTCTGATATCCTCATGTCATTTCCACTGCATTTTAACATATAGTACCGTACTTCAATGAATGCATCAATTGCTTACATAAATTCAAAGTTGAACGTTGAATGTTGAACCCTCCGCCCCAACAAACGGTCCTTTCTTGCCTTCGCACCACAATGTCAATGCATGATGCATAAATGGGTGTTTTAGCTACGTAGTTAATAGCCGCTAGATAGCACAGCCATGGGGGCATCTATGACATTAGCCCTCTGATGGTGCTCAAGTTCTGGTTGTATGTATAGAAATGCAATATCAATGGATTCTCTTTGCTATGTGTTCTCGTTGGGGCATATATCATGTACCTGCAACAAGTTTTGGGGTGCGCGCGCAGTACCTAAAGTGGGCCCTTGAAATTACAACGAGTGAGAATGTCCTCCAGAATACAACTATAATATGATGAGAACACGATGATAATGTGATCATTCTTTTTGCATTTTCATTTCTTCATAATCCCCTCAGAATGTGGCAAACATTTGGTTCGAATCTTGAGGTTCTCGCCACATCCTCATTTCGTGTACTCTCGTTTTTTCCCCAGTGTAGCCACCAGGTATGTCAGTTATTTTCACCAGTTGGAACAAACTGCCTAATCCGATGACAGATATCATTTTTTTCAGTTCTTATCACCATGTACCGTACCATTCGCGTGCGCACGTTAACGTTAACGTTTAGAGTGCTAGTGCAACCATCGACGTCGACATAAATTATGACCACAGCGCGGGAATCTGGCATCAAACGGTAAGCCAAATTTCTTTCATCCGAGTCTCTCGCAGTTTCTCTGACTCTCGATCCCAAGTGCACGCCCTGAGTCACCACCTTTCACCAGACCACGCAAGCCTCGAGCTCTGTTTCGCCGCCTCAAGATCCCCGACAACCCAAATGACCCTCCTGAATTTTGTATTCCTCCTCCATCTTCATGCCTCGTGTATATGTCCTGATCATGATCTCCACAGCTGCCGAATATCTTGCATTGCTTGCAGTCCAGGCTGAGCTCGAGCCGAACGAATCATCCGGCGCGAAGGATAACGTTCTCGAGGTGTCGGCAGACTTTATCATCAATCTCATTGAGGCTCGATGGAAGGCAGAGAAAGAACGGTGTGATGCAGAATGTAAGGCTCAGTTGCTCGAGATGAAAAATTTACCTCGAGTTAGTTAAAAAGTACTTATCATACACCGAGAACAATGTTACTAGTCTGCTGAAGTCAATCCTCAAAAACTGCACGAGCGAGATTTCCACTTCGGTCAATGATTGCCCACTTCCGTCCTCCATCGATATCAATAGGGACACGGCCGACGAGACATTGCAAGCAAACAATATCCACAATATCTAAGGTATCATTGAGGTTGCTGTAAAAGTGAATGTCGAGGGAAGACAGGCTTGAAGGGGTGGGTTCGAGTTTGCATGTTGACAATGCAGCGAGGAAAATGGTTGTTGGCCCATCAACTTTGAGTGCCGGAGTATGTGGAACGAGAACGACAAAAATATGATGTAGACGTCCGTAGAATGTTTGTTTCTCGTAAGTGGGTGGTAGGTTGCGTCGATGGGCATATTTGTCCACAAGAGTCTCATACTAAATAGTATAGTACCATTAGCATTTTCCGTTGTTCAAAACAAGCAAACAAACTCACTCGCACGAATGTTGCATCTCGTGAATCACGCTGGTGTGATGTAAGCCCTGCTGCAAGCATTGTGTCACCACCATCAAGTCGTTGGACCTTGCCCCATTGCTCAATAGACACTGCTTCGATATGCTGACGAACAATTGCCAATGATACATCAAACCGAGTAGCGAGGGCCTTGAAGATCCGCGTGAGCATTACCGACTCGAGTGGCATCACGCTGGTTGTTCTCCGTGGAGGCAAGAGTATACATGATGGATCTGTTGACAAAAGTCAAGGTACGGCAAAATAGATAGTAAATTTTTAAAAAATTACATGACTTGTGCTTGAAATGGCCAGCTATGTCTCCTGACCGAGATGGTTGCAGTGTGATAGCTTCGGTGAAACCATGAATAAGTGCTGCTTGTGTCAGTTGGGCATGTTCGATAATGTAACGAGCCATGCATGCATCGGGGTAACGTTTGCTAGTGATTGCTGGTTGCATCTGCCCGCAAAATCTCTCCATAGGAAATGCCCAACTAGTCCATACTGGTCCAGCCTCTTCGATACTATCTGCTATGTGCAGAAGTGCATGTATGGTGATGGGGCATGTTGAGAGACGTTCCGGGTTGTGTTGGTAGTAAATTCTAGAACATTGCAGCTTAGAAAAAATTCAACGTGCAGGGACAATATTACTAGTGGACTCACACTTCAAATTCTTCAACCCAAGTAGCAAACCCCGTTCGCAAATCATCGACATCAGTTTTTGACAGTTCAAACTGCAGACAAACCCGGACCACGTGAACAAGCTTCAAAAAGTGCTTATAGTACTTTGGCTTTGAGAACTTTCGGTACAAGAGAACAGGGCCAAGGTATTGCATCCAAAATGACCACGAGTCGGCAGTGCACATACTCCGTTCGGTGGCTGGATTAGGTGGTCGAGCACCATATGCCGAGGGTATAAAAGATCCGGAATCAGCACCTGCCTGGCATACAGCGTTCCAGACACTTTCCGCAATCTCATAATCCTCGGAACCAGCATCCAGGCCTTTGAATTCGCCAGTCCAAAGCAAGATAAGGTTCTTGATGACATTTTCCCAAATGAGATGCATAAAATCATAGGGAAATGACTTGGGAAATGACAGCAAGGATATGAAACTTAGCACAGGTATACCTTTGATACCATATGCCTTGGCGAGTTTTTCGGCTTCAACTGCTGTAGATGCAAGTTGAACTTGCTGAGCTTGTTGCATCATCTCTTCGTGAGTGCGACGGGGGAGTTGTAGTGGATTGAACTTCTTCGTCGCAGTGGATGAAGCAAGAATATCTGGGTGGTTGCTTCAATCGAGAGGGACATAGTGCACAGCACTTTTTGCACGAGGAACTCGAATGCCAGTAATGTTGCATGCTCGACACGGTGAAAAACCATTGTGACCCTTGATTCGCATAATCATGGACATGGCAGGAATATCTCCTGCTACGATAATGAGATATGCCCGGAGCATGAAGAGCTTCGCCTGAAGTGAGTCGAAAGCCCGAATGCCCGCAGCCAGTTGAAGGAGTTCGTCAACCAAGAGCCATAGAAAAGAATCGAAGTCCTTAGGTTTCTTGGGGCCGGGAACAACTCCGAGGCATATGATATATTGTTTGTGAAAACGGATTTCGGGAGGGAGATTGTAGTTGAAGAGAATGAGTGGCCAAGCTGTGGTTTTGCGACGACGGAAAGGGGCAAATCCATCAGTGGACAAACCAAGGGCAATATCTCGAGTGTCATCAAAGTGAGTGAATGGCATTGTGGTTCCGTTGATGACAACATTTTTCGTGAGCAGCTCACGGTACCATGAACCATCGAAGATGTCACTGATAGATCCAGGGGTGTGTATGTGATCATGGGCACGGTATTTCATTTTGGATGCTAATGCTGGATTCTGAAACATAGAGACGAGTCGTGGGATGACAGGCACATAGGAGAACTGTTTTTGTGGCTGCCCGTTTGACTGGTAACGTGGTGCACTGCAGTGCGGACAGACTTCAAGATCTTCATTTGGTCCAACAAAACAACAACACGAGTTGACACAACAGTCACGATGCCGAGGCTCTAGTCCTGATAGAAATGCGACTCGGGATTTTGCCTTTTTAAGGCTCGGAACATTGGCAGAGGGAAAAGCAAACTGTAGCATGTTGAAATTTGCCTCTGTGGTATGTGACTTGATTTTATATGCAACAGCACGCAAGATGTCTTTGTCGTTGATGCTGAGGTCCTCGCCTGCTCGTTCATAAGATTAATTACCCTGAATTTCACGGTGACAACATACCAATCTCCAAGAGCTCCTGTTCAACCCTTTCACCCAAGAACTCATCCTCGACGTCAGTCTCGAGCCCCATATCTTGTCCCAATTCCTCGTCAGAGTCAGAGCCAGAGTGCTCATCCCCGGTGCTCTCGAGTTCGTCTTGCTCTTTATCAGTTAAGGGTTCAGATGAGTGAGCCATGGTCAGTGCATCACATGGACTCGGAGGACTGAATTCTGTATTGAAAACATCCTGCACGTCTGTAGGAACAGGATGTATTGATTAGATATGAGTTTCGTTAGACCACGGAGACACACCTATTGTCATTTCCTCTCGGAGTGGAGCTTTTGATGCAATATCTGTCCACTTAGCTAGACTCCTAACTTTTGGAGGTTTGCGTGCAGCAAGAAGTTTCGATTGATAGGGTGATGTGGCCTTCAAACGTGGAGGGGCAATGAGTAGGCGGTGATTCCGCCATGTTCGTTCGCTGACCCATTTGTTACAACAGCGACATAATTTACGTGCTGGAGGACGGTGTTGAGATTTATCCATAGGTGTCACGGCGAAGCTTTCACGGACAAAATGACTTCAATTCACTGATCTGAGTGGCTGCATACAAGGATAAACAAACGACTTGTCAAAATTTTCAAGCTCGCCCACACCAATGTCGCAGCCAGTTATCATACCCACATTCAGCCCTCTCATCAGATTGAAATATAACCATGCCTGGCAGCAACGAGAACCTACCACCTGCAGGGCCAACTGCAGCAGCGAAGAAAAACGGGGCTGCACCAAGCAACCCATCAGTATCTTCTGGACTCGGTGGAGCAGGTAGAGGGCCGACGGCAGCCAAAACAATGACTCCGATGACTCCAGGTTCGAAAGCCCCAAATAAAAATTTGACAAAGCAAGTGCTGCAAGAGAAGAATACAAAGCTTGAAGATGAGAATTCTCGTCTCAAAGGTACGGAAATTTTACTTACCATGGGTATCGTGAATGACAAACAATATTTCGGTGCAGCAAAGATCTTGCAACTTGAGGAAGCAGAGCAGGCAGCCAAGCTCACAGCTGCAGAGGCAGAAGCTGCCAAGAAAGTTGCGGAAGAGAAGATCAGAAACTCCCGTGTCGATCCTATGCATGAGCTCATTCAGAAACCAACCACTGCCAAAATGAAGGACTCGGGCAGCAGAGGCCATCTGCTCAAGGCAATGAAGCTGGAGAACAATAAAGCGGAATATCTTGCAATTCAGGTTAGTAGTTTGACAAAACAAATAGCGAGTCAGCACTTACTAATGGTACCGGTACCATAGACCACAGTTCACGAGCTGTGCTCACGTGTGGATCTGGACTTTAAGGTGTTGTACAATGCTCAACCCACGAGCAGCCTCGCGAAACTGTTTAAATTGGTGTGCATGTCAGTTAGATCTCCTCCCGCGGTGATAGTAAATATGATTTACAGGCATGACGGGACCACCCTCACCTTGAGAAGTTTCAGAATGATTGGGCAACAGCGGAGTTGGTTAAACAATTCTTGCAGAACAAACGGAAGGCAAACAAAAAACGAAAGGCAGGTGCCACTGTGGGTACTCGAAACAACAAACGGAGTCGACTCGATGACTCGGACGACTCAGATGGAGAAGTAGGAGAAGGAAGTGGATCTTGTGAGCGTGAGATAGCGGGTGATGATGACGAAGATTTGGGCGCTTGAGCAGATTTTGTGTGGATGCGCGCAAGATGCTGACGAGTCAATTGGTTAATTAACCATGGTGAAAAGTAACATTTTCGCTAGTCGTTCAAACCACGATAGAGTCCAATGAAACTGGTTTAGATCACCCATACAAGTTGTATACTAAACTAGCGGAGCGAGTGAGGTTCACCAATGATGTTGGTGGAGGTGAACAGTAAAAATTACTGACTAAACCAGTGGTATGCACCGTGGGACGTGCTCATTTTCGAGATGGTGAATCCGGCAAAAAATGTGGTTTTTGGCACCACAAAAAATGACCTGCGGGGTGGGTTGTTATAACCAATCCCTGGTGATGTTCAACTTAAAATATGGTGGATTGAACCAGACTGACGGGTGATGATACCGGTGAGATTCACCAGTTCTCGGTTGCATAGTGCATAGAGAGAATGAATCTACTAATAATGGTATTATTAGACTGTAGCTGGGCTGTAATTAGCCGTTCACATCAAGACTCGAAATCGACCAAGCGACAAGTAGGCTCAAGTAGGTTGGACCTTGCAGCCTTAAGGATGGAAGACAGTCCAAGTTGTTCCTTAGTTTCAAAGTTCCCACACGTGTCGTTCAACCGTACAAGTACTAGGTGCGAGGAGGCCTGTATGGAGGAAACAAGAGGCGAATAGAGGATAATTGTAGCAAGCACTTGTTAATGGATCCCCTTTGGCGCGTGGGACACATCGCACGGGGAGGTGGTTTCTTTATAGGTGTTGCGGTTGAGGGTGGTCACCTGCGCTGTGCAGGAGTGGGAGGAGTGGATTTGGAAAGAGGTATGTTCGATGCCACCAAGATCTTGTCCTGATGAGCATAAGGGAGGCAGCGATCAGATTTCTTGGGAGGAGAAGTTGAATGCGGTGCAAATGGTGCGTATCAGCTATGTGGAATTTTCACTCAGTGACGCCTCATTCTGTTGGAACGTTGTCCAGCTTGCTGCGACTCCGAGTACATGTGCTGTCAAACACGCACAAATAAAGGCGGGCAAGCGCTCACTGTCGGCGTACCACCGAGCTATTACTGACTAGTCAGTCTGTGGTAGTGAATGATCTCAAGTTGTCCTTCTGGTATCCTGTGCACACCCGTGACTATCGCGCAAAGGCGCCAATACTTGCAAGGCACAATGCTCAGGTTTCCAGCCGATGCGACCCTGTTGTCCCATTAACCCAACTCAGGTGCTCTCAGGCGTGTCAATAACATTCTGATATCAATACTCGGATGGGGGCTAATCAATGATGGGTGCTAACAAACTTGTCTGTTTTTCTGTTCATCGTCTTCCTCCCTTTTGAGACTCATACTCAGTCTCCTTCCAACTTCCTCGATGAGTGAAAACAATCCTCCTGGGAAGAAGCGCTGGGAGTGGTTGACACTGAAGCCAAGTCATTCAGACCATCATTTGCTAGGGGAGAGGCCAACCAGTGATGTATGGGCTGTCGACTTTACAAGTTCGCCATGTTTCTAATGGTTATAGACCTTATCTCTCCCACCTTTGAGCAATGGATCTCGCGAACGATCCCCAGGGTTAGCTCACAAACTCTTTGGCAAGGTGACCAAACCCTTCACTCCAAGCGCTCGACAGTCTTCCAACCCTGAACCCACGGGCGCACGTTCCAGAGCACAGGATATCGAACCTGTACAGTCAATCGAGGTATGTGAAACCTCAACTCTGAGCATGCCCATGTGCCAGGATTGCTACTAATTTGCCCTGCAGGATCCTTCACCACTCATCGTTGCCACTCCTGAACCGAATATTGAGCAATCATCCAATCCAGGCATTGTAAAGGTAACTTTGAGCGACCTTGTCTCCCTCTTTCAATCAAGTACTAACGTCTCTAATTAGGCCAAACGACCCGACCAGAAGTTTGTGAACGAAAGAATCACCGATGCCACCAACATTTTTTCAGGCATCGGCCACGTCACAACAATTGCCCAACATACATCTTCAGCAGCCAACAACTTACAATCTGTTTCTGATAAGGACGACACATTCTCCGCGTTGCTTGTACCCTTGAAGGTTTTCAACTCCATTGCTAATGGCATTGCCGACGTACGGGCATCTATCTATGTTTTTTACGCGACTAATACTCATATGTAGGTCCATCCCTATGCGAAGGTGGCATTGAGCATCTTCACTTGCACGTCCAAGGTGGATTTCTTTTAATATTATTACCTTGAGAAGTTCACGCAGTCATTTGTCGCAGATGATTCTCGATCAGGCAGAGCGCGATGACGCTATCTCCCATCTGCTCTCAAAGATCTCTGAAGTCTACACCTTCATCACGGAAGAGGAGGAATTGCCCAAGTTGCAATCCATGCTGGCGGTATATGGGAAGATAGCCCAGCAAACACTGGAGTGCGCTGATTTTATCACCCATTACTCTGAGACGAAAAGTGCCTGTGAGCCCATCCCACCGCTTCGTCTCCTGACGCTCAATGTCTCTTGCACAGGGATAAGGCTTGGAAAGAACATTTTCGACAAAACGGATACCACGATCAAGAGCTACAACAATGTTTTTGACAGCCTCATGCAGCAATTTCGAGACCAAGCTGTTCGAGACACCGTTGTCACGGTCCACCGCATGGGTAAGAGTTGATGTTCAGGTCGCGTTGAACATCATTTGATATTCGATGGTTCATAGCCGAGAGTCTGGACCTCAGCGGCATGGAGTGCGCAGCGGGTGCTGGAGTCAACATGTCTAAATGTTGTCTGCCAGATACTCGACAAGAACTTTTGACTGAGATCAAGGATTGGATTGGCAGCACCGAAGAGGGCGTACCAAGTGTCTTATGGCTGTCTGGCCCTGCAGGCAAGGGCAAATCAGCCGTCGCCCACACGATCGCCAACTGGCATGATGAGCATGGCGGTCTAGGCTCCTGTTTTTGCTTCGATCGCACACAGGAAGCAGATCGCTGCCAGGACAAAATATTCACGACCATCGCAAACGACTTAGCAGATTGCAACCCTATCGTGCGACGAGCCTTGGCGCAAGCCGTTCATGATAAGAACGGACTCAAACGCACCCCAGACCTCACAAGGCAATGGCAGGAATTAGTCGTAGGACCAACAAGCACGGCCTCGGGAGCAATGTCTGCACCTGTCCTGATGGTGATCGATGCATTAGATGAGAGTGGCCCAGCAAAGTCCCGGGAACAAATCCTTCGTCTGCTTTCTGGGGAGCCAAACGCCTCTCCTTCCCAGCTATCCAACATCCCAGCACACTTCCGTATTCTCGTCACTTCCCGCCCACTGGAGGATATTCGCGATGCCTGGGCACCGCATCACATGTTCGTCGTGTCTCCATGGATGACATCTCGCCTGTGTCTGCAGAACATGATATCCAGCTCTACATATCCACCAAGCTAGCAGGCCCGCGCAGTCTGTTCGATGATGGGCACTTCAAGACCCTTGCTCAGAAATCTGACGGCTTGTTTGAGTGGGCTCGTCTGGCCTGCGAGTATATCAAGAGCACGAACATCGTGAGCCGGGGCCCGATGTCTCATCTTCACGCTATTTCTGAAACGTCCGCCAAAGGAGTTTATCTGTTAGATGAGATGTACCAACACGTCTTGGCAGATGTCATGCCAAAGTACACGCACGAGGAGTCGATCCCTATCTTTCAGTCTGTGATGGGTCAGATTCTTGCGTCGTTGGAACCACTTTCCCTCAATGCGTTGAACGAGATGCGGGAGCATTTCCCGTGTGATGATGACTGGTACGATGTGAACTTGCTGATGGGGAAGCTCGGCTCGCTTGTCTCTGGCACCTCGGATTCTTATACTCCCATACGTCCCCTTCACGCGTCATTCTATGACTTCCTCACAGACAAATCGTGGAGCCAAGACTTCTTCGTTGATACGTCGTTGGTACAGAGCGACCTTGCCTTCGCCTCCCTTCGGGTCATGGACTCGGAGCGCGGGCTTCACTTCAATATCTGCTCTTTGGAGAATTCGTACTTGCCTAATTCCGCTGTCCCTGACTTGGAGAAACGAGTCAAAGAGGCCATTTCGGCCGAGCTATCATACTCTTGTCGATTCTGGGGGACTCACGTGGCAGCGACATCCTTCGAAGCAACACTCACCAAGGAAATTGAAGCTTTTTTCAATGGAGAGCGCCTCCTTTGGTGGTTGGAAGCACTGGCACTGATGAAAAGCCTCGGCGGCTCGGTAAACTCACTCTTGTCTATCACAGGTTGGGTTGCGGTGCATATCTCAAGTTTGTTCTTCGCGCAATAAATTCTTACGAGTAGTGGGGTGATTCTAGGGTGATGCCGAGTACACGCATATCGGTGACGCTGCCAAGGACACGCTGCGCTTCGTTCGAACCTTCGCGCCCACCATTCTACGCAGCACTCCCCATTTATACCTTTCCGCCCTGCCTTTTGCTCCAACTCAGTCGAGAATATTTCATCAGTTCGCCGCAAAGTTTCCTTGCACCCCACACATTGTTGCTGGCCATGTCGTAAATTGGCCTCAGATGGAAAAGATACTCCACGCGAATGGCATTGTTTGGTTGGTTGCAATGTCGCCAGATGGAAAACACATCGCGTGTGGTTTATACGACGGAACGATCCAGGTGTGGGATACGGAGACTGGTGAGGCATCGTGTGCCCCTCTCGAAGGCCACACTGACCTTGTTACGTCTGTGGTATTCTCGCCGGATGGACATCACATCGTGTCAGGTTCATGGGACGAGACAGTTCGGGTGTGGGATGCTGTGACTGGCAAAGCATTGGGTGCTCCCCTCAGAGAGCACACCGACCGGGTCACGTCTGTCGCCATCTTGGTGAATGGAAGTCACATTGTATCTGGTTCTGAGGACACAACAATCCGGGTGTGGGATATAGGAACTGGCGAGGCATTAGGATCCCCTCTCAAAGGACACACTCACTATGTTATATCTGTCGCAATCTCACCAAATGGAAATCATGTTGTGTCCGGCTCATATGACAAGACCATCCAGGTGTGGGATATGAAAACTGGCAAGGCATTGGGGGTCCCTCTCCGAGGGCACACCGAAAGGGTTCAAGCTGTTGTAATCTCACCGGATGGGAAACACATTGTGTCTGGTTCACACGACAAGACGATCCGGGTGTGGGATATGGAGACTGGTGAGGCATTTGGTGCCCCTCTCCAAGGTCACACTGCCTCTGTTCAATCTGTCACAATCTCGTCGGATGGACACCGCATTGTGTCCGGTTCAGAAGACCAGACGATCCAAGTGTGGGATATGAAGACTGGCGAAGCATTAGGATCCCCTCTCCAAGGCCACTCTAGCAATATTCAGTCTGTTGCCATCTCGCCGGATGGAAAGCGCATAGTGTCTGGTTCGACAGACAAGACGATTCGGGTGTGGGATGCCGACATTATTACGAGCAATGCATTGGTTGCTGCCCTCCAAAGCCACACTGACTCCGTCTACTCTGTCGCAATCTCGCCAGATGGGAAGCACATGTGACATAGTGTCATCAGTAAACTGGTGAGACTCAGATATTCCCAGCCGAGGTGGTTCTTACCTGTATATTGTGATACAAAGTAATATAAAGTAATGTAAAGTGATGTAAAGCAATATATGGGTCCGAACTGATCCTGAATTGGGGCGATTACATTGCTTTAGATTGCTTTATATTACTTTGTATCGTAATATACAGGTAAGAAGCATTGGGCTTACAAAATCTGACAATATCAAGTAATATCTAAGTCTCACCGGTTTACTGATGGTCCGGTTCAAGTGCCACTGACAAGACAGTCCGGGTATGGGATATGGGGACTGGGAAGGCCTTGACCGCCCCTCTCGAAGGACACACTGACATGGTTCACTCCGTCGCAATCTCGGGAGATGGTCATTGTATTGTTACTGGTTCATATGACAACACCGTCCGGATGTGGGATATGGGGACTGGCGAGGCATTGAGTGCGCCTCTCCTAGGACACACCGGAGGCATTAACTCTGTCGCAATCTCGCTGGATGGACGCCGGATCGTGTCTGGTTCAGGTGACCAGACAGTTCGGGTATGGCATGCAGAGGCTGGCGAGGCATCGGGTGACCCCCTCGAAGGGCACTCTGACTGGGTTCGGTCCGTTGCGATTTCATCGGACGGAAATTCCATAGTGTCTGGTTCAGATGATTTCACAATTCAGGTGTGGGATATGGGGACTGGCAAGGCCTCGAGTGCCTATCTCCAAGGTCACACTGCCTTTGTCCTCTCTGTCGCAATCTCGCTGGATGGCCGTCGCATCGTGTCTGGCTCACACGACAAGACCATCCGGGTGTGGGATATGGGGACTGGCGAGCCATTGGGCGCCGCTCTCAAAGGCCACACAGACTCCGTTAACACTATCGCAATATCCTCAGATTGTAATCGCATCGTGTCTGGCTCGAGAGACCTGACCATCCGAGTGTGGGACATGCAGACTGGCAAGGCAGTGGGTGCCCCTTTCCGAGGGCACACTCACACCGTTGCTTCGGTCGCAATCTCGCCCGATGGCAAACACATAGTGTCTGGGTCATACGACAAAACCATCCGGGTATGGGATATAGAATTTCTCAACCGGGACCACCCTTCCGCGCCTACAATATGTTTTTCACCTAACACAACCCACGCTCTTCATTCCGCCTCCTCCTTTCTCGAAGAAACACTAGCCCCTTACGGTCCGAACGGGGAGGGATGGGTTGTAGGTCCCGAAGGACGGCTTCTTCTCTGTATCCCACTCAATTTCCACCCAGTAACGTTTGCCCAGGGCAACGTGTTGGTGATACCCAACAATGCCTTACAGTTGGACTTGAGTCGTGTCGCGCATGTCACGTCATGGCACCAGTGTCGGAAGTAGGAGGCAGCGCTGTCTTCGCGGTACATACATTTCTGTCGCATAATGGGCGTGTACTTTGTTAGTTGACGGAAGATATTCTACACAGATGTTGTACAACACATGTTTGCCTCATTGTGGTACCGTTCGTTTTGTGTTCGTTACAACTTTGTTCTGCTTCATTTGTTACTTACTCCATGATCATGTCCTGCAGAACGTTTGCAAAGTCCGAATTAATTACGTTTCCATACTCTTCTCTCCTCGTTACTCTATCTCTAGACTTGCTTTCTTTCCCGTTTATTATCCCCTGCTGTAAAATTACAAATTGACTTGAGCTTGAACCACATCTCTCGAGAACGGTCATGTTGCCTGAATCAGAACCATTCTCACCATTTCTACTCTCGCCTGAATGTCACTCACTAGCCTCCTTCATCCCTTGAACGCACTCCCAACATCCATAGATATGATCCATACGACGCTGGACGGAGACTACTCGTGAGCAGCCTAGGGCAAACACGGCCGTCTGCTGGTCCGCAATCAGCCTCTCCCGAAATTATGGTTGAACAACTCGCTCACGATGTACGTCCACCTCAAGGACGGGTGGGAGGGAGAGCTAGTCAGTTGGGATCGGAGAGGAAGTGAGGCACACATGAGACTGTTTCTGAGCAGGAGAAGGCGACAACAAAAGGTGTCAAGTAGGATAGTGTGCTTTGGGCGTCGACCAGCGCTTGGAGGTTCGTTCCTGTAAGAAAATAGTAGTTGTAATATGATACGTTAAGACGGGGTGCAGAGCTGCGAGATAAGACCAATCGCCGTCACACATATTTTTGAAACACACACGCTCTCCGTTATGATGTATAGTCGCGCTTACTTCGAAGGTTAGTGGGGAAGCAACGTGTCGTGATCAAGTTAGCTTTCGATCTCGATAATGGGAGCACAGTGGCATATCAGGGTGGCTGCTGTATTCGATTGGTGCGAGGGCATGCTACGACAGATCTCTATCACACGTCTAGACAGTAAATTTGTTTAAAAGGACAATCACGATGGGATCGGCTCGTCCTCGTCCCTATAATGTGGACGATACTTATCCCTGAAAGCATAGCATTAGCCCTCCTACACTACAACCACTGAAGAAACAGTGAAGACGACCTACCTACATCAGTGGTATGTGGTCCTGCTGCACAACGGCACTTTGAGAACATGGGTTACATGGAGGAGGTAAGCAGTTCACTAGGGCCACGTTCCTAGAATTCTCGCGTCCATCCTCAATCGGCTGAGAACGTTGCTTGTAGATGGAAAGGCTAGGGAAACGAACTCTTGTAATGCCGGCGCCAAGCAAGGGTGAGCGGAAACAACGAGGATTGATGAGAGAAGACAGCGAGGGGGATGTCGACCACGAGCGCGTTGAGGATGTTGACGTGCCGCCCGGTCTTGATGTGCTGACGGCTTTGAAAGTTTGAGAAAAAATTGCCAACAGGTGGCGACGGCACACCAAATGGCTCATCTGCATGATCGAGCAACTCATCCCACGATATCTGAAGTTGTCCAACGACTTCTCTGTTGCCAAGCATTCGATTGACCCCATACGACGCTCACTGATAATGCAGGTGACTCGTGGGATGATCTGTAAACCGAATATGAGTTCTCGAATCGCGTCCGAAACTTTTGACGGACTTTACAGGGTCACAGTATCTCCCCACGCTATAGATCCATCGGATGATAAAACACTGGTGGCTGATTTTCAGCGTCCCCTCGAGTTCGATATTGATGGATATGTAAATGCCAGCGGGTTGGCGCCTGGAGGAGACTTATGAGATTTTTTCCACTGATGACTGTAGATGGAGTGTGAGGATCATGAAAGAGATACGACGGTGATACCGAGGGACCCGCCTTCAAGTCTGATATATTGCCTTACAATGCTAGTAGGCGTGATGGTGCGACCAAACAAACGGCGAACGGCACGGTGCATCGGAGATCGGGTGGGGTACAGAATGAGTGGTAGGACAAGATGGAGGGTAGGGATATGGGGACTGTGGATGGAGTTTGGCCGAGAGGGGGAGGAGAAGATGTTGAGCGTTCAGGTAATGCTATTTGTATCATGTTGTCGAGGGCTGTCCAGCACCAGACGCTGGTATAATGAAACTAAGCGCTGAGACAAAGGGATGACCGAGTAGGATAGCGGCAGAACCTGTGCTAGAGAAGTGGGCAATGTCAAGGTCAGATACTGGACTTATGCGAGACTCTGAACGTCCCGTGATGTTTGCTACTCGTAGGCTGAGTAGTACGACTGATTTAGCACACTAAGGCAAAATGTAGAATCGAGTGTATCTTGTGATGAAATGCCAAAAGCCATGTTGTATATTCGTTCTTAAAGTCTGCATAAACATACCAGGTCCGAGCTTCTGGCACCTGTTCGTCCTCATCACGTCCGCCTTTCAGCGGTTCTCTGCGTTTGGTGGCAAAAAATGAGGATGTGTTGTGGCCTGCGGATTGTCCAAGGCATCATCTTGTGGACGACCAGATGGAGCGTAGTGAGGATATTGTGAATGATTCATGGCACCACTGGCAGAAGAGCCTCTTCATTGCACAGTTGAATTGGGTTGAGTTAGTTGACGGGCCTAGCGTTCCTCCCGCTCAAAATATCGTGGGAAAGTGCGAACTTCCCAGACTTCTCCGAGAACCGATGTCACATTCACTAGCACTTGCAATTGCAACTATATCATGATGCATATGTATACCGTTTGCTATCAATTTTCCATCTCGTGATATCACCAATCCCTGCACCTCATTGTGATGCACCTGTCCTCAAGTCCCACAGATGAAGTGTCTTGCATTTAAGGCAGTGACCATTCGTTGTCCATCGGGCAAAACTGCTACTTTGTGTATTTGGTCTGTATGGCCTTCAAACACTCGAATGGCTGTGATAATTGGAGTGAGTTGCGTCGTAGCCCATTGTGCTAGTGGTTGATGGTGTTGAGCATGAGGTAGACTTGGTAGCAGGAATTGTGAGTTTCTTCCTCAAACCTTCCTGCAGAGATACGTACACTGTTTATGCCATCTCACGTCATTTATTTCATGCCCAATACCTCTTATCATATGCCAGAAGACATAGTTCGCCTGATTGGCCATGCACCGCTTCCATCAAGTCAATTCATCGACATCATGATGGTGAGATCTGTCATATCAAACTTCGGTTCCCTGGAACGTTCCGTGGACGGTTCCTCGATTCCGTCATAGTCACCGTAGAAAATTGGGACAAACACTATAGACAGAAATTTGAAACTGTGAGGGTTGGTGGAATGACGGCAGATCACCCTGAACTTGACACGGACTGGGGAAAAACACAGCTGCCTACGAACCAAGACTCCAGCCACTGCGCTAAGACCCCCAGCACCAACACGGAAGGACTGGTTTATAAGAAAGTGCATAATGTATGCGTCAAACCCGTTTTACATCTTGAACGAACGCAGATGGAATATTCGGCTGAAGATATTGCAGCGGCTAGGAGTCTGCAGTATTTAGTGGTGTGTGGCTTTATTGATCATATAAAAGCGAGATAATCACTGATATATCATGCGCCACCAGTACCTATGCAGTGCGTATGAGTTTCTGGATCCCTTCTTGCTGGTGCTAACTTGGCAGCTCAGCGTCAATGGCGGTGTTCTGGGTAGGCTTGTCCAGATCTATTCACGTCCGCCATTGAACTTGTGGATCCAGACTTATGATTATGCATGTTCACTGCACGAAGAGGTAATGCATTTGTTCGTAATGCACCTCAGTTCTAATATATGCTGTTCACAGTGGACATTCCTCTTTTGGTCGCGCTGGACCAAGGTGAAAGGCCTTTATATCATTACACGACATCTCCCCTTTGTCTTCCTCGCCACTGAGTTGTATAGTGCGTTCGGATCCAGCACACATCTTCCCGATGGTGAATTAACATATTGTGCTTCAGAGTACTTCAACCCGAATGAGAACTCCGATGTATGTGAACATGCAGTTGATTTACCTATTGACGAACGACACTTACCACATGACACAGAAATGCCAGATGTTGATCATGATTTACTCATGTACGTGCACGGTACATGCTGCATGCACGTCCTTGCTGAGTGCCGATCTGGTCTCTCACAGGTTTCAGCATGATATCAGTCGGTTGCTCTGAATGTAGCTCTCTTTCCCCTCTGAATACACGTGCTCCTGATCTGATTCATCTAGTGTTTTTTGTGCTCAGAACATATGCGCTCTGGAACAACAATAGAACCATACTCGTAGCCATGTTGTCCACCTCTCTCGTGAGTCCTTCCACTCTCTCCACACCCAAAGCTCGTGGTAAATACACTAGTCAGGCTGTTGCAGTTGCATCCACCGTCATTGGTTTCATCACCGTTGGCACATCACAAGGTGTGCGCTCTCACCTCCCCCAGCCACTATTCGCACATGCTCACTCCACTTCAACAGTTACGACCAGCGCAATCCCAGGCATCCCAGGCTGCTACCGGACTTCGACCAGCTTCAATGCCATACAATTTCTTCTCTTGTTTGCATTTCAATTAGGTTTGTTGCTGAGAAGTGGAAGCTCGCATATACAGATGTCATGCTGATCAGTATTTCTCCCAGGACTCGTCTGCCTCACGCTCATACGTGTCATACAGAGCTGGCAGACGACAAACGGCCCTCTGTACGCCATCCTGGTGAAGCATAATATATTCTACTATGCATCTGGTCTATGTGAGTCAGGAAGTACAAATGTTTTCGTGATCATTGGTGATGATTCTTGTTTCAAAAGTTCTCTCGGCCATGAACATACTCATATCGATCATGTTTGCCTATGTGCGTGGACTCCTAAATACCCCGCATGATCGAGTCGTTGATGTGAAGCACACCCAGTCCGCATACCACTCCCTTATTGAAGAGTATGCACTTCCAAGTTCTGCTGTGAATTCCTACTAACACCACCCCAAAACAACTTCACGTTTCCAGTTTTGAGTTCTTGGTCCTTACAATCCTCGCCACGCGCATGCACCTCCATGTCTGGCAGATGGACCAGGATGCACACGGCTCTGATGCCCTTGGGATGATTTATTTGTTTGATGTGCTCCCGGCCGACCTTAGGGCATGACGTATTGTTGCGTGGCTTATTCGGCGCCATTTGTGGAGTGAGATTTGAACTGAAGGGATCGCTTTGGAGGCGCTTAACTTGTAGGAACATATTTCTTGTTAAAGGTGGTAGGTGCCTTTGGTTGGCCTTGATCTATACAACATCAATAGATGTCTAGTTTCCACTGTGAGGGCGGCGGATGAGTGGATCATGACTGGTGTCAGATAATACTGCCTCGCGGCAGTGAGTATCATTCTCAAAATTACGCGGACAACGTTCAGCATGTACTTATTCAATTTCTTTTAGTTCACTAAGAAACGTCCTATTCAAATGCTAGGCTACATTAACCCTACGAGACAATGAGGCGAGCAGGACAATCAAGTAAGGTTTGCGCTGCTGTTCGTGTCACGAAGATTGAAGCATGCGCAGACGGCTGACTTGCAGAAGAGACTTCACATTGTGCACAGGGAAACATACAAGTATACCCATGGCGCGTGATAGTTCAGTGCATTGAGCGCCAACAGATTGGCAAGAGGAAACTATCGCGGTTGGACGTCCCAGTCAATGAAGCAAGGCATGATCGAGTGCGAGCTTTACTGCTTTATCATTTCAGGCGCATTTCAACGTGTTTCAACGGGCAACATGTCATCAATACGTCAATACAACCGCTTTCGTAAATTTCCGATGATACAGGATGATTTCGAACCACTTACCACGTATGCCAATCTCCGTGGAACCGCGTCATTGTACGAATTCATCAAAGAGAGTACCGCACTCATGCTGTTCCGCAGTTGCTTTGAACGTCACTGGCAGCGTCGCTTTCCATATGAACGGGAATGATTTCATACGAGTATTTGCATGAGGTTTTGTCAAGTATGTGACTGTATGTCCACCACGACATCACTCGGATTGACTTCGTATTGACAACCCCAGTGGTACATTCGATCTCCTTATGCCACCTTTCGACAACTGCTTTGGTACAAGAGCATGTACACGAGATATTCAAGAAATGGTAATGTGGACGACGAGGGACTTACCGCCATTTGTCTCCTTGACGTACTTATCGTGCACTGTAGTTCCCTTTGCAACTCTTACTCTGGTTCTCGGCAAGTTGCTTGCAGAGTGCACGTTATATATCCGCGCATCAACACTCCGTTCCACCAATTGTGTCACTCCATCACGAACGCCGTTAGGTCACCGCGGTACCGCGAGCATCAATCTTCTTTTTGACAAGCGAAAATCATGGGTCTTTTGCTGATGGAGTTCCGATCTCTTGCCAAGGCCAAATTCGGCGAACACATTGCTATGTCGATCTCCAACATGTTGGGGACTTCGAGATAGTTTTGACAATCAACCTACCGATTGGACTTGTCAGTCAAATACATCTCGCAATCCTCGCTCAGCCATCAAGAAGCACGGTGCCATCAAACGTCCACTGATGCTATAAGCCCCATGCATGGTAGATACCTGTGGGCTACAGCAATTTATGGCCCTATCAAGGTAAGTGCTTGATGTATGTGTTATTACAGTATGGCTTGCAGCAAAAGTATAAAGGCATATTGTGCAACTCCTTGGTGCCCCATCCACAACTATGCGACTTTCTTTTATGACCGCTTTAGCTCTCTCACAAGCCTCTGTTGTGTTTTCTCAATACGCTGAGGCAGGCTTCCACGGACATCCAACCTGTGAGGAGCATGCTAGGCAAGCGGGTGAGTACACTATTCTGCGGTTCAATCCACCTTCACAAGCATGCACAATTGATGTATATTGTCAGGCCTGCCCATCAATGGTTGGGAAGTAGTTTCTGACAACGACGGTCAACCAAAGTGCCGTCGGGTAACCGTCCAAGAACTCTGCTATGGTGTTGAGTTCATTGACGCGGTAAGTCCATTCACATATTTGCGGAACTAGAACTGAGAGTAACTGAACAGGAAACCAAAGAGAAGAAATGTTGTCAAGATGTAAGTGGTCTCACATGGATTGACAAGCCTGCGCAGTTAGCCAAGGTATGTTTTCGATATGGGTTCCAATCAATGATGTTTGTTGACATTTCGAGACAGTGCTGCACCAAGGATCACGTATGGACGTTTGATTACGGAGGTGGTCCTGCGCGCGCCGCGCGGAGGGTGCTGCCCGGTTGGGTTTCGCATGAACAATGGGATGTGCATCCCATACACTCCTGCCCCTCCTCAGCAGTGCCCGTGTGGGACACACTTGATTGACGGCCAGTGTGTCCCATTCCTGGGTGCCTCCCATCAGACATGTGGCAATGGACGTAGCGGTGTCGAACCCTCTTGCACGTGCACGAATTATCCAGTCTGTGGGCACGGCAAACACCTAGGCATCAAATACGGTCATTGCTACATCCTTTCCTTCTCCGATGGCGAACAACTCGGCCTCAGCCGGGACAAAACTGACTACATCAAAAACGGCTTCTTCGTCGATATCCCCTTTAAGGTCTGCAATTCGGCCGTTGATTGCTCCCGTGGAAAGGAGGTTGAGATGGGCGAGTCCTTCTCCCTCCAAGATCAACATGGATTGTACAACGATCCATATTCAACAAAGGGGTGGATTAATGACGCCTCTGGCGGCGCCCACATGGAATTCACCACTGATGCCAACCATGCCGGCAAATTCACGGGTATCCCGACTTGTGCTGCCGGTGAATGCTCTCTTCAACTGCATGGTGGTCCCGCTGGCGGTGCATTGGCATACGCTTTCCCGGTTCCCACGCCCGGATTGACATTCGTAGGTTTTGTTGCTTTCAAAGGGGTCTTTTCGCTCAATATGTTTTTCGTCCATTAGTACGGCAACCCTAAAGTTGGTCAGAGACTTCGCTTCTCTGAGGTGACATGCGATGACTATGAGGTCCCTCTCACTTCTGGTATCAACCTATATTGAGGCTGAAAGGGAATGAATCGGCCCATCGGGACGTTCTGCATGCCCCCGTCTTGAATCTTGATAACAATCTTGCTCCGATTTTCGCTATGTTTACCTTGTATGACTTGGACTTGTGTGGTTTCCGTTTGCTGCCCAATTGGCTTCAGATTTTTCTAGATGTTCAATCCGGCTCGAATATTTTTTGAGATTGATGTTTCACGTGCAAATAGTAGCAAAGCACTTTGTCCGATTCGAACGCAAATCGGATTACGTACGCAAATGCCCTCAGCGAATTGAAATCGTCCATCGTCCATCGCATTCTCCCACAGTTGCTAGTAGCTTGCGCATTGGCGACTGCCGCACGTTACAACGTACTGGTGATCAAAAACTGGAGTCGGGATCGGAACACTAAGCATTAGTACATGGAACAATCCCATCACAATACTGGCGTACCACACATGCCTCTACCGTGACTTCGACACCATTCCAGGCGACCAGCGGCTGCTGTGCAATTCCAGGAACCCTGTGTCAGGGCTCAGATGAGACCCCGCGGAAGTCTGTCAGCAGACTACACTGGCATGTCCCAGCTACCCAACAGAATCGGATAGCTCAGATATGCAGCGCATCCAAAATTGCGTGTGGTGGGCTAGCTCGCATACTGACAATGCATTCACTACCTGAAAATGTGCAGCACTGCGACTCGAACAGGAAAGAAAGGCGACACGACGTGATTGGTGAGGCCTCAGGTCCGTCTGATGCGACAGTCGTGATTCGTGGTAGTTACCGTGTAACAACCTGGACACCATCGGGGACCGGGGTGTTCCCATACCCGAGCTGCGGTTAGAAGGTGCAATCAGGGACAAGTACTGGTTCTAGCGCGCCACCGTCGAAGCGCAATGAGATGCAATGTGTGAAGCTTTGAAACGTGTGTTACTGGTGCCAGTGACAGGTGACGTTCAAGTTTCACCAGTACGTATCGGGATGAGTTGATGCGACTTCAGAACTTGGGGCCGGCAAATATCTATCTCATTCTGGGGAGAGCCAGTACTAGTGAGACGCAGGGATAGGACTTGGTACCACTAGTACTACATGTCAATCAGGGTCAAGCAGCAAAGTGGATTTTTTAAACTCCGCTCTTCAACTGCTATCACTTGAACTCGTAACTCGTTTCGACATAAGTGAACCAGAACTATCCACCATGGTGGAAGTATGCTCGTTCACGTTCGTCCGCGTTGTGACAGCGCCAAGGTGGACGAAGGCGGATCCACCTTTGCAGCAAGCAAGGATTTCTTCCGACACCCTGCATGTGAAGTCGGTGCTGGATCCCGAGTGTATAAGGAAATCGTCTGTCAAAGAGGGTTTGTCTTTGGGCGACAAGTAGTCAACTGTCGGTTAGTGAAACATTCCATCAATGAACTCATCATTGTCGGATCACCATCAAGGCAAGTCTGTAACCTAAAGGGTGTCCCAAATATTTACGCCCCCATCATGTTTCATTCATATGATCTCAATGTGCATATTGGCAACGGACCAGGGAAAAAACCCAGTATATAACAAAGTGCATAATGTGTGCGTGAACCCGTATTATAGTCAATGCAGAGAGAGTATTCAGCTGACGATATCACAGCGGCCAGGAGTCTGCAGTTTTTAGCGGTGCGTTTTTTTTCTTGTTGATGCGAGGGTGACATATCAATAGATATACCATCTGCCACCAGTACTTATGTAGTGCGTATTATTTTCTGAATCGCTTCTTCCTGGTGCTAACTTGGCAGTTCAGCGTCGATGACTACATTCTGGGTAAGCTTGTTCCGATATATTTCTGACCGTTGTTAAACTCCCTATCCAGCTCTACGACTATGCCTGTACACTTCACAAAGAGGTGATACATTTGTTCGTGACACGCCTCAGTTTTAATATATTCTGTTCAAAGTGGACATTCCTGCTTCGATCGCGCTGGACCAAGATAAAGGGTCTTTATATCGTCGCACGATATGTCCCATTTATCATCTTCTCCACGAATTTATATCGTGCGTTCAGCTCCCGCACATACATCTCTGATGGTGACTTGACATGTTGACGCGATTCAGTGAACTTCTCCCCTAACGAGAACCCCGATGTACGTGAATGTGCGGTGGACTGACTGATTGATTAACAACACTCACCGCATAACTTTGCCAGAAATGCCAGAGGTTAAACAATATTTTTGCAGGTACGTGCACGCGACATTCCGTATGCACATCCTTGACGAACACTACCTCTTTTCTCGCAGTTTTCCGGATATTATCAGTCTTTTGCGCCGAATGTACCTGTCCTCCCTCCGCGAGATATGCAACATTCCTGACCACATCCATTCAGGCTTTTTTGCCCTCAGAACATACACGCTCTGGAACAACAACAAGCTTGTGCTCGCAGCCGCGGTGACTGCTTTTCTTGTGAGTCCCATCCCCTTACTGCACCAGAACTTATAGTAGATACATCAGACAGGCTGTCGTCGTGGCATCAATCAGCATAACCTTCGCCACGACTGCCACTGCACCATGTGCGCGCCCTCACCTTGCCCTTGGTGTTCCAGCACCATTCACACTGCACTTTTACAGTTGCGACCAGCGTGGTCCCGGGCATCACAGGCTGCTACCAGAGTTCGAGTAGTTTCCAGCTCTTCATACCGTTTCTTCTCTTGCTTGCGCTCGAACTAGGTGTGTCTCCGGGAAGTGGGAGCCTACATATACAAATGTGCTAACCGACGTTGTTCCAGGACTTCTCTTCCTCACGCTCATACGCGCAATACAGAACTGGCGGACAGCTAACGGCCCTCTGTATGTCGTTCTGGTGAAGCACAACATATTCTATTACGCATGCGGTCTGTGTGAGTCAGGACGTGTATATACGTTCAAGCAATCATTCCCTGCTCATCGACGATCATTATTTTTGTGAAGTTTTCTCTGTGGTGAACGTCCTCACGTCGCTGCTCCTCCATGTACGTGAATAACCCCCAAACCATTTATGATCGAGGCGCTAACATGACGCACACCCAGCATGCATACCATGCCATGTTCCAAGAGTGCGCACTCTCTAAATCCTGCTGCAATTTCTTCCTACTAACAACACCCCAAACGCACGCCAATATATAGTCTGCAGTTTTTTATCCTTGCAATCCTCGCCACGCGTATGCACCTCCATCTCTGGCAGCTCGACCAGCACGCACACGGCTCTGACGCCCTCGGATTCATCTACTTGTCCGACATTTTCCCGGAGGATTTGGATTTTCGCGTGCCTTATTTGGTGTCGTTCATAGAGTGAAGTTTGGACTGAACTGAGATGACTAGTGGGGCGGGTTTGGTCGTGTCATCCGTCCGTGAGCGCTGCGAATGAATGAATAACCATTGGTATTCGTGATCGGAGTGCACTGGAGCCAGAAGCAGGGCCTGACAGCGATAAGCATTACCCTGTACACCAAGCTCCGTGGTTTAATAGTTAAAGCTGAGTCAAAGAGTTCTAAAAACGTCCTTGATATGATATGACGACATCCCGTCCGCAGATATCTGCGAGAATTGCAAATTAGTCTCGACGTCGTAGGTGGCTGTGTGCGCCGTCAGTGTCGCCAGCGACTGGCATGATTGTAGCTCCCCGACCCGCAAGGATTTCTCACACATCTCAATTTTCATATGATACTGACGACTAAGACTGGCTCCGAACTGTGCAACCCCGTGTAATAGCTCCCTCGGCTGTGACCAAAGAAAAAGATAAGTCTACTACTGATCACTGAGACAGCCGGAGGGCGGAATCTCGTCGTAGAATGAATTGGAAGAAACCATCAAATGCAAAGAACCGAGAACAATTTCCGGATGCGAAGGTGTCAATGAACACGTTGCGCGGTAGGCTGTGTATCTGATGGCTTCGTTGGGCATCTAAGCGCAATCAGGCCATACACACTGCTGGCTCAAAATAGCATGTGGTGGACTAGCCCGCGTCACTGACAATTCACCACTTGAAGAAGGACCATGTTCAACAAGAGGGGAGGAAACGAACAAGCACCATCCGGAAGAACAGCTGATGTGGAAATGCGGAGGAGGACAGTCGGGATTTATGATACCTATCAACGAGGTTTTCAGGAGCTGCGGTCAGAAGGCGCAGGGTAATGAGGCAGAGACTCTGATGCTATAGCGAAATGATGAGATGTCATGCATGTCATAAGTCTGCTCAAATCAGAATCAGTTGATGGCGTACCAGTGGGGGGCAGCAACTCTGAATCGTTGAATTCTGGGTCAAGCCTGCGAGGAGGGTATAAGTACTCACTTGGTAGCAAAGAGATTTCATTTCAGAAAGATGGTAAATAAATAACACGCGGGTGCTGAGAGTGCACTAGTGGGCGTCGAGTCGTATGCTGAGTCACTCATGCTGAATCCGAACCTTAAAAGTTTTCAAATGGGCCTAGCTAGTCGAGCTATTAATAAATAACTTGCACATAATGAGTAAACTTTGATTCAACGCTCTGAGCCTCCATCATGGTCGCTGACTGCGATCATTGTCAAGGCAAGGAACTTGAAGGTCTTTATATTAATGCACACGCCCCCATCTTAATCGGTTCCGAATCCCAACTCATCTATAAGATAAGAAGGTCCGTGATGTTCATCGCGCGGAACCCGTTTTTTGCATCTCGAACGAATGGAGACGGGGTATTCGGTTGAGGATATCGCAGCGGCGACCAGTCTACAGATCCTCACGGTGCGTCTCTTTCTCTTCAACACAACGAGGGCGGTTGATAATAAGAATAATACATGTACCACCAGTACATATACAGTGCGTTCTGTCTCACATCTTTCTTCTTCGTCCTGACACAGCTCAGCGTCGATGGCTACATTCTGGGTGGGCTTGTCATGATTCACGTCTGCTGTCAAATTCGCTTACTAACTCATACAGGCCTACGAATATGTTTGTTCATTCCGCGAGGAGGTAATGTACTCGTCCATGATAAGTGTCAGTTTTGTTATTGATATTCTGTTCAAAGTTGACGTACCTGCATCAATCACGTTGGACCAAGGTAAAAGGCATTTATATCGTTACACGATATGTTCCCTTTCTCCTCCTCACCATGAATCTATATAGTGCGTTTCAGCTCCCGGACACGCATCGCCCAGATAATGAATTGACATGTTGTGCTCCAGCGGGCTTCAGCCCACATGAAACCCCGAGTGTATGTGAACATGCAGTGCGACCCAGATAAATGACGCTCACTGCATGACTTCATCAGAAATGCCGAATACTGGTCAATGTTTGCTCAGGTACGTGCATCTTACATGGCTGCATGCACACATCCTGGCTGAGGGCTACCCCTTTTCTCCCATAGGTTTTAGCATAATATCAGGCATTTGCTCCCAATGTAAAGTCCTTCCGCCGTAACATACCTGTTTCCTCATCAGATCCATCAGACTTTTTCGCCCTCAGAACGTGCGCGCTATGGAACAACAACAGAATCGTGGTCATAACCATGCTGTCATTATGTCTCGTGAGTCTCCACATGCTCATCGCACATGAGCCCGGGATAGACGCATCAGTCAGGCTTTTATTGTAGCATCCATCAGCATTTCTTTTGACGCGACTGCCACAGCACCATGTATGCATTTTCACGTCCCCTTTGCTTTTTAACGCCATTCATGCCGCTTCCACAGATGCAACCAGCAAAATTCCGGGTATCACAGGTTGCTACCAGATCGTGAGCAGTGTCCAACTATTCATACCATTTCTTCTCTTTTTCGCGGTTGAAATGGGTGGGTGAGCAAGAGCATACCTATGTACGAATATGCGCTGACAGGTGCTCTCCCCCCAGGACTCATGACCCTCACGCTCATACGCGCCATACAGAGCTGGCGGGTGACTAACAACCATCTGTACGTTGTTCTGCTGAAGCATAACATATACTACTATGCATGTGGTCTTCGTGAGTAACACGCACGTGCCAGGCCGTATTCTCATGCTCATCCATGATCACTCTCGTTCTTACAGTGTTCTCGGTGGCGAACATATTCATATCACTGCTCCTCCATGTGCGTGAATTCTCCAAATGTCTTTATGATCGAGCTGTTAATGTTATACACACCCAGTACGCGTACCACGGCATGTTGCATGAGTATGCACCTCCACATCGTGTTGCACATTCCCACTAACAACACCCAAATCTTATACACATTTAGTTTCCAGTTTGTCATCCTTGCGATCCTCGCCACAAACATGCACCGCCATCTCTGGCAGATGGACCTGCATGTACACACCTCTGACGCCCCCGTGCGTATTCATTTGTCCGATATGTCCGACATATTATATGCTGGCCATACGGTGTGATGTCATTTTTCATAGAGTGAAGTTTGAACTGTAGGATGACTGATGGGAGTGGACTACATCGGTTCCGAGACTTGGATGCACTCAACTCATATTAATGTATTTTCAGTCATGGGCAGGATGTATTTGGATGGCCCTGGTATTTTTGACATAGAAGGATGTTTCCACTGTAAACAGCCACGGATGAGCAGATAACGATCAGCATTTGAGTGTGCTAGAGCCAGAAGTACGGCCTGACGACGGGTTTTATTCTTGCAAAATCCGTCTCGTTCGGCGGCTTAGGTGGCCGTGTCCACCGCCAAAGTGTCGCCGACCCGACTGGCATGGTTCCTCTATCTGCGAGGAATGGTCGGTATAGTAAAGGTAGTCCACTGAGCCCTCGATGCGGCACCATCCACATCCCTGATAATGCAGTCACCACCGGTACCTGGAAAAGAATTTTAAAGAAACGTGACATGAGGAGAGCGATCACTAGTACTGCAATGCAAAAAGGAAGCTTTCCGAATTGGATATAGAGAGAAAAGGGCCATCGTGATAAGTGACACTGCCATTAGACATAGCGTCATTGAGATTTATCCCTCGACCACCGTGACGAGGCTCCGACGGGCACGACCGTGGAGCGCAATGAGATGACGTGCACGAAGCCTGTGCATGGACTCGGGCATAATCTGATGATTGAGGATGACAGACACAGCACACACGATGATCTCACACACGGTGATCTGAGAGTGAGCGCTAGAGGACAACCGTCTAAGCAGATCCTCGGCTCAGTCGGAATTGTTAGAAATTAGAATGCCTCTTGAATTTGATTACATAAGACAACACAGCCATTAGTCTGATGAGCTCCCTACTAGACCAACCCTTATACTATGGCAAAGTGGCTCAGCGCTCGTTATGTCGCGTATGAATATTTCTCATTTCTAAAGCGTGCGTCTCTGGACTCTATCGTGATCAGTGGTTCTGGTGTAATAAAGGCGCAACGATAACTTTCAGTCCCAGTGGGCCAGTGAAACATTCCGTCAAGATCGCCTCGATCATAAGCTTAAGCCTGCAATGGTATCCTCATTGCGCCCCATATTGATGGATTCCCAGCTCATTCGTAAACCATTCAAAGATAAGAATGTGCTTAATGTGCATTCCTCAAAATTCCCTCAGACACAAAAACCCATTTTCTACCTCTCGAACATGCAAACGCAGTATTCGGCTGACGATATCGCAGCGGCGAGCAGTCTACAAATCTCCTCGGTGCGTTTCTTTCTTGCCAGTACGAGAGCGGTTAATGATTCATGTATTACCAGTACATATTCAGTGAGTAATATCTGAACCTCTACTTCCCTCAAGTTGTCCTAACACAGCTCAGCGTCGATGGCTACATTCTGGGTGGGCTTGTCCCGATATGCTTTCGTTCGCTGTTAAACTTGAAACTCGCTTATCCAGACTTATGATTATGTTTGTTCACTTGGTGACGAGGTAATGCACTTGTTCAGCCTTATTTTTGATATTCTTGATATTAATAACACGTTCAAACTTCAAAGTGGACGTTCCTGTATCGATCGCGCTGGACCAAGGTAAAGGTCCTTTATATTCTTACACGATTCGTCCCTTTTTTCCTCTTAATTGGACACCTATACCGTGCGTTCATTTCCAACCCACTTCGCTCCGATTATGAGTTAACACGCCGTTCTTTAGTGAACTTCTCTTCAGACGAGGAACATAATGTATGTGAACGTGCGGTGGACTTGCCCGGTGATGATTGACATTTACTGTATAACTTCTCAGAATTGCCAGATGTTAAATTACATCTGCGTATGTACGTGGATAATACATACACACATATCCTCACCGAGTAAGCTCTTCTATCTCACAGGTTTCGCCGTAATATCGGCCGTTTGTTCAGAAAGTACCTCATCCCCCCGCAACATACTTGCATTCCTGATCTCAATTCATCTAGGCATTTTCGTTCTCAGAACATATGCACTCTGGAACAACAATAAAATTGTCCTTGCAGCCATGCTGTCTACCTTTCTTGTGAGTCCCATGCGTTCTTCACAGCGAAACTCCTAGATGATTGGTCAGGTTTTGGCCGTAGGAATAGTCAGCGTTTGCTTTGCCGCTAATGCCACTTCACCCGGTTCGCGCTCACACATTCCCCTTGATCTGCCGCCACTCATATACTCTCTACGTCCACAGCAAAGGTCAGTGCGATCCCAGGCATCACCGGCTGCTACCAGACCTCAGGCAGTGTCGAGCTCTACGTACCGTTCCTTCTCTTGTTTGTGCTTGAACTAGGTATGTTGCCGGGAAGCGAAATATATACAGACGCGTGTTGACCAACGCTTTCCAGGCCTATTATCCCTTACGCTCGTACGGGCCGTGCAGAGCTGGAGGACGGCCAACGGCCCACTGTATACCATCTTAGTGAAGCATAACATATTCTACTATGCGTGCGGTCTCTGTGAGTCAGGCTACGCATGATCAGGCTGTTTCTCCGCACTCATCTATGATCTTTCTCGTTCTGAAAGTTTTCTCGGCAGTGAACGTCTTCACGTCGCTGCTTCTCCCTGTGCGTGAACGTCCCAAGGTTGTCTACGACCTGATTGTTGATATTTTACACAGTACGCATATAACCATGCTTTCCAAGAGTATGCACGTCCACATGCTGCTGCGCATCCTACTAACAATCTCATACCCATGCGTAGCTTCCAGCTCATCATCCTCGCGATCCTAGCCACGCGCATGCACCTCTACCTCTGGAATTTTGACTGGCACCTACATACTACTGGTGCCCTCGTGTTGATTTCTGTCTGATATCTCTCCGGCGGACCGTACAGCGTGACACCTTATCGCCTGGCTTGTTCGGTGTCGTTTGTGGAGGGAACTTCAGGCTAGATATTCAACCGATGATTCCATGGAAAGCTTTATTTACATATGTATTCCGGGTCCTGCACTACAACACAACTCCCCTTCCCATGCTCGTTACCCCTCCTATTCTTGCTCTACGATGAGGCAAGTGTTGTCGTCAAGCTATGGAGAGAGTATGACTTCCACCCCTGAAGGCCCACAGCCTCTTTTGAGGTGCAATGCCGTTAATCGGGTAGATGAATTTGCCACAGAAGTGAAAGCGGAAGCTTCACAATGTTGCTCAGTCACATCTACGCATTTGGGACACAAAAAATTAGTTTTTGTTTGAGCGTTGAATCATTGCTAGAATTAGACTTGAGGGCCCCGACCTTGTTACTGAGGATTGAAGGTAAGAAATCTGACCCTGGCTCAGGTCCAAGCGTCAGTGAACTTCAAGCGGCGCGCGGTTTACATAATTATAAATATTATTGTTGAACGTGACGTCCACGGCAGATGCTTTGATCCTTGCCCGGGCCAGTTCCACTACCAGTTTAGCAGGTGGAATGGACGAATAGGTGGTGATAATAACCTCCTTCCAGTTTCGAGTTGTGTTCCGGTAGCAGCCCACAGTCACCTTCATATTTCCTGGCCTACCCTGAGACAACAAGACCCTATAAAGGGAGTTAATCAAATCTGGCATCCTCACCGACTCGCCTGCTTGTCATACTACCATTCAAGTTTACCCATGCCTCCCCACGATCTCCCGCCCCCACCGCCTTGGGTGATACCCAACTTCGTGTTGAGGGTGGAGGACTTGTCTCATCCTGGGGCATCGATCTTCTTTGATTGCGTCAACCCCAAGGAGGCACTGAAACTCGCAGTAGAAGCATCTTATACCTGGCTGTATACACCACTCACGGCCCCAACGCAGTGAGTACTACGCGTTTTCAATTCACTATCAACGTGTTGCGAATCATCTGCATCCCAAGCGTCAAGACCATTACGCTCGTTCTCAGGCCGTTCGATGGCGTAGCGTATACTTCAGGCACGCAAGAGATGAAAGAGATCAATTTCTCCCTCGATTGGATCAAAACATCAGAGGCCCGCGCACGAGATGAAATATTAGGCGTGCTGGTTCACGAGGTCGTGCATTGCTGTCAGTACAATGCAAAAGACACATGTCCAGGGGGTCTTATTGAGGGAATGGCAGGTGCGCACGTTTTGACCCCACCCTTTGAGTATTATCTTCAGAACTGCTAGTAGATTTCGTGAGGCTGCACGCTGGTTTTGTCCCGCCACACTGGAAACCTAGAGTTGTGGAGAAGTGGGACGCAGGGTACGATGCTACGGCGTACTTCCTCGACTGGATCGAGAAGCGCTGTGGCGAGGGGACTATCCGAAAACTTAATGGATCCATGAAGGACTCGAAATACAGAGTCGAGCTCTTTGAGGACGTGACCGGAGAGAGTGTGAGTTCCTTGTACGCACTGTATTGCGAACATCTGGAACAGAAGGGTAAGATACCTCATGCATGATGCATGAACCTTGATACCCGTAGCGACCAATGCAATATTACTTCCGTAGAAGCTACAGGGAAACGGATTAAAGCGCGACAACTGAGAATTCAGCATGAGGAAGACTATCCTCACTTAAATTCATCGTCTCCGTCCTCAGCATCATCACCAGCGCCTTCCTCGAAAATCATGATAGTCGCGCTCTATGACTGCAACCCGAGGAAGACGAGACGCAGGAATTGTCACTTTCCCTCAAGCTCTTTGACACAGTAATGTGTCGGACGCCGCGGGCGCGTGTCAGGTCACTCTCGAAGATCTGGATCGATGCAATTGTCAATATCATAGTCCGTGTGACCGACTATCTTCGTGGAGAAGTGCTCGCTATCACGCATATGCCTATGAACTGCTGATCTTGAGCCGTTCCTCTGACGCCACATTCTTGTCGATCTGATCTAATTTTTTTCGCGCACTTGATATGTTCGTTTTAAAGCGCTGTTGGTAATCACCGCGATGTAATGTGACGACTGCAATAGTGTGTATGGCTAGGATTGCTCGTTCCGATGTGGATGTGGTTGTCAAGTTGGAGGGATCGTATGAAGACCATTTCGAACGGTTGGCAGTTCATGCATTCGCGAAGCAGCAGCGAGCGTAAAGTGAATTTATTTGATTCGTGGCAGCTTTTCGTATTAACAGCACCGTCTGGTGCATGATAAGATCCATCCGAGTATAACGGGGAAGGCGTTTAGATAGTGATACACCCACAAATGACCCCACGTCGAGAACTGTTGTGAGATCAGATGGAGACTCAAAAAAACATAATTGAATTGTGCATTTAGTTAAACAACTTTCCTTCCAGTTTCGTCGTTATTCGTCACCAATTCGGGTGCACCACAGACGTGCTCTACAACTTCGCAATGAGCTCTTCGTGGTACTTCTTCACCTCATCTATGACGTCCGACTTCGCGGGCCACCCAATGACGAGCCCCTCCTCGTCCGACGCATCAGGCTTGGGAATGACGTGGAAGTGTACGTGGTCAACAACCTAGCCGTGCAAACCAGTGCCAGTCAGTGCTGTCTAAGCCTAATGAAGAAGGAGCAGTCAAACCTGGTGTGCGATGCGGCCGTTGTTCTTGGTGACAGTGTCAGTTCCGCAGGTTCAGCGGCAGGAAATGAAGAAATGGGAGCAAGAATTGGATGAGGAACGCACCTGGAGGATATTGTAGTTCTCGAGCCCTTGTGCAGTGGCGATCTTCTTCGCGATGGGCATTACATCCGCGAGGTATTCGTCTGGGAGCTCATGGAGCTTTGCCGCATGGTCTATTATGCACCTTTTAGCATTTTCTCTTGCGACATAATTTTTAATTTTTCTGATGAAGGTTGACACACCTTTAGGGATAATCAGAGCATGACCCTTGGAGAGTGGGCCGATGTCAAGGAATGAGAAACTAATCTCTTGTAAACGTGTCAACGATTTGATGAAAGAAGGAGAACAAACGAAAGGTCTGTCTCGATGAGCTTGAAGCTCGGGATCTGGCCTGGGGTGCCGTAGCGTGGATAAGTCTGTGGCACAGAATGAAGCGAAGTTAGCACACCCTTGATGATCTTGCAGAATATGCAGGTACTGAGTGATCTGGAGGATGGTCATGATACCCCGAAAGTATAATGGAAGGAATGAATCTCACCGTGCTGTTGCCGCCATGGTGGTTTGAGTCGCAAATGAAAGCTCCGAAATCTAGCCGTTATTATCACTCGCACGCACGTGATCCTGACAAAGCGCGTCTCCAGCAAGGCGTCTTCCGAAGGGTTTCCTAATTTTCTCTGAGGATTGTTCCGTTGGGATCCATCAAACAAATAACCCAGCCCATGACATTGACTTACATTTCGCGACATCTCTGTCAGCTCATGACAGATCCGCGGGCCTCGAATGACCCGATGTTCTTGGAGTATCCTGTACGTGGAAGAGCGGAAGGAATTTCTTTCGATTGGTCCGGCTAGCTAGTTGTAGGTGAGACTAGCATTCTCTACCCTTTTTCTTCAACTTCAGACATCAGCTGTGGCTGTCACAGAATGCGTAAAACGGAGAATAAACCCACATGCACCTCTTATGACAGGGCAAGCGGCTGCTACTGGGAGTAACGATGTCGTTCAAGACCGTCGACGGCTTTGTTGAGTGGATTCTCGTTCAGCTCGCCAAATTCGGGCCGCCAATAGCAAAGGTAGCTATCCACTCAGAGGTTTCAAATATCCCTCGGATGAAAGCGATTATGGTGGGAGTGCTGGTCGGGATATTCATTGTTGTAGCAAGCCTCGTGCTTAGGATCAGGCATGAGGATGAAACAGTGTCCAGAGAAGAGCGGGAGAACTGGGCTAAGTCAGTCAGATACGGCTCATACCTGGTATTTACTAAACCCATTGTTCATGCACTGCATAACGTGGAATATATACCTAGGTCTGGAGTTCCTGGATTGGTTTCCACAATACTACCACATCCCCCGCATCTCGCTGTCAATTTCCCAGTAATTGCACGTGCATGTCAGCATGTCTTAGACATCCTTACCGCCTGGGAGTAACAGAGGCGACAAAGTACATTTGATAGCCGACTACGGTTGAGGAGGAATCACCTGCATGTCTCGCACCCAAAATACAATCGACATGCGCAAAACACAGAACTAGGTTACTTCAGTTACCTTGACAATATGCTTGTGATCTACTTCTGAGCGACACTCGAAAAATGATTTGGGAACGCCTTGGCCAAGATTGAAACACGTGTGCATCGAACTTTGCGTTGTCCGGAGAAGTTGAAATTTTGCACATCTTTCAACGACCACGCTCACCTCACTGGCGAAGGATTTGTCAGGAAGCAACACTACATAAATTCTGCAGGCTGCAGTTGGTCAAATATCTCGAAATACTATCAACGTTGGTCACGCTAATGGGTTGACTTTTGTGACAGATCTTAATTTTATACAGATGTCCACGTCAACCGTGAAGCTTAAGCTCCAACGACGGCCCGCCAAATAAGCGCTAGGGAGTATAAAACCCGAATGATCAACAGGGAAACAGTATTATTTCTTCATACACCAAATGACTGAACCCGAGGCCAAACTTGAAGCTCTCTTGGACATCATCAATTCTTCTGCACGCCAAGCAATCGTGGAATACAAGAAAACTGGACATGGTGTGCCTGGTGCCGACGCAACCACCTTCCACCCCCTCGACATGGCAACAGATACAATTGCGCTCAGAAAAGCCATTAGACTTCTCGAGGGTGCTTACCACCAATTGAGCGCAATATTGGCTCCCCCCCAACACACGGTGATGAATGTGAGTGCCGGTCGTAAATGATTCTGCTGTGGTGCTCATTATTTAGTTTGTTTTTAATTACAACTGGGCATGCACAAACGTTGCCTTGCGAGCACGCATTGCGGATGTCCTGGAGCAGCACCCGGAAGGACTTAGCGTGGATCGGCTTGCTGACGCAGTTGATCTTGACAAGAGCAATGTTGCACGCATTTTACGAGTTTTATCCCTCATGGGTTGCTTCAAAGAAGGTAGCGTGTATTCTGATGGTTGAGAAGTATATCTGAAGCCTGTGATGTGTTCAACAGTCAAACGAGACGTGTTCGCAAACACCCGACTATCCTTGATACTCAAATCAACAAACAACACTGGGTGTTATGCACATTTTCATTCCCGACACATTGCTAAATACGCCGGAGTTCTCTATGAGACTATGATCGACCAAGACTTTTCAAGATCACACGAGCTTGACAAAGCACCCCGAGTGTTTGCCTGTAGGAAAGAGGGTTTGAGTGATAGCTACTGGGAAACGATCAAGAATGACGTGAGTTTTAGCACCACAAACCTCTCCTACTCTGACACGTTTTCTAGGATGAGAGACGTGATGTGTGTACGGACTCGTCTATCCATGATTGACGGCTCACCAAATCATATATGCATAGATATTTCACCGAGGCTTGCTTGGCCATGGTGAGATGATGGGTACTTCTGCGGTGCTGCATAGTAAGCTATCATCGTTTTTCAATCGTCAACATGATTGTAAAGCAGGACTATTAGGGTATCCTTGGGACAATGTATCCTCTGTGGTGGATGTTGGATCTGGCATTGGAGCTTTTTCCATTCCTCTGGCGACAATGTTCCCTCATCTCAAAATAACCAATCATGATCTCCCGGAAGTCATTGTACAGGCACAAAATGTGAGTTCAAACATCTGGCAAACAAAACTATTCCTATGGACACGATATTGATATCCAATTAGGCATGGGAGAAGAACGCTCCCGAGGCACTACTCGATGGGCGCGTAGAGTTGGTGCCAAATAATTTTCTCGAGGATATACCTGTTTTCGGGAAGGATGTCTACTATGTAAGAACTGACATTTTTTCTCGTTCATCGCCAGTAACTCGACCATCTTACTATATAGTTGAGGCACATTATCCACGATTGGCCAGATGCTGAGGCAACAGCGATCCTCCGTAACATTCGCAAGGCAATGGGACCAAACAGTGTGGTGCTAATTCGTGAGTCAATTATGATTCGGTGTGGTGTTTCTCCAAGCCCATGTCTCGTACTAGATGATTCCGTGCTCTTCCACGCATTCCAAGAGCCTGGCGTAGGAACTAATGGGTTAAGCGTCGTGAGTCTCGGAGTGCAACCTGATGTATTTCTGAATTCATGATCACAAGGCCCCTGAACCAATGTTACCGAACTTTGGAGCAGGCAGTCACAGAGTGTACCAAATAGACCTGACTATGTGGTTCCTTCTGAATTCCAAGGAACGAACCTTGGACGAGATGAAAATCATTGCGCAAGTTTCTTCTAATATATCTTGACACATTGGCAACGGTTGGTTGATGATAATTCACAGGGCCACCGCTGGTCTAACACTCACCAAAATTTATGATCTTGTAGATACAGTGGTCATCGAGTTCAGAGTTGCTCAGAGCTGATGTGAAGAACAAGTCAGTTTTTCAGATACGTGGTATTTACATGTATTGATTGTACCCTTCGCTTCCGGCACGGAAGAGGGCAATAAGCTTGCGGAGGATATGAATATAGCGTTCATGCAGGCATCAATGAAGAGCGGACACGATATTGTGGAGGATGTGGATCTTGAAACGCGAAGCATGAAGTCCTATGTTGACTCTATTAATAGTACACAGTTCTTGTTCTCTTCCTGCACAGTGCACACACCAATGCGAAGTGTGTCAACGGAGCAAGGTGATTCCGGAGCGCGTGCCACCATTGTACTGACTGTCCTCAAAGGCGCTGGATAGCGTGCTTGTATGATACAGTACACAATTGAACACACATTCATGTGGAGTTACAACCACGAGGCTGTGGAGTCATCACCGACGAACAAAGACATTTGCCATATAGGTAACACCCCTTTGCGCTTGGTCACTTCACCGTGCTGCTTTGTCTACAATGACTCAAATACTCTCAGGGAGTGGCACACCTTCAACATCACACCTTCAAGCCATCTAGTTGCAAAATATGCTCTCTCATTCGCGCTCGTTCAAAGAAAACCCAAAATTGCAGGTAGGCGGAAGAAATGCATCGGTATTGTTTAGAAAGTTCACAGCGCCATCTAAGCCCATACAGGACGAGTCAGAATTCTGCCCTGTGCCTCCGCCAAAGTACCGAGTTGTGTTCGTCAGCCCTCTTGGTAAATCCCTGTTTTCATCTGAAATATTAGTGCCTCTAATGAGATTCAGTTGGTGCAAGGTCCAAGATAGCAAAAGCATTCTGTATAACGCCAGCTGACAGGAATCCGATGGACCACAGGACGTTCCGTGAGTGTCCTGAAAGGGACAGAAACATAACTTATCAGTTGCTGATTGAATTACGCGCTCCAGCTCGCATCAGGGAATGTATAGTCGACGGCGAACCAGTAACGATCGAGTTGATCGATACCCTCGGTCCAGGTAATGAGGATCACTACTTGTACGTTCCGTCTCCGTTATTTTCTGTGAACATCCACTAACATGGAGTATGCATAGCGAGAAACACCTTATGGACGGACACATTGAGCAAGGAGACGGGTTCCTTTTCATTTATTCTGCCGACCATCGCAAATCGCTGGAGCTGGCGAAAGCGAATTATGGACGAGTCGTGAGGATGAAGCAGCACGAGCGGGACAATGCAACGAACCCTGTTCCTGGTATGCTCGTAGCGGTACGGGTAGAGGATGAAGACAGATCGACGTGGATGGAAGTGACCTGGGAAGGTGAGACTGTCTAAGTGCGCTAGCGTTCTCTATATGACTGACGGATGGCGTGAAAGAGGGAAATAAACTCGCGGAGGAGATGGGTGTAGCTTTCATGCAGGTGTCGCTCAAGAATGGACGCAATGTGGAGGAGGTGTTTATCCATATAGCCAGATTGATCAAGAAGTACCAGGAGAGGGTGAGACAGCCAAATGTGTTACTGCATGTGACATCACTGACAACGCATAATAAACAGAAGAAGCGCATTTCGGGTATGCATTGGGCATACTATGATCAGAAGATTCTCGATGACCGTTATGACAAAGTGCAGGGAAGGAAGGAATGTAAGCACGTAACAGCCGCAAGAGAGAGGGAAGTGCTTAGGCAAGTTGATTATGATGACGAGTTCGAGAAAGAGCGGCAAACCGGATGCTGCGCAGGGTGTATAATTACCTGAGGGGACAAGCAATGTTGACCACTATCTTTACCTAATTCTATTGTTGCGGGTTCGAAAACCCTACTAATCAGCGCCCGCGTAATCGGAACATTATGAGGGACACCGATGATCGATGTCTTGATTGCCCCTCAAGAACGTAATTAGTAACCTGACCTTGGACCGAGACGTGCTGCTCAGTGAAGCGTTGCCTGCATAATCGTCATGATGAACTTGAAATGAATCTAGCGAACGAAGGGTTACCACCAAGTTACCACCTACCAGTGGTATTCCACAGTGTACCGGGGCGATCTGGCGCAGGTCCTCCGTGGAGCGCCGTGGGTCCTGGCTTGTGGGTAGTCGCTGCTGTATTGTTGTAGTCGGTACTCGGTAGATAGAGCCGTCGCCTGGGTTTCCCTTGCAGTCCACGCCGGTCCAACGGTAAATAGCCCATTCAATAGCTAGAGAATTTATTAAATCTGGCCTGACGACCATCGGACCACGTAAAGAGGTGAGTCTATGTTGCGCAGCTTGAGCGTACCGGCGGAGAACCTTGCACACAGGGAAGTGAAGGTCTCCCCTACGCTGATGTCACATAAGGACGTGGATTGAATGGTTTGACGAGAGGAACACCGGGTGAATCCGGGGCTCGGAGATCAGATAAGATCATGTCCTTTAGTAATCCCGCGTGACTGGTGCAGTACACACGCCGAAATTCTTCCATAACCACTGCAGCCCAGACTTATAACACGCTGTCTTCTCGATTTCGCTTTCTGAAAGGCCTACGGGCAATTCCTCTCGCAGCTGCATCTACTTCCCTCCCAGATCGCACCTATTCAAAAATGGCCCCGCTCACAAACTGGTACAGTCCCGAAGAGCACAACGATGCATTCAAAAGTCGTCCGTATCATCCATTTCGGTTCCATCATTCGCCAGAACTCATCCACGCGCAGGTCATCATCGGCTCAGGTCCTGCAGGTCACACCGCCGCCGTTTACCTCGCACGCGCGAACCTCAATCCTGTCCTCTTCGAGGGCTTCATGGCAAACGGGTTCGCTGCTGGTGGCCAGCTTACCACGACCACAGATGGTACGCACACGCCTTATTCCATCCGTGTCTTTATCATATCTCTTCTCTCACCGCAGTTGAGAACTACCCCGGCTTCCCATCCGGCATCCTTGGCCCCGAGCTCATGGACAAATTCCGCGAGCAGTCCATTCGCTTCGGCACGCAGATCATCACAGAGACCGTGTCCAAGATCGATCTCTCTGCACGCCCATTCCGCTACTGGCGAGAGAGCCAAGAGCACGAGGAAGCAGAAACAGCCGACACCATCATCATCGCAACCGGTGCGAGCGCGAAGAGGCTAGGACTCAAGGGTGAGGTCACATACTGGCAAAGCGGCATCAGCGCATGTGCAGTCTGCGATGGTGCCGTTCCCATATTCAGGAATCAACCACTGGCTGTTATCGGTGGTGGTGACTCTGCAGCAGAAGAAGCCACCTGTAAGATCTCTCCATTTTCCTTTCGTTGTCATAACAGTAACTAATAATTACACTCTTACAGATTTGACAAAGTACGGCTCTCACGTCTACGTCCTCGTCCGCCGTAGTGAACTCCGCGCTTCTAAAATCATGGCCAAGCGCCTCATGAACAATCCCAAGATCGTACGTCTCTTGCCACTTGCCACTTGCCACTTATCACCTCTCACACGCTTGCACAGACTATCCTCTGGAACACTGTCGCAACCGAATGTCAAGGCGATGGCGACCTCCTCAACAACCTCCGCATCAAAAACGTGACGACAGGCGAAGAGCGCGATCTCCCCGTGCGCGGACTCTTCTATGCAATTGGACATGAGCCAGCTACGGCCCTGGTGCGTTCGCAGCTGCAAACAGACCCCGATGGGTATATCATCACTGTCCCTGGAACGACGCAGACGAGCGTCAAAGGCGTGTTTGCTGCTGGCGATGTGCAGGATAAGAGGTACAGACAAGCTATCACTAGTGCGGGGAGCGGGTGTATGGCTGCGCTTGAGGCGGAGAGGCTTATTGCGGAAGAGGAGGAGGGTGTAGAGGAAGATTAGAAGGTCGACCGGTCATGACGGAAGAATTGAGGCGTGTATACCAATCCAATGTTTTTGCTACCTGCTATCCAACGCAGGCGTTGTTCATTGTACAGTGAGCAGGAATACCGTCGATAAGTGACTATGGCGGGTTTTCCAATTGTTATCAGCCCCAAACATCCCACTGATCTCAAAAAATTAAACGCGATATTATGATAAATAGAAAGAACAGCTGTTTTCATTATATCAAGATCTGCATATGGGAGACCGACTAAAGGAGGTCCCTAAGCATATACATGATATACACCTGTGCATGACGAGCATAGCATGTTATTGAGATTTCACGGATCAAGTAATCATGGTTTCCCCGCTACCACGTGCGATAGCAGACTCCAGAGCCTGCTACCATCTCCATGACATGTATGTATGTGAAAAATGAATTTCGTGCGCCACGTCGCGCATGACGGCTGGCAGAGCCATGATATAAGCCAAAATGTCGGCTTGTTCTGACTCCGCCAGCCGACATACTCGCCGCGGAGCGTCATCCAGACGAAACACAAAACTGTCATGCAATCTGGAGATAAGTAGATCAATCATCAATCCAATTTCTGGCTGGTGGCTACGACCAAGCTTACCGTGATGAGAAACGGTGAGATTAACCTGATCGTTTGTCGTAACCGTACTGACGGCGACAGAATGATCCAACGTGAAAACAAAATACAGATGAACATTCAACACATTCGCGGATTGCTGAAGTTTCGAGGGCGTGCGAAATTTTGGTTGATTTTTGAGACGCTTTTTAGAGGCGGTTGTTGTGGTACAATTAGGTCCTAGCTAAGTTTTAAAAATATGACGCCGACTTGTTGGGCAAGCTGCCAAGTCGTGCACTATTCACGGCAAACCAATGATTTTGTAAAACGTATCGGTTCGCGGTATCATCGCTATGCGTTGGGCGCATTGTTACGGAAGCTTGGAGCTTTACCACTGACGCAACATTTGGAACAGAATGCTGATGTTTAAAACATCGCACCGAAGTTGTGACAGAACGAGTACGAGGAAAGGGTTGGTGTATGTTAAGCATTGTTCAAACTAGCTCGCCGACACCTACATAGTACTGAGGATGTCTATCGATAGATGGAGGAGCCTGGGCTGGTCCCGGGCTTTCGTGGTTATTGAGCTTAATGCATTGCACGAGTAGCACAACGAGGGAGCGGGAGTGATGGAGTAGCAAAAGACGTGACGATGCTGCAGTGTATTAATGACCATTGGCGTGCGGAGGAGATGTACAACAGAGGAAAAGTACGAGATAAGCCCACCATGGTATGGATGGTGACTGCGCGGGTGCTGCACCAGCCGTGGTAGCATGAGTACCTGGAGCAGGAGGTGTCGTGGAGGTCGAGGTGGCGGCGTGCTGAGTTTGTGATGACGACGCCTCGGTTTGGCCGTGCAATTGGCTTTGCTGCTGGGGCCGCGGCCGCGGAGCAACAGCTAGTGCCTGCAGATAAGTCATTGAACAACAGCGACGGGAAACGCACGGGAATGAATACATACCTTTCTGTCCTGTACTGTAGGAACATCGACAATACGAGGGCCACGATGAGAGAAGATAGTTCGTCTTGGGCGTTGCTGTAGTTCGATTGCTCCATCGGTCTTGGAACGAGAGTGGCGGAAGAACGATGAGGAGCTGCTGAATAGCGCACGCGGATTCGAAGAAGAGGAATGGGAATGGAAACCTTGTGCTGCGGATGACTGAGAGTGCGATGATCAGATTGAGAATTGGGCAACAAAAGCAGATGACTCACCTGAGCGCCATCAAAAAATTCTGGCGGTATTCGGCGGGCATGAATAGCTGGACGTTGCATAGTATCTCTCTGGAATATCTTTAAAAATCGTTGAAAGACTAAAGAGTAAAGAAACACGTCACGTACGGTCACCAACAATTCTGGAGCTGGGACCTGCAAGTGGGATATTAGTGCCGTTTTTACCAAGGAACCATGGGATGTACATGAGGAATAGGCAGGAGAAGGTCTTCAAGGCCAACTTTTTTGAGGATGGCGTTAATGTCCCATGTGTACGCATTTCCGTTTTCGCAACCAGTGACCAGCACTTTTCCATCAGCAGAAAGGGCTGCGGAGTGCAAATCATCTTCATGCTGGAGGGGTGGTCCGATCGGGAGATTCGTGTCGAGATTCCATAGATGCGTTGATCCATCCCTAGATGCACATGCAAGGAGGCGGTTGTTCGCAGACAAGGAGATGGCGCGGACCCAGGTTCTGTGACCCTCAAGAATATTAATGGCAATTTGCTGCCAAGTGGCTGTGTCGAATATCCTAATCAGGTTTAATGAACCGGAGATGAGCTTTAATCCGTCCGACGTCCAGGCCAAGCTGTAAACTACGCGATCGTGTTCAAGTGTGGTTATCAACTCGCCCGTCTTGCTATCCCAGATTTTGACTGCATTCTCGTAGTATCCGCCTGTCGCTATTTTTTTGTTATCGGGCGAGTACATCACCGCCCGCACCCACGCGTGTCCGGTTGTGATTGTCAGGACAGTTTCACCACTCTTGACATCCCAGACTCTTGCCGTCCCGTCCCAGGATCCGCTCGCTACTCGCTTGCCATCTGCACTCCAGGACAACGCACACACAACATCGGTGTGCCCCGTCCATTTGGCGATGGCCTTTCTCGTCTCGACGTTCCACAACCTTACTGTCCCGTTCCTGCTTCCACTTGCAACTGTCTTGTCGTTTGGAGACAATGATATAGACCGCATTCCTGATTCATTCTCATTTTTCCAGTCCTCGCCTATCTGTGCACCGCTCTCTAGGTCCCATAGTCGGAGTGATTTGTCATCTGAACATGTGATTATGCGTCGTCCGCTGGACAGATGGACAACACCTGTTACCCAGTCTGTATGACCTCGCATCGTCTGGTGTGGCGTGATCGCTGGCTCCTTGCTGGTGGAAGATGACATGGTTGGCGCTGGGAGTTCCATAGTGCAGGACGGGGACTATGAATGTGAGATGAGGCTGCCGAGATCTTTGAACAAGACTGGGTTATCAGTCGGTGATGCTTGCTGGTGAGTCCAAGGGCCCACTTCTTTCACGATACTAACTCTTGTCAGAAACACACACACCACTGCCCACGAGACAGTCAACTTACGGGAATTCAGTTTTCGCCTACTGGAAGACAGCTTAGGATGCAGGACTTGCTGTGCCGTTATTCGAAAATGTGCTAGAGATCTTGGTGGGTATCCGAAGCAGCTGGTAAGCAAGTGGTCAACTTTAACCTGCACAAGAGCCTACAGTACAACTCACGAGAAGCGCCGTGCAGACAAATACAATGGTCAAATCACCCGATCGATTAATGGATGTCTCGATGGGAGAAGAAGTTGGGCGCTCTTTCGTTCAAGCCGTCTTGTCTCAATTAGGAGCGTCCCATGCGTCAACCTCATGTTCAATTCACAGCTTCATTGCTGTGTAAATCAAGCGCTCTAGAGAACCAATTATAACCACTGAGCGCTTATGGCGTATTAATAACTCAGAGGCTGAGCCGTTGAGCATGCTGGAACAATTTATTTCAAGAGACGTTATGATACCATTTCGTTCGTTCATTGAGTCTCGACTGAAAGCAATAAACTCTGATTCTTCAGTACTGCGTCATTCGCAACCTACGCTTCTTCAGCACAACAAAACAGCCAGTCGCAGCACATACAGCGGGCCGAGACGTCTTGTTTGTACACCACGCAAAGGTCGCATGCCTCGCATTGACAAGTGCTCATACATTCGCGGCAAATTATATGGCGGGATATTGCCGCGAGATCAGAATAGCGTGTTGAAACTATATAGTCTGCAGGAAATGTCATTGAGGGTGCGTATATGCAGTAGGGCGAGGGAATAATTTAGTCCAAGGCAGGATGTACATACTTGCTATCGGGTACCCAACGAATGAAGGATCGCTGGTGCTCGGGATTTGCAGCGCCACGATTTGGAGCCAGGACGTGTTTTTAGCGTAGTTGAAATTAGAATCAAGGCGTCATGCCAGTGTTAAAACTAACCTGAGATTGAGGAGGTTGTGGCATTCAGATACGCAGTCTCAACACGGACAAAGAGATAACAATGATAACAGAAGAACTGGATCCAAAGATGACATAGACGTCCATATGCCACAGCGTCAATTCCCATCTGCATGTGGGGGAGATGCACAACAGAGAAAATAAGCAAAGCGAATCCGCAATGGAACGGGCCGTGGCTGGGCGGTTGCTGGCACGGTAGTATGAGTATCAGGATCAGTAGGTGTCGTAGACGTCGAGGCGGCGGCTGGCTGAGTCTGCAGTGACGGCGCTTGCGTCTGCAATTGACCTTGTTGTTGATGTTGTGTGGGTTGTGCATTTCCATCGTGTTGAGGAGACGCACAGCAGAGAAAAAGCACGAGATGGGCCAACATTCGGACGGGAAGTGAATACGTAGGCCTTGCACCTGGTGTAGCAGTACCATTAGACTGAGTGTTTGAACGATCTGGTGGCGACCGCTGAGCAACGAACAATACCTGCATGGAGGTCATTAGACACCATAAATTGACGCACCAGAGAAAGACATACCTCCCTGTCCCGCATTGGAGCCACATCGACAACATGAGGACGCCATGGGCGTTGCGGGAGTTCGATGTCTTCGTTAGTGTGTGCTTGAGAGCGGAAGAGTGAGGATAGACGACTGATGAGTGCATCTGGACGTGAACCCGAATGTGTTGTGGGATGAGGTTCGGTTTCTTCTTCGGTGTGGAGTAGAGAGCGATGAAGAAATGAGGACAGTTGAGCGAGGAGCGCATGTAGATCTAATCGCGAAGGCGTAGAGGGTTGCTGAAGTTCATTTGCTCCATCATTTTCAGGTGGAGAATGGTGAATAAGTGAGGACAGGCGAGCAAGGAGCACCTGTAGATGCAACCGCGAAGGCGTTGACGGTTGCAGACGTTCGGTCGCTTCAGCATTGTCGTGTCGAAAGCGGTGGAGGAGCAAGGAAAGGCGAGCGAGGAGTGGACTTGCAGAGGAATGAGGGTGGGCACCCGTTTGAGAGGACTGAGGGCACAAAGATCAGGACAAGAACTAAGTAATAGAAATGCTGACCACGGACATGAACATCGGCTTCCATGTTGTCAAAAAACCTAGGTGGGAGTTCATCGACATAACCTCCAAACTCGTTGTGACATCGCGTGGCATCAGCCTGCAACATTAGTGTCAGAGCCACTGAGAAGGTTCACAAACACTCAACATACTTCCAAAAATGACTTGCCGCTGAGCGAAGAGCAGGGGGTTCGCTCTATTCCTGGATTGCTTTGAGATGCTGGCTGTTCAAGTCTGTCTTTTGGTGCCTAGCAGCAGACATTGTCAGTGCTTGAGAGAGAGCGTGGGTGTGACTCACAATATTGGTACCAGTGGACAGTAGGTCATCAAGGCCAGCTTCTTTGACGATGGCGTGAATATCCCATGTGTACACATTTCCGTTTTCGCAGCCAGTGACCAGCACTTTTCCATCGGCAGAAAGGGCGGCGGAGTGCACATTATCTTCATGCTGGAGGGGTGGCCCGATCGGAAAATTGGTGTCGAGATTCCATAGACGGGCTGATCCATCCCTAGATGCACTTGCAAGGAGGCGGTTGTTCGCAAACAAGGAAAGGGTGTCAACATAGCTTGTGTGACCCCAAAGAATGGCAATCTGCTCCCAAGTGGCTGTGTCGAATATCCTAATCAGGTTCAATGAACCGGAGATAAGCTTCTTCCCATCCGACGTCCACGCCAAGCTAAAAACTATGGAATCGTGAATATTGAGTGTGGTGATGAGCTCGCCCGTCTTGCTATCCCAGATTTTGACCGATCCATCCTCGTGAACACCGTTGCTTCCGCCTGTCGCTATTTTTTCGTTATCGGGCGAGTATATCACCGCCCACACCCAATTGTGTCCGGTATATATTCTCAGGACAGTTTCGCCGCTCTCAACATCCCAGACTCTTGCCATCCCGTCCCAGGATCCGCTCGCTAGTTGCTTACCATTTGCACTCCAGCACAACGCACGCACAGTAACGCTGTGTCCCGTCAATTTGGCGATGACACTCTTTGTCTCGATGTTCCATAACTTCACTTTCCCGCCGCTTCCACTTGCAACCGTCTTGTTGTTCGGAGACAATGACATAGCCCACACTTTTTCGTTATTCTGATCTCGCCAGTCCTCACCTATCTGTGCACCGCTCTGTAGGTCCCACAGTCGGAGTGAGCCGTCTATCGAACATGTGATCATGCGTCGTTCGCTGGGCAGATGGACAACACCTGTTACCCAGTGGGTATGGCCTCGCATCGTCTGGCGTGGCATGGTCACTAGCACCTTGCTGGTGGAGGAAGACATGGTTAGCGCTGGGGATTCCATACTGCAGGACGGGGACTATGTATGTGAGATGAGTCTGCCGAGATCTTTGAACCAGACTGGGTTATCAGACGGCAATGATTTCTGGTGAGTCCAGGGGCCCCTTCTTACATGTTAACGCTTGTCAGAAGCACACGAGCAATTTCTCACGAGACAGCTTACTTACAGGAATCCAGTTCTCAACTAAAAAAACAGCTTCGGGACTGTATGCAGGACTCGCTGCACCGTTTATACGAGAATATGCTAGAGAGCCACTTGTAAGCAACTGGTCATCTTTAACCTGCAGAAGAGCCTACAGTATCACTCGCAAGAAGAACCGTTCACAGTGCTTAATCACCGGCGATCAATGGGTTGGGAGAAGGGGATGTTGGGCGCCCGTTCGTTGAACCTGTCCTTATAAGGTTCGTCCCTCGCGTTCGTTTCACAGCTTCATTGCTGTGTAGATGAAGCGCTCAGGTCTGTGACTGGCGCTATGTGCATGATCTTGTGCTCAAGGGACCTCATTCTAGCGACAAAATTTAGCGGAAGTTGCATTTCCTCTCTACTTCACCCAATGATGGATCTGGAAGCCCGACTTCAGCGCAACAGCCCATTGGAGAATACAAGATAACCGCGTCAGACCGCAATGTCATAGTACAAGTCAAAGATGTGGCCTACGTTCGCAGCATGATGGACGTCAGGACGTTAGAGATATTGTAAGACATATATTTGACGAGATAATTGAGGGTTCGTGCATACGCATTGGTAGTTGTTGTGCCTAGACAAAGGTGCACATGCTAAGCGCTTATAAACTCGACAAGAATCGAGTTCAGATGTGTGAGGGCGTGCTTCAGTCATTAAATTTCTACTACCCACTGACGACCCTTTGAAACCATACACTGACTGATATTTAAGAAGTTCGACATGAACGAGTCCGAGGAAGTTGGACGACAGGGTCATCCACCAAGTGGTGGTTCGACCAAATGCAATTTAACAACCTCAGCAGCCTTCGTTCTGCAATTTGCCTTCGGAATATCATCAGTTACGCCTTGCTGCTCCACATACCTGACACAAGTCACTACGCTTGGAAAGCACATCT